CCTAACCACCACCCTAACCACCCTAACCACCCTAACCACCCTAACCACCCTAACCACCCTAACCACCCTAACCACCCTAACCACCCACCCACCCTAGCCCTAGTCCATCTGTTATTAGTTAGGGGCTATTATCCGCAGCTTTTGCTGTCTATCTTTATTTCCTGTGTCCGACCATCTTCTCACCCACGGCTGGCGATTATGTCAATTTATTGTTGCCGGGGTTCTAAGGCCATGTTTAAGGGACTCTGGCCCTAAAGGACCTTAATTGGATGTAAGTGCCCATCACCGCGCTTTACGTGACTGAAGGAATAGTAAATATAAAACCAATAACCATGCTGAGCCCTACGGCATAACAAACTTCGGCCTGTTTTTCGGCTCACGGCGGAAGTAAATGCGAACCATTGATGGGAGTAGTTCCGAAGACAACAATTTTGCAGGTAAACAACCAGGTTTATATGTGTTTTTCCTGCTTGTAGTTCAATTTATGCTATAGCCATGACCCGTTGTGCACACTGGGGAGGATCTCTCATTTCTTTAGAGGGGCCGACACTGTAACAATGTTGGATGGGTCAAGTAATTAAAGTGGATGGAAGAATGGGCAACCTAAAGCTTGTCGTGGCATATAAGTATGTTTTCCGAGGTTTCGTTGCATTCATAACTGATAGAGATCTCTGTGGAAGCTCGCCACCACTCGGGCGATCTGTGCCTATTCTCTCTTATATGTAGGTACCTTATCCTCTCCCGATTTTCGAACTTGGCTGAGCCCACAGGGCGTTTTTAATAAGGATCGCAGTTTCGCTGCTGTATGGCCGCATAGAGAAGGTGATCCCACGAGGTTGGGAGGATATTCCTGGAATCATCGCATAAGTGGAGACTCAGTATTTGGCGAGTACGGCATAGGATGTTGAGTTTCAGCAGTCTTTAATACCGCTGAGGCTTCCTTAATGGATATCATGTGACTGAGAGCTTCTATTGCTCTCAGTCCTCCCTGAAACACGCTAGCTTTATATGGTAAAGTAGGCATTTGGAAGCGTGTAGAGCACGCTTCCACTCAGGGGTTATCCATGATTTAATAGATATCTTTAATATTACTTAATTGGCTGGCGTATGCCATCACTCCTCCTAGATCCTATCCCTCATCTCAACATAGGACTGACAAGCGCCAATCCTGAAGTGGAGCGATTTAAAGGATATATAGTATAAGTTCGGATGGCACGTGGACCACTTGGAACTCGGAAAATCTGCTGTGGTTACCACTGGAGTACCGCCCACGTACTTATGCTGTATCACTATTTGACAATATGTCTTGGTTGTCCTTCGGGACGAGTGCTATTATTTACCTTTGATTCTACTAGGCACTGAATCTCATTTAGATAAAGCATATCCTCCAGAATATCATCTTTTACACCCTTACCCTCTAACGTTCCTTTTGCCTTGACACTGATGTCTTGAGCATCTCACTGGAGGTACAAAATTATAGTCGATGAGGATTCGTGATGGTTTAGTGTCAAGACTACTGGAAGGGCCAGGACCGAGGTTTTGAATGTGGTTGTTCTGAACCGCGAACTTGAAAGTATTCTCTGCGAGTGGGTCCTCGACCACACGATAGTGGGGAACTTTTGGTTTTCCGGATGGCTGATTGGACCATGGGTATTTAGCGGTTTGAAACTGCTGCCCCTCGAGCCTTCTGATTTGCTTCAGATTTTCTGCCATCAAGGCTCGTAACTAATTATGGTCTCATGTGTACTGAAGAAAGTAGGTATGTTATCAAATCATAGAAAGAACACTTCTTAAATGAAAATGGAAACATTAATTCTGTTGATCCGCACCTTGACATGCTCATTACTCTTCGGCGTCGGGCGCTTTCGTTGTCTCCAAATCACGACATTCATTGTTTTCCTGGCAGTAAGTATTCTAAACAAAATCATGTACTTTGTGATGAATGTATAGGTGACATGCGGTTCGGAATATCAATCTTTAGCTCTATATGACTGGATGACACCATTATGTAGGGCTGCATTGAAGGGCTAGACTGCTACTGAGTATAAGGATGGTGGACGTCTACTCGAAGAAAAGATTAAAGCGCCTGGGGTGGCTGGTCGCTTATATCTTGCGGGAGCGATGAGGTGCGCATAAATGCCTTCGTACTGTATCGATGAATGAACTGTTTTGGAAAGACTCTAAGGCACACTTGGACAATAGCAAGATTATTGTTTTATAGGTCTGTTCTTTTGCCTCCGTGGATGCTGCTGTAGAAGGAGGGCTAATATTACTATAAGGGATTTCTCAATACAACAAGCATATATTAAACAGAACTTATCTCCAGTTGAAGAAGTTGGAAACTCTAGTACTATCACGTAAAAATATTATAAGGGTCTGAGGTTGATTATTCTTAGGAATGAACAAAAAATAGAGTACTTCAATTTGTTAGAAAACCAGCAAGCCTTCCTAATCAATCGGTATCAATGTCCGATCCCGTATCTTCTCTGGCGTAGTAATTCCGTTTAGTGCTGAGGCGATGAACCTCTTTTGTATGCCTGCGAAGATGCATCTCATGTAGTAGATCTTTATCACACATCAGACATTTTCGATCCTATAAGTACTGCTTTCGAAAGTGTTGTAGCGTTGACTTATATTCGCTATATTTCTACGTCCGGCGATGAATGGAAAGTTAGGTGTTGCCATAATATTAAAAACATCGCCTAGGCTTCTTAGCCTTTTTGATATAGTTTTCGGCTTTCACAAGAAGAATGTCCTGCTGCGAAGGCTCTGGAGAGCTATAACTCTTCTTGGCTAGCTCTGGTAATACGTTAGTCTATTCTTCATCGAATCCATCACTTAGTGCTGCCCGTTTACGTCGCCCCCGTAATAGTCTACCTTTAAGGAAATAATAGTATCGGGAGATTATAGCCATAGCGGCGTTCCTTCTTTACTACTCCGCCTCTAGGGATCGAGAGGTAGGCTATGTGAATAATTTCTTAAGAAGATCAATCTACTCTGGTAGTATCTAGTCTTCTACCTCGAGTACCTTCTTCACCTCTTTATTATTAATAGTAGCCCCCGATAGCTATCGCTTAATGTCTATTATGGCCTATTTACGGTCGAAATCATGGCGGACATTCCGTCTTAGTACTCTTTCTAACTAACCAAGTGTATTAGAGATTTCGCGTGTTAATTTCTCTAATCGCGATTATATCTCTGTATTAGGATCGCATTTACACGCTTTAGCTTACTCTATTATTCACTAAGTGGCCTCGATATACTCTAGATGATTATGAAGGGACGCTCGTTGCTCTGAAGTAAGATATAAAGGGCGTCTCTTATTAATCTACCTACTCGTCTAGGTGATCGCGCGCATCAGAGACTTATTGGATTCGAGGCCGTTTATAACGCTCTATATATCAGTGTCGATATGTCATGGAAGATAATGATTTAAGAAAGTGCGAGTGTCAACGTGTTTTATGATTAGATTTTATTATGCTTCGCTAACCGCGTTACTTTCGTTTAACATCTTTCCCCCTCTATAGCGAGAACGATAGGCGAACATTAACTAAAGGAAGCCATGGATCTCCCCTATATTTCTTAGACGTCTAGACATAGCGCCCTCAGTCATTAGCTGGTTCTATTAAAGGACCGCACGTCTATTAACTACGTCGGTCTTATAGAAAATATAATAGTCTTTAACTTCGCGTTTTAAGGGTAGTTCTATCTATTATTAACCATCTTCGATGAATAGCTTTCAAAGACGCTCTATAGAGGAAAGCGTAGGGACTTCAAAGGCTTAAAGCCAAAAGAGTATACTAAAGATGAATGTATGAGGGCTAAAGATAAACGACGGATTATTAATGACTTTGGGAAAGGGAAAATTGTTACTAAGAATTAGTGTTAATATTAGGACTTTCATTGCCCGGGTTTAACGCATGATATATATACTTAGGAAGTTCCGAGAAATTGCTTTATATGCTCCGATTTGATCTCCACCAAAAGGACGGGAGGGCCCCCGTCTGGATTATCTTATATAGAGAAATTTAAATGTTTGAATTATAGCGAAAGAAGAGCATGTAGCCAGTTTATAGTAAAAACTGAGTATGTTGAAGAGATAGAGCTGGATTCGTTCGTATCTAAAATGAAATCGCCTTTCCTGAGTTCGGAGAATCGTCTTGTTTAATTTAGTCAATTCTTGGATGTATACCGGCTCCTTGCCCCGTTCTTATTGATTAAGGTTAAATTTATCGATGAGTTTCTGAATACCCTAGAACTCAGTCAGCTCTAAGCGTTAGATGAAGGGGAATAACTGACCGTATTAATCTCTTCGCTATATTCAGCTGTTATCCTAGTCCATGTGATTCTTCGATAGTAACCCCGAAATCCTTTCCAATCAGCTTTCAGGGCGCTAGCTTTCGATGTTCCCTTCAGATGATGAACGTTTTCGCCATACTTTAGCTTCATGTAGTAGTTGAAAAATTGATGCACGTCATTAGGGGTAACCTCGCGTAGTGCCTCCTCCAGGTCATCCCATTTCAAAAGCGCACCAGGCTAAGCAGCCTTCACTTGGCAGTACCTACGCCTCGCATTAGTAACCACCTCCCTATTGCGTAGGTCTGAATTAATACTTACTTACGCCAGCGCTTTTCTATTCGTAGACCCCGAACCTTGGTTTTTTCCGAGTGCCTATAATCAAGGGGTACGTTTACAAGGTCCTCGTTTGTGTCGTCATTCGGGTCATCACTGAAATCGGGCAGAACACCAGCGTCCGCTAGGCGGCGCATGGGTCGTTTTAGGCGGGGTGAAGGCCCGCTACGATGCTCAGGAAGACTGGTGGGCTCCGGAGTTGTTAGCTCGGATGAATTTGAGGCTTCCCCAGAATCGGAGTCATCGGTCGCATCGAAGTCAGGCCGGAAAGACACCCCGGAAGCGTCACTATCGGTCGCAGAGGATGGATCTGCAACGTCGCTCATGCTGCCTTAGGGGAAACAAAAGATGTGTGCGAAGCCGCTCTAGGCAGATAGACAACTCAACGGGAAGGACGAACGACCGTGACGCACGCGTTGAAGGAGGGACCGACAAAGGACAGGTACCAGATGAGAGGATAGCTACGTAGGAGAGTAAGGAGGGACTAGTGGCAGCTTTATGGCCGTGGACCCCATTGCTCCAGCGGCCAATGGGCCAGGGATGGAGTGTGCCATTTTTGGCGACCTCAGAAAACGAAGGGTCATGGTAGCGCTCAAGGAGCAGGACTGGGGGGTGAGTAGAAGTCGATGGAAAGCAGGAGCGGGGCTCTGGGGCCAGGGGAGGGCAGCCACGCGCCTATGCACCGGCATGGCTAAACAAGAGCGTGACCGAGCGCGTTACAAGGGGCTGGTGATAGCGCGTGGCTCTGGGGGCGAAAGTGCGTGTGCGGAAGAACGGTGCCGAGGAGGCCATTTTCGGCGCACATTGACGCCAGAACCGGCCGCCTCAGCACAAATGCTTTTTGTTATCGGGTAATATTATCCTTTTAGATAGTATACTTATATTTATAGTAAATCATGACCTGAAATTCGACGTTAGTAGAAAAAAACTCGCTAGTATTAGGGGTAGTATAGGATATACTAGAAATAGAAATATATATCCTAGAATATGTAGGTGGATTCTAGATAATTAGAAAACTAGATTACTAGAACTTAGTTAACTAGCCTTAGAATAAAAATAGGATTATAAATGAAATAAAATGAATCACCCCCTAAATTTTCACCTTAAATAATCCTTATTATGATATAAACCCTATTAGGTCTATAGTAGTAGTTATTATACTATGATATATTATAGGCGGGCGGGGTTAGTACCCTATTAAAAAAAACTAGTCAACTTTGAACCCCTAAAAACACCTTTTTTAGTAATAGGAATGCTTTAAAATTCATTCTAGGCATAAAACGGAGGGTATTACTAAATATATAAAAATATAAGCTACCCTAGAGGGTAGAATATAAATCCATTAGTATCATAAAGCTTAAATCCATTAGACCCTAACCCACTTTTATTTCCCCATACTAGAGCCGCTTACCCTAAATCCATCAGTGTCCAATGGATTTACCCCTATGGGTTAGGCTAGACGAGAGGGATCAGCAATGAATTCATAGTTACTCTCTTTGACAGTCTTTTGAAACATAATATTTCCCTCGACAGACTTTCCTAGTGTAATTTGTTAGGTTTGCCGAAAATATCTGGGCCTGACACTTTACATCAACTCCCTACACTCTTTGAAAAATTTGGAGACATTTAATCGACTCTGATTGTAACATCGGCAAAGCTTTACTAATCGTGGAGTAAAAATCACTAAGGCTTAAAAGAACGCACATCTCGTAAGCCACAAAATTCGCAATAAGCACACTGTATTCTCAGTTATTACCCACCAGCTGTACTGTAGCAGAGTTCGGTTTCTCAGAAGCCTCGCCAAAGGCCTTTTCTCCATCGAAAATCAACGAAACTTCTTCCAAACTGTGACCCTTGGTTTCAGGGAAGCCGACGTAGACAAGAACGATTTCAATGGCAATCACACAGCAGTAGACAATGTAGTATTTCCAGCTAATTGCACCCATCGCCACGGGATTTGTATACCCGTTGAAGAGAATGGCGCAGGTAGCCGCGATCTGCATGATATTCGTACCCTTGGCACGGAGATGGGTAGGCAGAATTTCAGTGACATAGACCCATGGTGGCCCATTGAGACCGGCGTTATAGAAAAACTGATACATGAAGATCATAACAATGACGCCCGTACCGAGAGATGTATCATTGAAATCCCTCTGCTCGTTAATTGCTGATAGGATCGTCCAGATCACGTAGCATGTCAACATGCCTACTGTCGAGAAAAGGGAACAGGCGTCGCCGACCGACGATTTCCATGAATGATGCCAAGATGATTGAGACTACCAGGTTGAAAACAGTAAGCCCACCATTGATGCGGAGCTGCTGTGGGTCTGACGTGAAGCCGATCGAATTCAAAATAAGGTGGAGGTAGTAGGCAATCAACCCATTGCCGGAGAGCTGCATCATGCAAGGGACTGTGATGATGATAAACAAGCGGTGCAGATTGCCCTTAGTGCTAAGGAACTCGCGATAGCCGGTGCTTGAGGCACTTTTGGCGGCCTGTATATGGAAGATGATTTCTTTCATCTCGAACTCCACGAGCTCGGAGTTTTCATCTCCACCGGCGTGGTACTTGGTAAGCACTTTACGGGCTTCGTCGTACCGATCTTTCTGTACTAGGTACCGCGGGGATTCGGGAAGCAGGTAGACGAAAATGACTTGTAACAAAGGGAAGAATCCCTGCAGTAACGAGGGAATGCGCCAGGCCCATGAGGCGTCGGGGCCCATAAAGTAGGTGCCATATGTGACCCATGCGGCGAGCAAGGCCCCTAGGTACCACAGGTTGTTGTAATAACCGACCAAAACAGACCGATGAGTTGGATATGCCAGTTCGCTGACTAGCAACGGCGATGCTTCGACGGCAATCAGGCCTCCGAATCCGATGATCATGCGGGAGGCCAAGAACATCCCATAGTTTTGGGCAGCACACTGAAGAATTGCACCAATGACTAGGAGGGCCGATCCGATGAAAATTGGGAAACGTCGACCGGTGTGGTCACATAGCCAAGGAGCAATAGGAAAAGCGAGAATCTGCCCAAAGATGACACCGTTGGAAAGGGAGCCCAAACGTGTCCCGGTCGGCGAGTGGAAGAAGTCCTGCCACTGGCTCATTGACTGCAGGCCGTTAAGCATGGAGCCATCATAGCCGTTGGTAGTCGATGAAAGGTAGGGAATGATCATCCCGAGGTTGAGAAACAGAAGATGACGCTGCTTGTACCAAGGTATGCCATTGTCGGGCAGAACGCTTTTGAGGCTCCATTCGCCGGGTGGAGTGTTGTGGATGTCATGGATCTCAGCGATTGTCTCCACGCCTTTGTCGCTCATCCTGGCGGTTTCGCTGATGTCTATCTTATGGCTGTTTTCAATCCTTGACTGCGTAAGACGGAAAGTTGACTAGAATGCTAGTGAGCATCAAAGTTGACGTGGTACGGTTCCTAATATATTCATTTTTTGTTCGAGAAACCCGTGATTCCGCATTAATGAATTTGATTGACGAAAGGTGAGTAGCCCAACTCTAGATGTCAGGGTACCTTTTTTTGTCTTTGAGTTTACCAGGGGAGAAGGCTGGCAAGATCGTATCCGAGATTCCAAAACTCCGCGGGGTCTAACGCAGTGTGGCAGCGCAATAGCACTGGTCGGCTCTGTTATGAACCAACCGTTTGGGTCGACGGGTGAGAGACCACGTCAAGGTTCGTCCTAATCTCTAAGCGAGACGACGGCAGTTTCCTCGCTGCGGAGACCCCGGCTTTCTCTGTCAGTCCGGGGAAGGGACAGTGCGAATTGGCGGGGCGAATGGGATTAATTTCCCGATGTCAACCGTTGCGCTCATGACCCATGCTAACTAGATTAGGACGAGGGTCCAGGAAGTCAAAAGGGCACTAAAGCCAAAGAAGACCAAGGAGGGAAACCCCTAAGTTCATTTTCCGAAACTCCGCTGAATATTTAGCTCACTTGATGGCCGGCCTTTTCTCTGCGAATGCTGCAAATACCTGCCTGTCATGAGACTATGTTCCATCCCTAATGGAGACAGTCTATCAGCCCAGGATCCAATCGGAGACCTCGGTTGCCGAAAGGGAATCCCCCAGTCCTCCCGCTGACAAGGCAAGTCCACAGAAAAAAAGGCATTCTCGTGCCGCCGGGATATACCCGCGAAAGCGAGCTACCCAGGCTTGCCATACGTGTCGCCTTCGACGGACTAAGTGTGACAATACCCGGCCCTCGTGCGCATCATGTCTCCGCCTCGGAGCGGAATGCACCTATCAGCAGATAGACCCGTCAACGTAAGTGCTACGCCCAGACTGGCATTAGGTTTTCAGGGAGAATTCGGAGTAAAGCAGCTAATTGCCGTAATAGATTCGATTCTGCGAGCCTAATGATTCTGAAACGGATGGATGATCTAGAATCTCTGATCCAAAGCAAGGTCAATGACCCACTCCCAGCGAGTTTATCTAACAACGTACCTTCAACCTCGCCGTCTATCCCTTTCGAGGACATATCTGTAATCGACGAGCAGACTCAGTGGAAGCCGTCTTTTGCCAACATAGATGAAGTCCTGAAATGGCCTGTGTTCGACGATCAAAACCTCGGCCAGCAGTTCCGGTTACTCTCTCTGCCCGAGGAGGATAGATGTCAACCGGAACTGCCGATATCTGTTGATCTCGATTTCCATGCGGCCGATCATCTTCTTCGAAGCTTTTTTGATGACGTTCACATTTTCAATCCAACTTTGAAAGAGGAAGATGTTAGAGAATACATGAAGATTGTACAATTGAATGGTATTGGCTGGGATGCCACATCCTGCTTAATGGTAGGCTCCACTTCTTCGTCCCATGACTTGATTATTCACTTAATTCATTGAATGGCAGCTTCTCATATATGCCCATGGCTCTATCGCAACACCGTTTGTCAACAATGGGCCAGGTGTATCGTCTTCATCTTTTCGCCAGTCAAAGGGCTTCCTCCAGGCCGAGTCGTATTTTTTTGCCGCGCAAAAGCGAATGGGCATGCTCCTTTGCAGAAATGGCGCGATAGAAGCGCAATGCTTCTTTCTGGCTGGTGTATACCTTATGACAACATTGCGACCAGTCGGAGCTTGGAGGATGTTTGTACAGGCATTAGCTTGCTGCCAGGGCTTTTCCATCCATCGTACAAAGGATAATGCCTACGAAGATGAATGGAACACCAAACAGAGGATATATTGGACATGTTTTAAGTCTGAGTTGTAAGTATTACAAACTCTGTCTGATACGCCATCTTATCTCATGACTTTCCTTTGCCAATAGAGAACTCCGGCTTGAGCTGAACCTTTCACAAAAGAATGTGTTAGATTTGAGTTACCCAACCTTTTTCCCATCGCCACCTGATGGACTCAAAACCAAGGACGAAGCAGCATGGTACTTTTACTTGGCTGAGATTGCTTTGCGAAGACTGGAGAATCGCATTTTAGGATACCTTTATCAGCCAAATGCGCCTATCCCAGTATCGAAGATGGAATTTGCAATTCTTGATTTTGAGGAGCAAGCAGATGCATGGTATAAATTATTGCTTTTCAACCGAAAAAAAAAAATTGGAGTGTCCTAACCTTTCTGTTCTCTTAGGTTGCGATCGCTCCCTGAAGCCTTGGCTCTAGATATCGAAACCCCCGACAAGGACCAATACGAGCCTTTTCGATTCATCCTCAGTGGACACTTTCTCGACTGTCAAGAAACAATGTACTGGCAGTTTTTAGTGGAGGCTATCCATGGCCGAGCCCACGATAGCAACGATCTATTTCTTCGGAAGGGGCTGAAGGTATGCGTAGATAGAATCCAGCAGAACCAGAAGGGCTTCTACCACCGTCACCATGGGACATGGCTTATGCTCCGATCTTGTACAAGGAGCGCACTAGTCCTACTTGCCGCTGAGCGGAGTGCGAACCTTGTGCATCTGCTGCCAATAGGCTGGGAGGAAGCGGTATTCGGCGTGATTAAAATGCTGAAGTTTTGGAAGGACGAGTCTAAGGATGTTTCTGAGATGTTTGAGATTTTGCAGGCACTTCCGAGTGCGAGGTTATCTAGTTACATGGGACTAGCTTGCTAATGCATATATTTTACACTTGTGCTCGAACTTTCACATAACTCAGAAAGCACATTTTGCACCTGCAGGATACGCGGCCAGGATCTAGTTGAATTGAGTTAGGCTAAAATCCACAGTAATTGAACATGCCAAATACAATTTCCATTCGCTCTGTATGTCTTCTGAGTAGGAAGGTATTATCGGATGCATGCAATCTAGTCCGCGATGGAATTGCGTTCTAAATTCAGCATCCAACCCCGATACTCCGCGATGAACGGTCTTTTCCCGCTTGTCTTTTCCCGGTGATTTCCCCACTGCAACACATATTCTAGGCACAATGTTCCTTAAGAAAACTAGATAAAGCTTTTTATAAGAAGGAGATTCGCCCTTTAAAATGTCCAATTTTGTTTTTAGATCTTTTTCTTTACATTTGATCATCCCCCCAAGATGTCAAACATCGACATTGAACATGCGCTCGAGGAACTCTCATTGAACGAAAAAGTCTCCCTACTATCAGGTTTGTGGCGATCGTTTACAGAAAATGGCACCGCTAACTGCATTAACAGGAGTCGATGGCTGGCACACGGCAGCAATCCCACGACTGGGAATACCCCAAATTCGCATGTCAGATGGACCCAACGGTGTTCGTGGCACACGTTTCTTTAATGGAGTGCCCGCGGCCTGTCTTCCTTGTGCCACAGCGCTTGGTGCCTCCTTCGACACCGAGCTTATCTTTTCCCTTGGAAAGCTTCTCGGTCTAGAGTGCAAGGCCAAGGGTGCTCATGTCCTTTTAGGCCCGACTATAAACATTCAAAGAGGGCCACTGGGCGGCCGAGGTTTTGAATCCTTCTCGGAGGATCCTGTGCTTTCGGGCTCTTTGGCTGCGAGTTATTGCTTGGGCGTACAGACTGAGAATGTGATCCCGACACCAAAGCACCTCGTCTGCAATGACCAAGAACATGAGCGAGTCGCTGTTAGTGCACTCGTCACTGAGCGTGCTTTAAGGGAGATATACCTGCTTCCATTCCAACTAGCCATTACAGGAGCTAATCCTGGTGCTCTTATGACCTCTTACAACAAGGTCAATGGATGTCACGCTAGCGAGAGCCCCGAATTGCTTCAAAATGTTGTTCGGAAAGAATGGAACTATAAGGGACTCATCATGAGTGATTGGTTGGTTGTTCATGTCTTATTTGGTTTCTTTGGCTGACAAAAAACAGGTTTGGAACCTATAGTGTGTCTGAGGCTGTCAATGCCGGTCTGGATCTTGAGATGCCCGGCCCATCTCGATTCCGAGGGCCTGGTTTAGTGCACGCCATCACATCGAATAAGGTGTCAGAAAGGACTATTAACGAGCGGGTTCGTGCTGTGTTAAGCATGGTAAATCTAGCGGCCAAGTCGAGAATTCCCGAAAAGGCACCCGAAATACAACGAAACTTTCCCGAGGACAAGGCCCTACTTCGCAGAGCAGCATCTGATTCAATTGTTCTTCTCAAAAATGATGATGAAATACTTCCTCTCGATCCTACGAAGAAGACTCTCGTGATAGGACCTAACGCCAATATCGCGGCATATTGTGGTGGAGGCTCTGCTGCCTTACCAGGGTACTATGTCGTTACTCCTTTAGAGGGAATCACAAACAGATGTACCGGCGACGTTGCATTCACACAAGGAGTCTATGGTCACAAAGAATTGCCCCTCCTTGGCACTCAGTTAAAGACCGAAGACGGTCGAACCGGGTACATGTTCAGCGTGTTCACTGAGCCGTCCACGAAGAAAGACAGGAAGCCGGTCGAAGTGTTGCACATGACGAGTAGCTCCGCATTCTTGATGGACTATAAACATCCCAAAGTTCATTCAGATCTGTACTACATCACGATGGAGGGAGTCTATCAACCTACTGAAAGTGGGTTGTATGACTTCGGCCTGACAGTTGCCGGTACCGGAGAGCTTTTTATCGATGGGGAGCTGGTGGTTGACAACAAGACCACTCAGCGGCAAGGAACCTCTTTCTTCGGTATCGGTACTCCAGAAGAGCGTGGCTCCAAGTACCTCGAGGCAAATCGAAAGTACAAGATATCCGTGGACTACGGTACCGCTCCCACTTCCAATCTAAAACTACATGGTGTCGTCTCATTTGGGCCTGGAGGAGTGCGAGTTGGAGGATGTCGGCGGATCGATGGAGAATATGCCATCCAAGAGGCTGTTGATCTGGCAAAAAGAGCTGACCAAGTCGTGTTGTGTGTTGGCCTAAGTGGTGAGTGGGAAAGTGAAGGTTTCGATCGTCCACACATGGTCCTTCCGTCTATGTCAGATGAATTGGTTGAAAGAGTACTTGCTGTTCAGCCAGATGCGGTGGTGGTTGTGCAAAGTGGAACACCTGTGAATATGCCATGGGTTCAAGATACCAAAGCTTTGCTTCATGCCTGGTATGGTGGAAACGAAACAGGAAATGGCATTGCAGATGTCATCTTCGGAGATGTTAATCCGGTAGGTACTGGGAGTACTCAGCATTGACATCTGCTAATAATATTTCAGACTGGAAAGTTACCTCTCAGCTTCCCAGAGAGCATCGAGCAAAATCCAACATACTTGACTTATCGCTCAGAAAGGGGCCGGGTACTGTATGGCGAGGATATCTACGTGGGCTACCGCTACTATGAGAAGACCAAAGTAAAGCCACTGTTCCCTTTCGGCCATGGCCTCTCATACACTTCGTTTCGTCTTTCAGATCTTTCCGTCTCACAGCCTTTGAAAAATTTGAACAAAATCAAGGAAGAAGTACTGGAAGTTCTGGTGTCAGTGGAGAACAATGGGCCCCGCAGTGGCGCAGAGACTGCACAGGTCTTCATCTCACCGCCGTCCAGCTCCAGCGTTGCACGTCCTGTCAGAGAGCTCAAGGGCTTCAAGAAAATAAAGCTGGAGCAGGGTGAGAAACAAGAGATTTTAATTACCATTCCACTTGCTCTAGCGACCAGTTTCTGGGATGAGGGTCGTTCGGCATGGCTTAGCGAAGCGGGTGAGTATACCGTCAGTGTCGTTGGTACCGGGGAGGAGAACTCGCTTTCGGAACCATTTACTATTGCCCGCACCAGGGATTGGAATGGCTTGTTTGGACCTGCCATACATGCTCCTACTGTGCAGGTCAATGGCAATGGAAAGTAGGGTCGCAATTTTACCAGGGGTAGCCCGGGATTTGGTACAGTCCAACAAGTCACATTATGATGAGAGAGTCTATAAATAATTAGTAAATATGATGTTAACCGAGATTTCTTTTGTCGTAGAAATTCAGCGGCATTGAGAGGAGTGTTCACACAGCGTTCGAGTTCGGATTTTGCATCGTGTCCTCTCCTGCAACTCCTATCCATAGTCCAGGACCTTTGTGCAAAACGACCTCATTATATGCTTGGAAATGTTACAAGGCGTTTAGGCGTATTTTATTCTTGCAGACACTACGAAAATCTGAACAATGCGTAATTGACAATTGTTTCATCGCCTCACCGTCATGATGGGAAATATTTCAGTCAAGGAATGTAGATAATATTTAGGCCCAGATAAAGCGATTTCACGACTAAGAACTCACAATCGGCATGGATTGCTGGAAAATCATATACCCGGTTGACCTTGATACATAACTATCATGCTAGCACTAACCGTGGAAATCCGCCCACTTCATGCGACTGATGTCAATTATCACGTCGTTGCATATGCCACCCCAATATCCGAGAGACCATTGCCTGCGTCATTTACAAGATAATCGGGAAACACTCCAAAGTAAGCATATCGCTCTACATAGCTTTGCTCATCCAACCATGGCAGTACCTGCTGTAGAAAGGCGATCTGCTGCGCATCTGACCCATAACACTCAAACTCTGTGATCCACACAGGCAGATTCAGCGTCTGATATGCCTCTGTAACGTTGCCTTGGAACCATTCGGCACCACTTTGTCCGTTGCCCGGGTCGCAGTCTTGGTACCAGTGAATTGCAGCAAAGTCGAAGTAGCACCCAGTGCAGTTTCCCAAGAAATACTGCGTCCATTGGGCGGAGTCATAGTTGCCGCCGGAGGAAGAGCCGACATTGTTCCAAAGAACATTCGGCATGCCAATCTTGACCTTCTCGGCAAACGGCTCCATGTAGTTCTGATACCCCGCCGCTGCATTAGCCGGCAGAATATTAGAAGAGCCTGAATAAGTTAGATCTGGCTCGTTGAAGCCGAGAATGTTCAAGGTGCCTGCAGTTTCGACCGCAGCAGTCCAGTCGGGGTCAGAGCCACTGGGGAGGCCCCAAAGCATGGGAACACTGCGTCACACTGTCAGCATCCGCCATATCTTAAAGAAAGCTGCTTGCGACTATACAATTCAAAGTCCGAATCTAGGCCCCAGGATGGATATCCCCAGTCATAACCCCATGAAATCTTAGGGTACCCCGCAAAAAGATTTGCATAAGCGGCATTACCGTCGGGATTGTTGTTGTTGTATGCTAATCCACGCTTCGCGACGATGGTAGCAGCGGACCGCTTTGCAGTATCGGAATGGCTTGAGTGGCCTTTAAAGTTTACCCATTTGGAGTAATTCCGGAGCACTTTATCGACGATAGCCTCCACCGCAGGGATCTCAAACTGCTCTCCAACCACGAGTAGCGGCAGAGCGCAGAGTACTAGTGCACGGGTAAGAATCATAGGTGCTGGAGGCAGCTAAAGATTGATAAAATATTTTCTGGTCGCTGAGAGCGATCGATTCTAGAAGATGGAAGCAGGTAGTCTTCTACATATACGACCATCACCCCGCTATATTCTTACTTCACTCTAAAAAGGATGCCCCTTATCCATCCACGACCTGTCATTAGAGTTTCACTCTTACAAGCTGCTATGAAATTTTGGCGAAATCTGATGCTGGATAGCTAGTCACAGAATGCTCGCGGAGTGTCGGGCCAAGTCACCTTTGAACTCGTCTGTCTAATAGAGTCAACAAATAAACCCGAAATGCTGCAGAACATTCAATTCGGGTGAGTGGCTTCCTCGGCAGAATTTGAAGCAGCATAGCTAGAAACAGACAAATAGCGGAATATCGGGGTAAGCGTTATGCAAATTTTGACCACATCAGGCTAATGAAGTCAATTAATTAAAATCAAAATTCCACACGGTATTAGATCCGAGAATATGACACGCCGAAGCCCGGTCAATGAGGGGTTTTGCAGAATTTTTAGTGTAGGGTCGGGGCGTTCGAAACAATTCTCAATCAGGGGGCGTTTAGTATAACACATCGATGTAACACCATGTATTTTGAAGGGTGGGAATAATTGGCGAGGGTGAAAGGCAAAAGTTAAATAAATTTGAAATGCGGGGATTGGCTGTGACCTGGTCATGCAGGGGCATGCAAGTATATTGCTTTGGCTAAACATTGCCGGTAAATACCCGCATGCGATCCTAGTAAACGCGGGGGAAAGTCACTGGCCTTCTTCGTTCCCCACTTCAGACCCTCTGTCCTGCCTTATTCTCGCTTTTCGGGTTAGCAAAGGTGCCATCTGCCCAATCATTCCAGATATCGCTCATGATACCCAACAACGGGCACAAACCCCGTCTGAAGAATAACTGAAGAAACGCTCAGACTCGCTCGGGAAAAATTTGGCTTTAATTGGTAAAATTTAAAATTTTAATAAGGCTCCTAACCGGATCAGTATCCTGCTGAATGAAGTCAATCGTCCTCGGTCTTTCAGGGTTGTTGTAATAAATGGCATCAAAACCTCGTTCCGAAATTCCGCATGAGCTTACTTTCCACATTGCACTCTGTAATAACACTGACATAGGTTGTTCACATTCCGGTTGCCTACTCCTCCCGGTCGGTGAGTCCTAGTGGCTTACTTTTCCCCATACCTACCCACCCGGGCTAGAAAGGTCAGAGGGACTCATCTCTGACGAAACGCGGGGATGATTGCCAGATAGCCTCGAAATTTGAGGCAATATGTCATCTTCTAGCCGTCTGGTGCTCTAGTCCCTCACCCAATCTCTAGAGAAATTGGGATTGGTTCCAGGGTATACAGGTCAAATATCGTGTCTCGCACACGATGTATAAGAACCACGATGTTTCCCCAATATAATTCAAGTGGTTCTAAGCAAGCTTCCCGGCACCAACGAGTCTCAGTCTTCAATCATGTTACCTTACAAAGCTGTCCTGTTTGTCCTCTTCGGAGTGTCCTTTGCGGTTCCCGCGGAAAAACGAAGCTCTAGCTGGTCGTTCTTGGGCTGCTATACGGATAACGTCTCGGGGAGATCCCTGGCAGAGGGTATCCCTGCTCCTGGAGGGGCGACCAACATGACCGTACAGAATTGCCAAGTCGGGTGTCAGGCTTTAGGGTTCACTCTGGCTGGGCTAGAGTACGCTGATGAATGCTGTAAGTCCTATGAACCACTTATATCCACGTAACCTAATTTGGTCATAAGATTGTGGCAATACCCTTCGAAATGGTGGTGGCCCGGCCTCGGATGGAAGTACTGGCTGCGACATGGCATGTTCTGGAAATACTGCCGAGACTTGTGGAGGGCCCAATCGCCTGGATCTGTACCAATATGGTACTGCTGTATCCACCACAACATCTACTACAACGGCCACGGCTGCCACGGCTACAGGATCATCCAATTACTGGTACGAGGATATTGAACACCAGGGAATCTCCGCCTTTGGCCCCTCTGGATATACGGTCTATCGAAATGTAAAGGATTATGGCGCCACTGGTATATCTCACCCTTCTATTTGGTTTGGATCGAGACTAACCCTATTTCACAAGGAAACGGTGTTACTGATGATACGGCTGCGATCAACGCTGCTATCAGTGAGGGCGGTCGTTGTGGGGAGGGTTGTTCATCCAGCACCACCACTCCGGCAGTGGTATATTTCCCAGCAGGAACCTATTTGATCTCCTCATCGATTATAGACCAGTACAACACAATTCTACTGGGAAATCCAAACAGTCTACCAACGCTAAAAGCTAGCTCCGGCTTTTCTGGCTTTGGCTTGATTGATGGCGACAAATATTATACTGCATCACTCAACTGGGGCTCAACAAATGTGTTTTACCGCCAAGTGCGTAACCTTATCCTAGACATGACTAGCATCCCGGCTACTTCCTCAGCCACTGGAATTCATTGGCCCACGGCCCAGGCAACGAGTCTGCAGAATCTCGTTTTCAAGATGAGCTCGGCATCAGGCACGCAGCACGTGGGTGTTTTTTGTGAATCAGGTGCGTTGAACATTTAAGATTTTGGGGCTATCTCATTGCTAAATCGAACAGGTTCCGGTGGTTTCGTCACCGACTTAACTTTTAACGGCGGCTTATATGGCATCCAGGTTGGCAACCAGCAATTCACTATGCGCAACTTGGTTTTCAACAACTGCGTCACCGCTATCAGTCAGATGTGGGACTGGGGCTGGGTGTATCAAGGCATCACTATAAGCAACTGCCAAACTGGCATAGATATGTCCGCGGGTGGTTCATCCAACCAGGCGGTGGGCTCAGTGATTCTTGTGGACAGCACAATCACCAATACCCCGGTGGGATTGCTGACAGCATTTGCTGAAAACGTGGCCCATAATGTGGCCAATGGCAGTCTCATTATTGACAACAGTGTTTTCAGTAATGTCCCAAATATTGTCAAGTCTACCTCTGCAGGCACTGTTCTGGCAGGCAGCAGCGGCACTGTGACGGTAGCTGGATGGGGTGAGGGCAACAGTTACACAACCTCCGGCCACACACGTTTCCAAGGCTCGTTCACTCCCATTACTCGACCTTCAGCACTCCTAAGTGGCCCCAACTATTACGTCCGGTCGAAACCCCAATATGACTCCCTCGCGGTCTCCTCTTTTAAGAGCGTGCGCAGTGCTGGTGCCGCTGGTAATGGAGTGACGGATGATACGAGTGCATTACAAAGCGTGATCAACAGTGCCACGGCGGCTGGACAAGTGGTGTTCTTTGACGCCGGCACATACAAAGTCACTAGCACTTTGTTAATTCCTCCGGGGGCAAAACTGGTCGGTGAAGCATACTCGGTGATCATGTCCAGCGGCAGCTACTTTAACAACATCAACTCCCCCCAGCCTATCGTTCGAGTGGGCAATGCCGGACAAGCTGGTCAGGTTGAATGGTCCGACATGATTGTTAGCACACAGGGTGCCCAGCCTGGGGCCATTCTAATCGAGTGGAACTTAGCTTCCTCCGGGACTCCCTCGGGAATCTGGGATGTCCACGCCCGCATCGGAGGGTTCACAGGCTCCGACTTGCAGGTGGCTCAGTGTGAAAAGACTCCCTCCAGCACCTCTATCAACTCCGCTTGTATCGCCGCCTATATGAGTCTGCATGTGACCGCATCAGCCTCAAACCTATACATGGAGAATGTGTGGCTGTGGACCGCAGACCACGATATCGACGACGCATCAAATACCCAAATCACCGTTTACAACGGGCGCGGTCTCTATATTGAAAGTACCGCTGGAACATTCTGGCTGTACGATTTACCTTCAATTTTTGGTTTACGGGCGCAGTGAGCTAATAAGGAATAGAGTCGGAACGTCGGTGGAGCACCACACTCTTTACCAGTACCAGTTGGCCAATACTAAGGATATTTACATGGGATTCATCCAGACGGAGACACCGTATGTTTTTCTTCGTTCATGATCCTCAATACTGCAGTGCGGAAGTGACTAACCCCTCGAACGTAGCTATTATCAACCCAACCCATCAGCGCCTGCACCATTTACTGTGGAGTCCTCGTTGAATGACCCCAACTTTTCTACTTCCTGTTCTGGCCAGTCCGCAAACTGCAACGACGCCTGGGGGCTCCGAATTGTGAACTCCAACAGCATCCTTGTATACGGTGCCGGGCTTTATTCGTTCTTTAACAACTACGACGGCAGTAGGCTGAATCCTTTCTCTTTTATATAATTCCGAACTTGGTTCAGAAATGCTAATCTTAGACTAGCCTGCAATGCCCAAAATGGCCCCGAGAATTGTCAACCGAATATCTTCGACTTGGAAGGAACTGTCGAATCAATCGAAGTCTACTGTTTAAGTACTGTCGGCGTGCAGAACATGATCAGCCAAAACGGCGGATCTCTGGCACTCTACAGTGATAATGTTGATGTTTTTACTGACACCATCGCCTTGTTCCAAATTCCGGCCTAGGATCAGCTTAAGGTTCGATTTTTCATACATCATCAGTGCTCTGGTTACTTCTTATACTTTAGGGCATACAAATTTAAGAAAACAAAGAAAAGAACTTGTTTTGTACTTTTGGTAGCTTTATTTCTCCCCTTATAATGAAAAGAGAAGAAATGCATCTTACGCGTCTATTAACCGTTAATACTAAGACACAATTTATCTAAGATCATAAATATATAGATTTCTTCGGGGATAGTAGGGGCCTGGGGAGGATGTAATAGAGGTAGTGTCCTCTTATTAAGTAAATAAATAGTGCTATAGGGCAAAACGCTCCTTTGGATTTAGACTAAGCTTCTAAGGACTAAGTACTCGATAGATGCCTCTATTCTAGACCTAGACAAAACCCGCGGGGGCTACTAAATTCTAGGTGCCCATGGGTCCTTAGTTATATAGGCCGGGATAATATGGTTTTAAGTACCACGCCCACTCCTATAGGATTTTTTTTTACCTATTTCCCGTCCTAGGTATAGCCATAGGTTTCCTATAGGAGTCGCAAAATTACCTATATCTATATAAAGTCCCTATATAATCTACTAGCTAAGAATGCTAAAATATTAGTAATTTATCTAGTTTCTATATATAATATAAACCCTATTAGGTCTAAGTAGTAGTTATTATACTATGGTATATCACGGGCGGGCGGGGTTACTACCCCATCAAAAAACTGGTTAACTTTGAACCCCTAGAGTCACCTTTTTTAGTGGTCGGAATGCTTTGAAATTCGGTTTGCGCATAAAACGGAGGATGTTGTAAATCATAAAAAAATCTAGGCTTCCCCTAAGTCTAGAATATAACGGTATTGGTATCTTGTTGACGTAACGGCATTGGTATCTGGCCTGCTTTTTCTGCCTATACTTAAGGAACGCACCCTAACGGTATAGGTGTCTAATGGAGTTACCCCTATGGGTTAGAGTAGACCCTAAACCCTTTCCCCACCCAACCCCACATCATCTCAACTTCCAAGATTCCAAGGTTCCAAGGTTTATCTTCCAATTCCTAGCAACTCACGGAAAATGGCGTGGCCACTTCCCTCAGAGATAACTGGCCGTATTGTGTCACTCATCGAAAACCCATTGACTCGTATAGACACCAAGCTCAGATTGGCTCAATATGCTACAGTGAACCGCGACTGGCAGCCCATTATCGAGGAGCGAAGCTGGGCGAAAATCCAAGTCAAGACAGGAATCCCGTTGAATCTAGACGAATTTGAAAGATTGACAAAGGATCCACGACGCCAATCATATATTCGGGATATCGAATTGATCGTGGAGCTCGAGCCTTACGATGAAGCTGCCAGAGCTCAATTCGAGACCGAATTTGAGCATGAGCGCAATAATCAGATCTTCTCTGAAGCAATCCGCTCAGTCCTTCAAATCGTTGCGAAATGGAGACCATCGCAAGGTATCTCGCTCTCCATCAAAGTTCAGTCCCCTAGTGATCTGGTTGCTACTCCAAATAGACTGAGGCGAATAAAGGCCGCCCGTGGCGAGCGGACTGCAGATATCTTGAACCGCAGATTTGAGAGAAACTACCTTCGACTTAATGCATTCGAGAGCCAGACAGCACCAATCAGCATTGTGCATAGTCTCAAAATAGAGGCCTTAGCTGACAGACGACAAATTGAGGCGATTTCGTGCGCGCGTCTGGTTTCGAGATTTCCTAACCTCCATACACTTAAGTTGCTATTGAATGACACTTGCAAACGCGATAAGGGTCTAAGAAAACGCAACCGCGACGGTATGTTCCATCTACAGCCAAACCATCTATTCTTCACTACATAGCATGTTCATTTTCCCAGTTTACTAATGGTGTGTTTAGAATTCGCTGCTCATTTTCACCTTTTACCGCCTAGCGTAAAAAATTTACACTTTCATTTTAATTATGGGCCACCTATGAATCACAACTTTCTCCCCAGATGATGTCACAGACGAAGGGGTGGATCCTCTCAGCTTGAAACTACATAAGTTCTCACAGCAATTAGAGACACTCAGTATCGACGGAATGACATTTGGAAATGAACTTTTCTGGCCACCGGAATCAAACGATAACTCGCCATCATGGCCTGATCTGAAAACCATCAGCATTGATTATATGCCCACAACCCCGTCCGGGAAATGGCTCTTTGTTGACCGTTCTGATCGCGACGAGGACGATCAATATGAGTCCATGGATTCAGATCCACATGATGAATGGCCAGAATATGTGAGAACGCCACTCGAAGATCGCAGCAGCGGGCCCTTCCGAGAAGTCAGTGTGCCAGGTCTCTTCAATGAGCTATATATGGCCGTGGGCCAGGCAGCATTGCGTATGCCCAAATTGGAGGACCTGCGTATGGACACAGAATCGGGAAGAGTCCATCATCGGTTCAGATATTCCACCGAAGGCGAGATATGCGCAACATGGTCTGACCGTCTCGGATTCCAGCCCGAGGAAAGGGTTCTGGAACTGTGGAAGCAAGTGGCTTCTGAACATACCGGTCAATCCCTCAAAGTCAAATTAACCTACAATTAAGAAGGCATGATCTAGAATATCACCAGTAGCCTTTTGGGAATGTTTGAAGGTTGATGATATTGTATTTCAGCTGTTCTCATTTTAGGCTTTTGTGTTCCAATTTCGAGCGGCGATTTGAATCGACGGGATCATGCTATTCTCATTTCGGCACCAATTAGATTTTTCAGGAAATAGAACACTAAGATGTCTCTTCCTTTGGACCTTTCCCTGAAGCGTACTATATATGACCGATTACCATATTATAGGCTCTAGGCCTGACTGAAAGTTCTCCCGAGCTGAACTTTCGCCATATCACACTCAGGTGATCCTATGAATGAGATTATAGAACCTCATTTGACCAGAAACTAAGACGAGACACCAATACAGTAGGCCTCCTTTGCCCAAAAGCTTTGTGCGTAAGAGAATGATTAGTGACAACTTGAAGAGGTGGAGCAAAGATCAGCGGAAGGGGAAGACTCACTTCTCACAGGCATTGTTGAGGGCCGGATTCCACTTGTCTACAACAAATTATCAAGTTAGCGGCTGTCTAAACCGTGTATCCTGGACTAGAACTGACATAGATTTGTAAGTGTGATTTTGTTGCGGTCGGCGAATGTTTGGCACCCATCATCGGTCTGGGCTAAGGCATATGCATCGCAGTTTGATGGGATATCTGCTTGTGTAGGACCTGGTGGCGTGATGCTTGTCCCGGTGGATGTCTGGCTGGCAACTGAAGAAGTTGTTGTTGTGCTGATGGTCGTCGGGGCCTTCACACAATAGGCATCATCAATTTCAAGATCAGTGCAATCCTCTGTATGAGCATATTGATTAGTCTATATTCCTTGGTTGCCTTTCTCGTGAAATCATAGAACATACCTCCAATTGCTGGATTCCAGGCATAGAATTGAGCCTGAGAGATGGAATACTCTTTTGTAATGCCCAGGCATGTGTCATTTGCCATGGCGATGTACCACTCTTCACAGCCTGAGACTATTCCGGTCTATGTAGGCCCTGGGGCACCACCAGTGGTTGTTGTAGAGGTAACGCTGGAAGTTTGGTTATAGGCCACATCTTCCCATCCAGGCCCTTGGACACAATACTAGTAGATTAAACTAGCAGTCGCAAACCTTTCACGGACAACAATCAACTAACCGAAGCCTGCATCCATAGGTTGGTGCAATCGGCACCTAGAAATTCTGATGAGAAAATTGTTATAACAGATCGAAATGATAACACATGCACCGACTGCGGGGTTCCACTTATAGAGCGCAGAAACCGGTATATTGTTGGCACGGCAAATTAAGTCACAAGAGTCGCCTGAGAACACGAAAATTTAGTTTGCGTTCGATATAATGGTTCGGTTGAATGAAAATTTCACTCACCATCTTCAGTGCCATACCAGTCATAGCACTCCGTTGTAGCATTGGCGGTCGAATTAATCGGAGCGGGTACGTATGGCAAGGTTGTGGCGGGAACAGCTATATGGTAGTTTCAAAGTTAGCTCTTGCTGGGCAGCAATATTCTGCATGGGCCCTTGAACACATTACTCACACGACTGGTTGTAGAATGAGCCACAGTACTCAGTCTCATTTGTGAGTTTGCATCCTGTCATGGTATAGTTCTGCCCATTAAGAACACTCGGGTTCCAGCGCACCCAATTGATTGTGTCAACGCCAAACAAAGACGCTGCCTGGTAGCAGGGAATAGGCCCAAAGTTGTTCTCGAACATTTCGAAGCACCCCGTCAACGAGCCACTAGCTAAGGGATAGGAAGCGGTCGTCGTGGTAATGTTTTTATATGAAGGCTTCGTGGCTGAAGGAAGACTATCCCAAGTCATTGAGGGGTCTGCAGTGAATGTGGCCATGCTAGTGGTTGTCGTTCCGCCGTATCCAGAATAAGTGGAAATGTCACCCACAGCCTGTACACAGTAGGAGGAGTCTGCAATAACGGTTAGTCGTCTCTTGCTTATGGTTGCTCTGTGGCGAAGGAGTCGATATTCACCTAGCCAGAGATTTGTGCAGTTTGCAACGATTTCAGGATTCAGAAGGTTGAAATCGCTTAGTGTGATGCCAAATTGCATTGATATCTGTGCACAACTGGCTAAAAGATGTCAGCGCAGGATTCAAGAAAAGTACAGGCAGTCGTCACTTACTATCTGCCTCGGTGACATTATACCACTGTGCACAGTTGGTGTTTGACCCCGGGCCAATATTGGTCGGAACAGAAGCAGCTGTATCCACCGTAGTGGTGCTGCCGATGTCAGCTTCAACATATCCGACAGAGTTGCTGACACAAATAATGTGACCCTTCTCGTTATCCCAATTGGCACAGAAGGGATCAATCGCCAAATTCCAGGAGAGGAGCTGAGTCAGAGTTAAGTTGAAGGAAGAAGCAACTCCCAGGCATGTATCATTCTGTTGAACAAGGTATGGCTCGCATGTGTTCTGGACACAGAGCTCAATGAGGTCCGCAGGCCAGTTCGCACACCCGCCAGCCAAGCCATTGACGCTCAAAAGCTGATCTGTGGCCACGGAGTTGCTTTCAGCAAAATCATCGCAGGTACTACCAGTTGGAATTGGAACATATGATCCAGTGCATGTCTGTGTTTTCGAATAATTGGCAATAAAAGTGCTGAATAATCACAGAAGAACGTTAGTTGGGAAAACGCAGCTAACGCAAATTCATATTCTCACTTTTGATCGCTCATGAACACTGGCGTCGGAGTTGGAATCGGGGCCACTGTGACACCACACGAAGATGCGGATGAAGAATACTGGCTGGCAAGCTCATCAATATAACCCATAGGGTTCTCCAATTGCATACGTATGATTCCGAGGCCGCAGTCTCCACATTCATTTACTTCAGCGCCGTTTGAAGTTCCATTTGTACGCAACGTATAGCAAAAGGTAGAAGGATTAGCTCTAGTTCAAACGTTAGGAAATATCAATACTTATTACTTGCAGGGCTGGAATCCTCACCCATTGGTCATGCAAGTAACATTGTCGTTGGGAAAGAATGAGTCAACGATGGCAATGGGTTGGCTGACACCCCCTCGACGTTATAGATATCGTCCGAAATACCGGTGCCGTAGACATACCCTGTAGCGTTTGATGGGGCGTCAGTGTAGATATCATTAGCACAATTTGAAATTACGGAATCTCGCATTGTCGCAATCGAGCCCGAGCAGCCGGATGTGCATAGCTCATCGAGGTCATTTTCTGTAAGACCGTACTCCAGGCTCTGTGCTCTGATTCCACTCGAGCAATCCAGCGTCGCAGCTAACGCAGTGGCACAGTCGGTTGAAAACATCGTAAGATCAGAAAGATTAAATAGTTGGGTCGTTCCTGTTACTTCCATAGTTGTTTCCACGAGGAATTCAGCATACCCAGTGGCCTTTGGCAGCCCTGTACCGGGCAAAAGCGCAGGAGAAGCAAGAGCATTTCGGCGAGCACGAATGCCTTCATGAGCACTTGCCTTGTGGTGAGAACTAGCAGTGACAAGGAGCGGCTCAACAGCAAAGACGAAGAGAAGCGCCCGAATATAATGAATGGGAGCCAAAAAAATGGCCATGTTGTAAAGAACGAATGAAAGATATAGAGATCGAATGGACTTCACTCCTTCATCACTACTGATGAAAAAGTGGGAGGGTCTTGAGAAGTTGACTGGTCTATGCTTGACAACTAGCGTAAGAAACCAACTCCCTTCGCAGGCATTCAGTCTTGAACTTCTCCTCAATTGGGACAACTAGCTAGACCCTGAACAGGGAACGGTATGCATTATCGGTTTTCGCGGAAACTAAAGCGCGGAAGTTAAAGATGAAACGATTTAAATGCGTTGGGGCAAGTGAATGCGACGGTGCATCCGATGTATTCCACTTGCTTTGCTCATTTTTAGAGGGTCCAATAGGAAAGAAGAAGAATACCGTGGGCTGCCAAAATGGGGGCCATTTTCGGGACTAGAGCCTCAAAATAGTTCGCTTGAAAGAGAAAAGGGAAAAACTATAGCATAGCCGGGCTCGCTTACGGTGGGTTAAATGCCTCACACGCCCACTTAGATCTGATCTGGTAGATGCGGTAATTGACCGAGAGACTGAAGCAGCATAAATTATGAAACAAGCGTCGAAAACCCCACCGACTAGTTCCACGACCTAGAGTAGGTGTAGCGAACTAGATTGTTAGTCGATCTTGGCGTTAGAGCTGGCCCATAGTCATTAAAGGGCCTGAGCGAAACGTGAGAAGCTTGTAATGAACAATTGATAACATGGAAAACGGCCGCAACCCAAGCCATTACAATACTTAGCTTCAGAATTCACCATAATTTGACCAGACAAAGGATTAAATAGTATTCATTGAGTTATTGAGGCAACCGGTGGAGACCGGATCTTGTGATTTGTTCATCAAGGGCATCCGAATTCCCGAGGATTCAGGGCACAATCGGCTCCACAACTCGCCTGGTGGAACCCTAATCCCCTAGTGAATACGACCTTAAATGAGGGCCTTGGCCCCAAAAATATGCGTTGTGTACAGAATGCTTCTTTCGAGCGGAAATTATACCTCAAGTGCTTCTACACTGCATTTCCGGTGTACTCCGCAGTCATTAGTCTGTGATGAGTACTAGTCAAGCGATTCCCTAGACGCTTTAATTGTTTCGTGTAAATTTCAATCATTAATTTGTCCCTCTCTTTTGTCTTCAACTGTTTTCCTCTCCTTCACATTCATTTTGCATACTTAGTGTTCCTGGAGAAAGTTACGATGCCCTCCAATGGGCGAAGATCGAGGGGGCAAACCTGCCTCCGGCTTCTTCTTTTTGTTCTTCCGGGACTTTTCGCTCTCTTCACTTCATTCATTCTCTTGAAACATACCTCCCGTGATATACCTGCTCCTCTCGTGGAATCACCCCCCATCTTGGAGGATGCCTACGACCTTCCTTTCCTGATAGACAGTGACACCTGGGCATTGCAGCATAGCAATCGCAGTGAACTTCGTCGTCGAGGAGATATCAATCAGCCGCAAACCTACTACTGTAAAAAGGGAAAGCCCTGCTCAAACGGCGCTTGCTGTGGTGAAAGTGGCGTCTGTGGATTCGGGATAACCTACTGCGGTACTGGATGTACCTCTAATTGCGATGCGAAAGCCGAATGTGGCAGAGAATCCAAATCTGGGGATGCCACATGTCCTCTGTAATTCTCCAGCGACCCTATGCCTGCTTTGTTCCTAATATGCTCATTGTTTCTAGGAACGTTTGCTGTTCTCAATTTGGATTCTGCGGTACTACTGATGTAAGCATTCCTTTCAGTTCTGAAACAACAACAAGATTTTAATGAAAGAAAGGACTTCTGCTCAATCGGGTGCCAATCGAATTGCCGCACGCCCGCCAGTGGTGGGTCCGGGGGTGATGTAAGAAAGGACATCACTGCCTACTACGAAAGCTGGCGAGCGGATGATTCTAGCAGCTTTTCAGTCAATATTGAAGAAATGCCAATTGAAGCGGTCAATGGTGTAAACTTTGCTTTTGCTTCCATTCAACCCAAAACCGTAAGTTCAAGCAGGTCGATTGCTCTATAACGCATCTCACAAATTTTCAGTATAAAATCGTACCCATGAAGAAGGGGTCTTTCGATCAGTTTGCTGAAGTGGCAGATGTGAAGCGAAAGAATCCAGATGCCAAAGTTTGGGTATCTATCGGTGGCTGGGACTTCAGCAATAATGGGTATGTACTTCCAAAGCTAGCGAAGACACGCTGTTTATGGCTGCCTACATCACTTTGCATTTTGCTTGATTCCAGATTCGAGACTTACTAGGCACCAGGACCTCGACACAGCCGTTGTTTGGAGAAATTGCAAGCAATGTCAAAAATCGGGCTACTTTTGCAGACAATCTATACAAGTTCATGAGGCAGTACGGATTTGATGGTCTGGATGTTGACTGGGAATACCCAGGTGCTGGAGACCGTGGCGGCACCGAGGCTGATGTTCACAACTTCCCTCTTCTTCTCCAAATGATTCGTACTCGGTTCAAAGCTGCTAGCAAGAACTTTGGTATCTCGATAACTGCGCCAACATCATACTAGTACCTTCGTTGGTTTGACATCTCTGCCATCGCGGACGCCGTGGATTTCATCAACTTTGTGAGCCCCCCCCCTCTTTCTTTTTTAATGATTGAGACATACAGCTGACTTGTAAAAGATGTCGTAAGTACTAGTACCAATCTGAGTATCGACGAAACCGTCTGATATTCTTTGCAGGTATGATCTTCATGGCGTGTGGGACGCCCATGATCCATATGGAAGCCACATATACGCCCATACAAATTTGACGGAGATCGAGCAGAGTCTGCAGCTTCTTTGGAGAAATAATATTGATCCTGCAAAGTTCAATCTTGGGCTTGCATTTTATGGAAGATCGTTCGAGCTGAAGGACCCTTCATGCTTTCACGCTGGGTGCGAATTCAAAGGGGCTGGGGCAGCAGGCGACTCGACTAACACAGCGGGAATTCTCTCATACATGGAGATCCAGGACCTTATAAGTGAAGGTTTAAGTAAAGGCTCAAACTCGATCATGCAGATGTATGATCCCGAAGCTGCCGTCAATTATCTCATTTACGACCAAGGGAAAAGCTGTTAATTTACTTCCGGCAGCGTGAATTCAATGTTGGCAATATCTCACTAATATATGGTGTATGGTGACAGGGGTGTCTTATGATGACAAGAGGACTTTTCAACAGAAGATCAACTTTGCTAACTCTCAAGGGCTTAATGGACTCTTCATCTGGGCGATTGATATGGATGACCTTTCATATACTGCTCTCAAAGCTGTGACCGGAAAAGACCTAGCCCCCGTCTTTCTTCAGAGTAAAACACTTGATTACTTTAACATCGACAAATGTTGGACTACGCCGTGCGGTACTGACTGCGCGGAGGGCTTCACTACCATGGTAACTACTCAATAAAACTTCTGGGGAGTTGCGTAACTTTTACTGATTATTTTTTACAACTTTGAATCGAAAGGACAACGGTGACAGCTGCCCTTCAAAGCAAGTACGCAATTACTGCTGCCCTTCTTGGGGTGCACCGAACCCAGACAAGTGCCACTGGAGAGGAAGCCCCAGCACTTGTTTTGGACAATGTGAACCGGGCGAGGTAGGTGTTATAAGCTTGCTTTATGATTTATGATTAATCACTACATTTTGACATGTTCTGACAATATTTTATGTGAATATAGGTACTCCTAACCACGGATCAATGTGGAGGTGGAAGTTGCTGCGGTTCTGGTGTCAAGGCATATTGCTGCCCGGCTACAAACGGCGCAGCAGCCGTGGAAGCCTGTACCACGAACTACTTCGGATGCCCTTCTAAAGAAACCGCAAACGCTAGAAATAATTGAGGGTTGGGCAGGCAAAAACAACATATGTTGCCCTAAATCCCTGGAGTTCGAAGACTGCTCTTGGCATGGAAGTAGCTTCACTTGTTCTGGAAATCGTTGCCCTGCGGTAAGTAAAGTTACGCCATGATCCTTTCACATATCTTTTTAATGCAAAACTATACTATATAGGGTCAGATTGAGATTACGCGGAGCAAGGGAGGTGATGGTTCCGTTCTTGGAAGTTGTATTTTCGGACGGCAAAAGGATTTTTGCTGCGATCCACCATTCAAGTGAGAAGATTCATCTGCAAACGGCCCCAACCAGCGAGTTAATGAATCAAAAAAGCGGCACCGCCTTCCTACCAGTTCCACTGGATAATCTCTTTCCAGAGGATCTACCCGCTGCAGATGCTCCTATCTACTATGAAGCTTTTGACCGCGCACAGGAACAACAAGAAAATCCCCACTGGGAGGACCAATACACTGATGACCCTAACAAGGAGCCATTTGGTAAGATATCATCAATAGCTTTGGCATGCACGGAGAAAGGGGTTTCTGCTAACTATTATAGCGTGGACAATCATGGTTGGCGCCGAAGCCGACGTTCAGTCGCTTCGTAAGCGCGATGGCTCCCATCTGCAGACTTTCGATTGCCCTAGCCCAAAACCCGAGGATTACAGCACTCAGACATTTAGAGCAGTCTGCGAAAGCGAAAGTGATGATAACAATTGTGAAGACATCATGATTGGTAGTGTCCGTGGTACTATTATCCGTTTACCTGAGGAGTGTGGTCCCGACGAATGGGTGCGAGCTGTCTCTTTCAAGGAAATAGAGGATCACCCTCTTCCGTCCCATCTGTCAAAGAGGCTTCACAGCAACCCTAATATTTATGAGATTAAATACGACTACAATCTGAGGAATCTTCGTCGAGACGGAGGCGAGGTGCACGTGTGTTTCGACGCCTCGGTTCATCCAGGACATTGGGATGGTATGTTTATTATGTTCTCGGATCATCCTTCTAGTACTAACGTGGGGTATTCAGAAATTGTTTCATCCTCTGCTTCTGGCTCAAAGAAGAAGGGATCCCCGACAGAATGGCGCGAGACTCATATGGACTGGTTTGAGCACAGGCTCAACAAGCGTGGGTATGGAACAACGGACTCCTGGTGGCTTGGTCGTTTCAATGTGCTTCTTGATTCCCATTCTGACTATGGCGTCAAGAAGCAATTCCATTTCGAGCAGATTCTCTACAACTCCGCGAAAAGGTGTGGCTCGGGAACCGCACAACTGAGTGCTACCGTTGCGGGTGATTTGGCAGTTCGCCTTGACTACGGCATCTCAATGATAGGGACTCTCCGAAACTTTGACTTTAGCGAGGCATACGCTTACTTCAATCTCCATAACCTTCATGTCGATACTATGGCGGAGGTTTATGCCAATGCCGTCTTTCGGTATGAGTCGGAGGTACTTCAACTCCTTGACAGATGGGATATCTTTGAGGGAACGTTCAACATCAATGGTCTATGGTCTATTGGTCCTTACTTCGATGCCACTGCTCAGCTCCAAGGGTTGGCCACTCTCGCCGGCACAATACGTTCTGGCATGAGCTTCAGTACTGAGTCTAGTGGTGATCGATTCACTTACATGTTCCCCCAATCTCTTAACAAGTTCCCCTCTGCGTCCGTTATCAAGCCGAACATTGGGGTCACTGAGATAAAGGCGTCTCAAAAAGCCTCTATTTCAGCAGACGGCTCATTAACGTTGACTATGACTCCTAGTCTTGGCTTCCAAATTGAGCTGGATGTTTTCGGTGAGAAACTGATTGATTCGCGGGTTTCGGCGGCTTTCCAGAACTCTATGACTGTTCGTGTCGGCGCAGGCGGTAGTACCTCTGGTGATCTTTGCAATGGAGCTCATTGCGGACTTGATTACTCATCGGATGTCTCAATTGGTGTTGAAAACCCGATTCCCGGATGGTCGTCGGGCGCACAAACTATCAATGTCTACGGAGTGGACAAAGAACTTGTGCCAATGAAATGTTACCCTTGGGCGAAAGCTATTTCAAAGCGCGAGATGAGTCCGGCTATTGATTCAAACGAAACAATGGGACTCTCCATGAACGGTGGACTTTCCAAAAGAACGGACGAAATGTCAACGGCCATTCTATTCCATGATGTTTACGGATCCGCACTTGGCTGTGCGACGGATACAGATACAGACAGCGGTGATTGCAACAGGGCAGTTCCTGGATGGACAGATGGGTCCTTTTCTGATAGTATCATGTCAAAGCGAGATGCAAGTAATCTTCACCACTTTGATAAACGGGATGGAAAGCGGCTCAGTGTTTGCCCTAACAGCAGAGGCACTTACCTAATCCAATCGAAGTCTCCTACCTGGCCACCATCCAGCCAATTAATGAGGGAGGCTGCTAGCAATCCATTCAAAACTTATGGAGCCAAGGATAAGGACGACTGCACCTCATATGGTGAGTTAGCTAGGCAAACATAATTCCAATGACATTACTGATACATTCACAGATTATGGAGAGATTTCTGCTCCTCCATCAAGTGGATCCAGCAAATGGGCCACGGAGCACGTTCTAGTGAGTCTAATTCCTTTCTTCCTTTCTTTTTGTATTGTGATCGTATGTTAACACGTAAAATTAGGAATGGCAACTCGTAAGTCCCCATGTTGGAGAAGATCAATGGTTCCTTCAAATGTTGGGTTGTGCTAACTCCCGCAGTATGTGGATTTCTGGCAGGACTTTACAGAAGGGAACAGTGACCTGTTCCAAAATCCACTAACAACAAACTCCGAAAAAGTCGGGGTTTGCACATATGTCAAGACTTAGTAGGACTCGAAGTATATGTCTTTGGGTGCATAGACAGGCCATCCCATCGATCTTGTCGCCTATGCTTTCCCTAGCTCTAAGGATTTTCGTGATGAGTTGATGTTGATTGATTCAACTACGAACGGAGCAAAACTTGCGTAAGTTATATCATCCCCGCGGGGGGGGGGGGATACACTCAATTGAAAACTGACGAATGGACACAGAATCTGGGGAGACCAACTCATCCGATCCGACATCAAAATGTGAAATTATCTTAACGCCGGCGGTAACGATGACTACAACACTAACACTGCCATCAACGTCTGCAAACATGTCATTTTTGCGATGAAATATATTCTTGAGCCACAAGTCTCGAGTGTTCTCGTAAAACAGGCCACTCGAATAGGCAAATACTTGTACGTTATTACCGTCACTCATATCAATTTATGACCCCGAACTAACATGATCTTCCGCGCCAGTGACGATATGGAAAAAGTCATTGAGAATTATGTAAGTTGTTTTAAGTGCATTCCAACGTTGGCGTGAAGATGGTTGACTGATTATGACCCAAAGAATGACCCAAATTGGAATAAACACAAGTACCAAAATCTCAATTTGGGAAATCAATGGCGAACCTTCATGTATCAGCAGTGGCCACTGGCAGTGAACAAACAAAAATGTGAGTTTCTTCTGATCGTTTTCCTGGACGCTCTTACTGATTAATCAGCTTTCTTGGACAAATGGGTTCGAGACATCGAGCAGTTCTTCCAGCCCAACAGCGACGATGAAGATGCGATGGATGGGGCTGAAACGAACCAAGACGTCTTGGATCGCATCAAAGCGTTGAAGGATGCTTATGCCGCCATGCCGGCTATGCCCAATCCCTTTCCCTCGTCTTGGCAATAGGCCATGACGCCTGTGACGGAGCTTCCACCTCAAGCAATCGTGGATATCCAACATCGGACCTTTTCAAACACCAAAATACGTGCATGTACATTCAAAGTTATCCAGATAACTGTACCCGACGAGTATCAGGCTATAAAACAAAACTTAAAGAGGTTCCTTAGAAGTGATTCCATTCCTGTCGCTTCCCAATTCCAATATTTTCGAACATTTCTGGCCCAGGCTCTGCAAATGACGGAATGATTGATTTAACGGCGCGTTCTCTGGGTATGTCAAAAATTAGATGATCATAGAACAGTGATCAACGGACACCCCTAGCTAGTAGATCACGTGATTCCACAATAGTGTCGGGACATATTTGATGATGTAAGTTAGCCAGATTAGTAAGCAAGCACATAACGTATTTCACAAGCGAGCGGAACACCCGGTCGGCCGGAACACCCTAACTGTTACGGCGTAACCTCGTTATAGGGCATGATATCAGGATAGGCCGAGACGCTACCTAATCATGCCCGATCTACCCCCGAAAAGCACCTGCATGACTCGCTTAATCAGGGTTCTACCCCATCATGTATATATTCAGCACACTTGAGGAATTAGTTGATTCCTCAAGGATTAGTCTCTGTCTATTCTACAGTTGAATTACATGTGACATCTTGAACCTTGCCTAGTCAACAACCTTACCTTAACACTAACCAAAACGCGTTAATTAATTAGACCTTTCTTCTTTAACCACCCACCATGCCACTAATTCGCTCTTAAAATCGTCAAAAATTGATAGAATAAGAAGGACGAATCTTAGTTGCTATCCAGGCTCTTGAAACGCAGAAAGAGCTCTCAATTCGTAAAGCAGCGCTTATATATAATATCCCCTATATAACGTTATACGCACGTCTTCGTGGACGTTAAAACCGCGTCGAATCACGCGCAAATTCGTTTAAATTGACTAAAATCGAGGAGAATTCGCTTAAGTAATGGGTTATATCTATGGCTATACGTGGAGCGGCCCCACGACCTTCTATGGTGTAAGAAATGGCTAATCTCTTACTTACTACTCGTGGAATAACCTTGATTTAAACTATTAGCAAAAACTAGGTTACGAACTTTATTAAACGACACCTAGAACTTAAAATAAGGTTCTTAAGACGCTACGATTATAAGCGTGCTAAATACGAGGACCCTAAAGTTATTAATAGCTGGTTTGACCTAGTTTAAAAGATAGTTCTTGAGTATAGGATTATTAGGACCATAACTCTCCCAGGCAGGAGCGTAGCTAACTAAGTCAAAAGACTAATTATATCCACAAGCTATAGATATGCCTAGGTACTAATTAATATAGTAGCTCACTATATATTCGCGAAGTAACAGGGATTAAGTAAGACGATATCTATAACTTTGATAAGATAGGCTTCGCGATAGGTTTAACCGCGACCGCGAAGGTTATTATAAGAGTAGATACTAGTGGTTAGCGCTATCTACTTTTATAACCTAGAAATCGTGAATAGGTAACCTTAATTAAGTATATAGGCGCGTCTAGATATAGCCTACCTCTAATAGTTATCTTTAAGGGTAAAATAATCATTTAAGGCTAGCGTAATAGGCTTCTAGACGACTAGTAATTCTAGGTTAGTAAAAGAGGATAGACTATAGATGAAATTAGACTTTCTTAGCTTAAAAAAGTCTTTCTTCCCTTAACTTTCTTAAGGACTAAGGGAATATATCAACTTCTAGTTCTTAACAGTTATAGAAGCTATTTAACTCTAAAATTCAACGAAATTTACTCTTAAAATCATATAATTCTAATTTATATACTACCATACTCATCACATCTTTTATAACCTCTTAATATAGGTTATTTTACTATTTTAAAGCGTGCGTATAGGAAGTGTGTTAAGGATATTACGCGATGTGGTTAGAACCATATTAATAAGCTTGACTTTCTCAACACTTTTCCAACCGCATAAATCAAGTCTTTTAAGCTAGAAATAATTAGAAATAGCTTTAAAGTAACTAGCTTAGTCCTATATGATCGAAATCGAGTGATCTTAAAGCTTAATATTTAACTCTATACGCCTACATATTACGGACCTACAGGGGGCCGCACCACCCGCGGGGCACTTATACCTAATCATCCTAGATAAACGGGATAACGTGTAGGTCACGTGCAAGGCACGGTTCAAAGAACCGTAGCCTCTTTATAATAGGATACACGATACGTGATAACTGAAGGTCATTATAGTTCAGTGCTACCCTAGGAAATAGACGATCGCACGATAAGCAAGATCGTAGGATAAGGAGTATCCTACGATACGCCATAGTTATCGGTAACGGGAAAGATCCTACGACGGGTTCTACCCTATAATTAAGAATGCCCTATAATAAGCCACGGTTTAGAACTAAAAGGGGAATTCTTAGGATATAAGGTATCCTAGGACTAATAACACCCTATGATAGACTATAGTTACTAATAACCATAAATATCCTACGATATAAAGGATCTTACGGAGCTTAGGATCCTAGGAAAATAAGGATCCTAGGAAAGGATTATATACTAACTTATTAGGCGATGAGTATAGCTTATTAAGCGATAAGACTAGAATAGATCGAGCGATAAGTCCTAGACTTATTAAGCGATGCGACGGATTAGATATATAAAGATAGTTATTACTATAGATATATTTAGTTCTTCGCGTTTAATTATATATTATTACTTAGAACCTATAGTTCTAGCTTCATACTTATTTCGTATTTAAAGATAACCTACCCTACTAGGAGAGGTATACTTAGTCTCTTATCACTTAATATAGATTCTAAGTATAGCTTAACTAGGCGTACTACCTAGTGTAGACTGATAAGAGTCTACTCTATAGACCCGAGCCCGTGTAAGGCCTTTTGGTAATAGTATGGTTACGATTAAGACTTAAGGACGAGCCTTGATGTATATATTATAGACTATATAAGCGATACTCACTATGACTAGTTAGCACCATGTAATATATTAAACGCCCTATCTTTATAAAAGCACGACACGTGGAGTAGTAAGTTAATATAGCACTAGCTAACACTAATGCTACCGCACTAGTGGCACTAGTAGATATAAAAGCGCTACTAATAAATAAGTAGCTTATAGCAATAGTAAGCCAGCTTTAGGAATAAATCGGAACTTTAGCTAATCGGGCACTACCCGTTAAACCACTAAAGCTAGAGTTCTTCTATAGAGAAAGAACTAAGTTATAGGCTTTTATTACGTAGATAGAGATATAGCTAAGGATTATTTAATACACTAGTGAAATCGATAAAGTAGTCTATGCCTCCACCTACCTACGAGGAGCCGCGTTTAACTAGTTCGAACCTACTATAAGGGAGTTCTACGAGAAACTAAAGGATAAGTAGAATAATAGCATGGTAGAAATCTTCGCCTCCTATAAGAATTTCAAGAAGAAACTTAAATAAATATTTAGCGATATTAATATAGTACGCACGGCGGAGCGAAGACTAAATAAGCTTAGATAAACGGGATCTACTAGCGCGTACGCCGCGGAGTTTCAGTAGATCATTTCGCACTTAGATATAGATAACGATACCTATATCTAGTTATTTAAGAGAGGACTTAAGGAAGAAGTTAAGGACGAACTTATAAGGATCGACTAACTAGACAAACTTACTAAGCTTATCGACATCGCTATTAAATATAATAACCAACTCTATAAGAGAGCTTAGTAACGGCGAGAATATAAGTAGTAGAGAAGTAATACTAGCTAACTATATAGTAACTAGCGACCTAAGAGACACTAGGATTATAATATGCGTTAGGTATATAATAATAATCCTTACGGTCTATAACTAATAGAGCTCGATATAGCGAGACTCCCTGATGAAGAATAGAAAAGACGCAAAAATAATAACCTATATTTTAAATATGGAAAACTAGGACATCGCATTAAGGATTACTAAAGCAAAGAGTAACCTTAGTAACTTAGAGCTACTTAGGAGCGAGGAGGCTATAACGAACCATAATAACTTCGGGCCACGGCTAAAGACGAACTAGCGGGAACGACCTAAAGAAATAAGGTCTAAGAGGTAGACGCGATTAACGTAAGGTTTAATATAGCCTATTAATAAGTAAAGGCGCTAGAATAAGAAGAGGACGACGCTCTTAATAGAGCGATATAGTAACTTAAAGCAATAATAGCTAGCGGTAAGGAGCGCTAAGAAAAATTTGACTATCTATAAGAAAATATATAAAAGACTTAGAAAAGGATAATAGACCTATTTCTAGATATTAACTTTAAGGAAATCAAAAGTTAAGGATAGACTTAGTATAGGGACTAGAATAACACTAGCTCCTAGGATCTAGTTATATAGGAATTAAGATTAGAGATATAGGCGCCTAAAGAAACTCCTAAGAGAAACGAAAGTGCTAATAATAATACGTCCACGCACTAAGAGGAACCATAATAACTTATAGCCACTAACTAGGTAGCATATCTTAAGATCAACGCGAATATCCTCCTTAAGATAGTTAGGGTACTTATCGATTCAGGAGTATATAGAAACTTTATAGATCTATAGTATACATAATGAATTAAAATGCTAGTATAGAAAAGGAACTAATCTAGATCTATTATTAGGTTAAATAGAGAAAGTCTAGGCCTAGGCATTTCCTATAAAATAGAACCCTAAACTATGATTATAGGAACCCACTTTAAAACTATTTATTTTAATATAACCCTACTAGGGAACTATGATATAATATTAGGAATACTATAGCTAAAAAAACATGAACTAATAATCTAATAGAACACTAGAGCTATTTACTTCATAAGTTATAGTTATAGAAGAATAAGCTAAACATAGTTAGGTATATCATAAGAAATAATTAAAAAGGTCCTTAGTATAGGAGTAAGAGAACCTAAGGAGGCGCTATAAAGGGTAAACCTACCTCTAACGCCAGTAATAGGCTAATATATTATAGATATAAATATTATTAAGTCACGAGAATAGTGACTAGAAATAATAGATAACGAACTTAAAGAATATATTATAATCTATAAAGATAAGGTAGCTCTATATATAATAGAGGAAGAAGCACTAGAACTCCCTAAAGAATATAAGGAGTTTTAGGACATATTTATACCACTACCTATTAGTTAGCTACTAGAGCATAGACTATATAACTATAAGATTAAAATTATAGAGGGTAAGGAACTAACCTATATACTAATCTACTAACTATTGGAAAAAGAATCCTAGACCCTAAAGGAGTATATTAAGATTAATCTTAAAAAGAAATATATCTAATACTCCATATTATTAGTAGGATATCCTATCCTATTTATACTAAAGAAGGATAAAAGTCTATAACTATACATCAACTACTCTATAAAAGGATGTGACGGTTAGTAGGTGGCCAAAAGTGGCTACTTTCGCCGCCGTTTTACGAGTCTTCCTAACTAGCCTAGGTCTTGGCACCGCACTTACTTATTCCACGACCCGTAAGATTATATCCACGGGGAAAAATGAGCGAAGTGTTCCTGCCGCTAGCGCTGTCCTATTCCTGTCTGTTTCGTAGTGTGAAAAAGAGGCATTGCTGGCTTCCCCCTACACCACGATGTTCTTTCAGATTCTATGCCCCACAATGCCGGCGATTTCCCTCTTGAATCCCATTAATTCAAATACATCGCTAATCCAGCAGCCTCCATCTCTGTTCACCTTACTTCTGATTCTCGGACGCCCCTTCATTCTAATTTATTTCCCTTTGCTTTACATAATACAAAGTCGCTGCGCTTGCCTTATTTGAGCTGTCTAAATTATTATGCCTGATTACCAACAGTTCGGCCTTGTCCAGAGTGAGGTCCAGAGTGAGGACCAGACTCCGAGTTGTGTTAGCTCCGATGCGAGTTCGATATTTTCAGATAATGAATCTGAATCTGAATCCAACAGCGACCTAGAGACTGAAAGCGATGACTCGGATGATGAAGACTCGCCCGATGATTTTGACACCGACAAGGGCCAGCTACCCCCCGAACACTATCTAGCCGAAGCGGAGGGCTTAGATGTCTCTAGGCTTCGACAAAAGCGGTACAGCGATAAAACCGAGGAACAACTTAACGATACTAGTGCCTACTGGAATAGGTAGGCCGCTCCATCTCTAGGATGCTTCGAACGCTAATTAGTGGTTCCCTGGCAGGTACTGTGAACACATCAAAGTTGATCCCGTGAAAAAATGGCATTGGATTTCAGACTCGGAGGAAACTGTCCGTTTTCTGTACGGGTTTTTTAGCTGGCGATGTGATATTCGGCGCGGGAAAAATGGTCGACACTGCCCGGGTCTTAGATACAAGAGCTCGCTTGAGACATTCTGGAAGAACTGGCACCTCGTTCTCAAACAGCATACCAAATCTGGGCTGGGGAAAGAGACAATTGTCAAAGTGCAAGACGTAAGTGGTCAAAGAACCTTGTGAGGACCGAATACTTGCGATAATTGCTGATTGCCTATAGATTATTGCACTTGTAGCTAAGGACAAAAAACTTGGGCTCACACGGCGACCGAAGAAGAACATGTTTATTGAAGACGTTTCTGAGGTTGCACGAGTCCTTTTGACCACCACCGAGACTACTTTTCTCTGTGGCTGGCAGCGTGTTCAAGTCCTTCTTTTCTTGCAGCTGGCAGCCATTACTGCAAGCCGTCCCGGCGCTCTCTTAGATCTTCGTTGGCGAGACATCGCGTTGACACTCATTCGCGACCCTGAAGGAGGACGCCCACGCCTTTTCATCTTCCTTACACCTGAATGTACCAAAAAGTTCCTTGGGAAAAAAGCTCCGTATGTGCCCAAACCGGACGATTTCCAAAGGGCAAGACCTCATTTACTAATGTGATTGGACAGAAATGAGTTTAAGATTCCGGAAATTATATTCGATCCAACTTTGGTCCTCAGTCCGCATGTTTGTTTGCTGAGCATGCTCTTCCATATCAAGGGCTTCAAAACTATGTCATCGACTGGACCTGTGCTGGACTGCCCAGAGAATCTTTATCGACTTCGAGTACTTGAAGGCTTGGGACAGCAGCAGCTAAGATTGAAAGATGAAATCTTGAATGGATTTGTCTTCTGTCAGGTTGTCAAAGATGTTACCGGCTATCGTGTCACCTTAGAGAAGAGAATGACATCGTCTATGGTGAGATCACGCTTGCGCCGGGTGGGCCAAATCACGGGTATTGAAAGTGATATCAAGCCGTATAATCTCCGATATGCCGGAGCTAAAGCTCTGAACAAGAGTGGTATGTATTTCTTGGCCCTATTACCTTCTAAATTGCTAACTCTGCGGACAGAGGAGGTAACAGATGCTCTACAGAATGTCATCTTGCAGCACAGTGATATCCGCACATTCGTCCGGCATTATGAAGTAGACGTCGACGTTGACGTTCAAGGCATTATACGCGGAACTGGAACTCAATCACAGCTGGTGCGATTCGCCTGTTCTTTGAGTGCGACAATTGACCCAGATCGGCCATACAAACTTTCAACAATGGAATCTCTCTCCATCAACGACCTCCCAGTGATCCGCGAACTCGAAAAAAAAGCCTCAATGCGAAAGAAAAAACTTCAAGATGTCCAAGCTAAATTAAAATGCATTGATCGGGTACGGGAACCTAACGAAGAACGACTTTTGATTGACCAGCGTCAACTGGAGGAGAAGCAGGTTGTTTACCACACCCGCGCAAAGGAAGCCTTGCGGAGACTCCACAGAGCTAATCGGGAAGTCCGCAATGAGAAGCAACGCCAGCGGAACAAGCGTATACGTGAGAATTTGGAGCGATATAGAAACGAACAGCCGGTGCTTGACCTCGAGCAGCAATTGCAGGGTTCTTGTGTGGATTCGAAAGTGAAAGGAGCATTGGAGAACACTGGTTTCACGTCGCCAGAGTTCATGAAGGTTATTGACACTGTGCTGACCATGCCGGGTGCGACGATTGAAGCGGAGTATCAGCGCCGGATCAATGCGATCAACGCGTTGACGACATTTTGTGGCGTGGAAGAGGGGCGTCCCACACCTCGAACTACTCAATCCTGTCGCCGGCCCGCAGCCGATGACATCCCATCTTGTCCTGCGAAGCGACATAAAATTTCCACGGATGAAGACCATGAGATAATCCTCCGCCAAGCAATGGAATCCGTGCGTATTAAGGCTCAAGATGAACGACCCACGATCTGTTTTCTTTGCGTCGGGAATCCTAAACTTCCGCTAGAAAAGCGAGTTCTGAAACATACAACACCTGGCTCACTCACGAGGCATTTTAGAATAACGCATGTGGATCGCGCCTGGCCTACCGATGGAGTTGCGTGTAATGTCTGTGGGATTGAATCGCTTCAACAGAAGTTTACATTACTGAATCATGCAGAGGAAGCGCATGGAACAGTTGTGCGAGGTCGAGCCCAGGAGAGGCTTCGGAAGGAATTCATGTCAATATAACATATTCCTCTGGTACTCTGCGTTCATAGCCCATGATTGAAGCGTCGCAAAGTAATCACCCAAATCGATGTCTTGAGAGAAAAAGACTACGGATATGAAGTTATGGTAATAATAGTAGTAATATTAAAGCAACAATGGAGTCTATGGGGAAGGGTACATCGTAAACGCTCAAACGATAGAGTATACTATTTATCGCTCTTAGCAAGGCATATGTCTCTTACTTCTGTTGTGGTAGGATTTTAAAATTAGGACTTTCGAGCTTTTTAAAAACTAGCAAATTGAAACTTTCAGAGTTTGTCTAATGAATGTGTTTCTTCTTATTGTTCTCCTGTCAATAGGCCATATGACGGAGCTTCTTTCTCCGTTCTTGGCTTCTCCTCCTGTATTAGTGCTCAGCCCCCTCTCCACTTTTGGTCACTGAGTTAAAACTGAGCAGGCCCATAAGCGCACTGATCCGATCAGTGAGCATTATATAAGTGGATTGTTCTGCTCACTGAGCATCATCTAATGCTCACCTGAGTAGTCTGATCCACTCACTGATCCTGATCCTAGTGCCCTGGCTTCATCACTAAGCCTGAGCTGAGCCTAGGGGTGAGTTACCTAAGCTAAATCTATACATAGGATGCAGCACGCTAGTCTCTCTTCTCGTGCAGCTATTTTCTTTTGGATAGGATCCATTCTTCCATCACAAAAGGCCCAATGCTATTGATATGGTCATTCATCCTAGCAAATTAGCCGCACTTATTTACTCCGTAATAGACCCTGTTTTTTAGTAAACTATTCGGATTTATAATTATAACTATACGAACTGGTCTAAAATTTATTCATCGGGCTTCGGGGACTTCAGGTGCCAGAGAATTTGGATAAGCCTGCTTGTAAAAATGTAATTTGCTATAATTATAGTCACTAGAGAAAGCACCTGTAACGTATGACGATACTGTATGTTTAATCCTCTAGCCAATAAACTTATGTATTTATCGGCAATCACTGTCTCCTTCTAGGGCTTCAAAAGCTTTACTCCTTAGAGCCGACAGCAGACTACTTACCAACTTAACAGGCCTAGAATGGTAATTAAATGCGTTCCTGCAAAGAAGTTTATGGAAAGTACTATATTACAATTCATTAATACCATAGTCTTCTACATTTCCAGGAAGTGCCGCTAACCATTAATCATTAAGGTATCTACTTGGCTAGCTATAGATAAGCCGTTCACTCTAAGTACATAGGCTAGTCTATAGTCATGTTATATTTACTCCTGAAATGTGGTGTTTACGTATGACTTCATACCCATAAGGCATCTATCCAGATTCTAAAGATTCCAAACAGTAGGAAGTTGCCTTTCAGCCTAATACATGTCGATAAGCGCCACCTCTTGGTGAATAAAGTTTTGTGATCTATATCCAACGACCGAACTAATACAGTATGCATTGACACGTTTAGTTCGCATTGTGCGAAAGAACTTCGGTGTAGCATCGTCGCCCTTGAATATCAACGCTTCATTGATGAGGACCCTGATCTGTGAAATTTAAGACAATCCCTCATTGAATAGATTTTAGATGATCATGAGTCATGGTGATTTGTCTAAAATTAAGAGATACAGTACTAATTTTTCTTTTGGTGGTATTTAATCAACTTATAGTCTTAGTGGCTGCACACATCTGAATTTTTCGATTGATATATCATTTTATGATATTTGAGACGAATTGGAACCAAACCACAGTTGGGTGTAGCATACTACGACGCGACACGATTTAACGTCCTTGGCTATTGTTTAGATAGATATATGAATTTACGAACTGCAGACAGCTTAACGGCCTAGATTGATCGATATTCCCACACGCATCATAAGTCATGCACAATCGAATCAACGGCCATAAGTGGAAGTTTTTTTCATAGTTGGGGTTCTCACTCGAAAAGCCGCAGTCACTTTCGATGTAATTCTGTGTTCCAACGGATTAGACAGTCGTGGCAATAAGCTTGCCGCCTAGTTTTGTGAACACAATATACGCATGGTAAACGCCACCATCTTGATGAGGACATTTGTCAGTCGTTAATCAAATTAAAGCGGCCCGCAGGTTTGCAAAATGGTCAAAGGCCCATTTTCAGCGCGAAAGCCGTGGCCTATGATAGATATAAAATTTTCACTGTGCTTTTACCCTCACGGACTTTCAACCTGTGGACAATCGATTGTATTTATCAAATCCACCCCTGTCCCGCGGCTACTTAAGGAGCCTATGATCTTCCTGACTTTATTTGTACTCTTTTCATCCGAGATCGGTTTCTTCGAAGCATATTCAATCGCTACATAATGTCGGCTCAAAAGAAAAAACTGTTTCGTCAAAAGCAATGCCGACGCAAATCAAGTTTGATAAAGAAGGCTTGTGAATATAGTAAGATGTGCGACGCAGATGTGTGCCTAGGAATCCGCCTTCGAGATACAGGTCAAATACATTGGCTGTCGGCGGATTCTTCGGGTTTTTGGAGTTTCTTTTGCTCGCAATTGGTACGTTGCCAATCTCTCATAGTGGAATAGAAAGTTGAACTGCTAGGCCTCTCACTATCCACCCCCGAAGTTTGTCACCGACCAGGATTTGAGGAAGGCTAAAACGACAACTGTTTCACCAAACGAATGACCAATCCGCTAGTTCGGTTCAGACTACCCACATCAGTAGTAAAATAGTTGACATTTTGGACCATGTTGTTTAAATTCAGGGTAGAGGCCTGTAAATAGTTTTAGTGAAAAGGAGAAAGGAATCTTTATGCTTTGACGCGGCGAATTTGGACCTTCAGGCGAATTGGACCTGATTTCATGAATATAGATATGGGTTTCCTGCGACAACCTTGGGTAAAGACCACGTTTTTTTGGCGACGCACTAAACCACGGGCCAATTTAATGGGTAGCCAATGAATCTACTAAGCTAAGGGATGCATAGTGGTTACAAACTTACTTTTTTGTTTTTTCCACACATCGAAAGTTTGATTTTCATATCTCAGCAGCAGCGCATGTTAACTACGTCAAATTCTCTGTACTATGTTTTCATCATGACGATACTTTGACTCGCAGATTTGGTGTAATTTATTATAGGAGTGTATAGCGTTACCATATAATTCACCACGATTTCGCTGTGCGAGCTCCGAGTAGGAATATATTTTTGACTCGAATAATTAGTTCGCCATGAACAGAATAAAGCATATCTATTGATTTAGAGAATGTAGGATAGTCTATGGTTGTCGCGATATAGGGTCATTATCTATTGCATTTACTATATGTCGTACCATAGATCAAGCCAGTTTTGAACAAGGATAACCTACAGCTTAGTTGAATTTAACCTAGCCGATTTTGTCACCGTCCTGGCCCTGGCGCTATATCAAACTAGAAGTCAAGTTCGAATATTGCTGCAATTAAAGAATAGATCGCTATCTTCTAATTATGAATAGAAGTCTAACCTCATTAAGAGCATTGCTGGGACGAAATCGAAAAAGTCTATAATTTGACTAGGTTTCATCACCTCGAAAGTGAAAATGTGTTTTGGCCAGTTAGTCCACTTTGATCAGTCCACTCTGACCACTCCATTTTGACCACTCCATTTTGACCACTCCATTTTGACCACTCCATTTTGACCACTCCATTTTGACCACTCTATTTTGACCATTCCATTTTGACCACTCCATTTTGACCACTCCATTTTGACCACTCCATTTTGACCATTCCATTTTGACCACTCCATTTTGACCACTCCATTTTGACCATTCCATTTTGACCACTCTATTTTGACCACTCCATTTTGACCACTCTATTTTGACCAGTCCATATTGCCCGCACCAGGTTGCCCGCACGCCTTTGTATTCCTCAATTGAATCAACCGAGTCTCAGCTCATACAGTATAGGCGGTTAAAAATAGGTTAGAGCTTATAGTTGCCTTAGTAGTAGTAAGGCTAAAGAAGAGCTGTCTTCTGTTAATAGCCAGGAAACCGATAGCAAGACCGGCAACCATCGCGATGGCGCTGCCAAAAATGCCAAAGCCAATTACCTCAACTCTGATCTGGGGTATCTACCTTAGGAACCTAGGCGGAGATAATTTGAAAGTTCATTAGTTGCAAGTTGTCCTTATATTGGTAATAATGCTGATCCAGTGTTGGGTTAATCGCCATGATGATATTCATAGAGAGGCTGATTAGATTAACTAGACTATGGGCCCTAGCTATTATCTATTCATTCATATTACTTAATGTTTCTACCAGGGAGACATTAGAAGGTACTGTCGAGTATTTGTCCTAGAGACTGGAAAGGGTACATTATCATGCAGTAATAATGATGTTCGGGAATCACAGATCCACTACTCGGGTACATCTATTGTTAAAAGGCATTAGGGATCCTAGGACAGATCAAACTATAAAGGGAATAGCTTGTCTCAAAATAGAGCTCCAAAAGAATTTGTGAGAACAGAAAGGTAATACTCATTTCGAGCGTGTCTGTATCAACTAGGTAATAGAAAATAAAGAGTTTTATCAACTCTTAGATACATATTAATTTAAATTTATTGCATGTGAGTTAAGCTCCCATAGAGAGCAACGTAGAAAAACGTGGTCGAGTCATACCTAGCATCAAGTGCAGCCGGGAGGGAGGTCTTATAATCGCGGAGATTAGTAGCGATTCATCAGTCCTGAGAGAACTCAAGATCCCACTAAGCGTGTGTAGTTTATCTTAAGACACCCAGGAATTTGGAACTGTGGTCTTAAACTCTGAGAGGTTACAAGGATGCTACCCAAGGGCCGGTAGCATGAAATATAGATACGAAGACCAGTGACATTAGAATCAATACTTAGGCACGATGACGTCAAATCGGAGGCAGGGGACCCAGAACCAGAGACACGGCTGGTCCTGAGACCGCGGTCTCAAGATCTCATAGGCCGCCGGACCGCCAACTAGCGTCCCATACGATTTCAAGACTCACACGGTCGTAAGCTCTGAAACAAAAGACACCCGAGGGTCGAGAAATGGTTCTAGGACTGAAGGTTATTCAATGAATTGGTCTTCTCTGCTTTCTCTGTCTGCTTTGAGCATCTTAGCCACCTCGGTGACTATCTCCGGCTCTATCTCGAGGTTATGAAGGCTCATGAGGACAGTATTAGACCCATCAGACATTGCGGCCCGAACACACTCCGCGACGCTAATCAGACTTAATTTATTGTTATGGAATCGGTAGAACCGCGCATGTTTGTTATTCATGCGAGCATACTTCATCGCTACACGTTCTGCCTCTGATGAATCTTGGTTCATCTGGATTCTGTCCGTTACACGCCACAGCCCTTTCTCGTAAGCTTTAAATGTGATCGTCAATGCGCTGGGAAAAGTAACTTGGCGTTGATCAGCTGCTTCCGGTAAAGTCTGTGTCATTATATCACCTATGATTGGGGTTGAGTGAACGGTCCCAGCAAAATCACCTCCATGCCGACGTGATTTCTTTTTCCTATTCTCGTTATCATCCGAGGACGCGCGTGGCTCAATAATTGATGGAAATTCTTGCTGTAGACCTATTTGAGGATCATATGGTTCTGTCTGGCTTAAATCGCTGTTGTCATTTGGTGCGTTGAGCAACATCACGTCGGCGAACCCAAATCGAGTGAGGGCCTTTGTTGCTCTGGTAGTCTGCTCCATACGACGTTGCGCAATGATCTGAGCTGAATCAAATTCTGGCATGGATATTTGGTTATCAGAAACAGCTTTTGGGGGCATGAAATTCATGTTTTGGGTCAATGCTGGTTGCTCGGGGTCTGACGTGGAAGTCTGCTTAATCATTGATGAGGAGGCAGGCTGCTCTTCTGGGTATACTTGCGCCGAATCAGCAGCTGAAGCTCGTATCTCTGCTGCTTGCTCCAGTTCCTGGAGTGCCTTTCGTACTCCGTCTTCGGCATTCAATCCTCCTTCCGTTATTTGCTCTAAAATGACAGGGCCCGGTTGGCTAAGTCTAATTACCGATTCGGTCTCGTCTTGCGTCTCTTCTGCCAGAACTTCCACAATGGAAGATAGTTCCTGTTCTTCCAAGTAAAAGCCGTTGTCGCTTGGGGGAGACTGGGCTTGATTTGACTGCTGAGGACCTATTTCTAGTGGTGGTATGATCTCTGAAATATCCTCCTCATGCCAGTTTGGTGTTCCTGGGTTGCTCAGAAGAGACGGTTCGTACTCTGTATCCTCCGACTCAAGTATACTTTTAGTTTGGGGGATTAGGCCCTGATCACTTTGCGGCTCTTGAGACTCTTGCCCGTCTTGCTTTTCGAATTCGGCATCTGGAAAGTTCTCAAGGCCGGTTTGGGAACTGTTTCTGAGCTCATGGACGTCGGGATAATCTTGCATCTCAAAGTCGTTGCTGTTGCCAGCCTCAACATCGCTGGAAGAGCTGATCGAAGACATGTACTCATCTTCAGGAGTACGATGGACCGACTCCAGTGTGGCTATATCCTCATTGGCTTCCACAGGACCTAAAGGATTGTCTAAACCGAGCGTAGCTTTGTATTTGGAAGTTCTTCGCCCTTGTTCTTTATGTCTCGCTCCGCCGCCTTGTTGGCGCGCTCGCTCTCGGCGTTTATCTCGGCGTTTATCTCGGCGTGATTTCCTATACAAAGAAACGTCTAACGGCACGGTGGTTTTTGATGCATCACTCATTGGGACGAACAGAGGGGATTTTGAAGTGTCTACTGGGTCACAGGTTTGAAGTTCAAGAGGCTTGCCAAAGAAGGCAAAGTACACACTCTGTCTCACGTAGAATGAAGAGACTGAGTTCGAACTTGATGTTTCTTTTACATGCATCGGGTCCATGAATAGTAGAGGTCGATCTAGCAACTGCGAATCTTGACGTGGTAGTCCACAACGTAAATGCGGCGTTAGCTTCCCACCTCGCAGAATGTCAGCTGATGGGACGGTTTCGTCAGCAACAGCCGAAGTGAAACACTCCACAACTCGGTCAATCAATGATTCAAATGTATCACGATTATAACGGTAGCTACCAGGCTTACGAGCCTTCAAGAGTGCCTCACGAGCAATCTGCCGATCCGGAGGACGGTTCAATAAGTCACTCGCGGGCTTCGAGTGGAATCCCAGCTTCTGTGATAGAACAGCCATGCTATAGAGTACAACCTCATCCGCTTTGCCGCTGTTGGTTTTTGCAACAACCTTCTTGCTAGTCGCCTCCCTTGCCATCTGTGGGTAATGTCGCATGACAAAAAGCCAGATTTGTCGATACGAGAGTTCGAAAAAATCCGAACTTGGGCCTGCGTGGCTCCGGAATGCCGTCTCGGATGTCTGCACAGGGCATGTTATCTGGGACCTATCCGACTTGAAAGCTTGTTTCATAGCCGCTCGCACAGTCGGGTAGCCTTTTCCCAACTTGACCAACTGCTTGATGCCATTTGCGCAGGCTTCCAAATAATTGATATCACGAAAAAAAGTGTGGAGAGATGGGATTATACCATTGCACGCGTCATGTGTTGCCATCCTGTGCCAGATATTGTTTCTTTCGGTCTCAGTAAAGTCGGAAAAAGCTTCACCGCTAAGTATGAGACCTTTAGCCTTTCTCGCGTCCACTTTGCAAGCTGCAGGAGCTGTCAACTCCAACGCCTTTACAGTGAAAACATCGATTTTAGCCATTTGGTCTGGATCTCCATCTACCAGAGTTGACCAAAATCGTTTTACGTGCTGCAGATAATGGATAATTTCCTAGGCCGTTAGTAAAGAGTAAAACAAGGCCCAGGGGAGGAATGATATTTACTTCATCACACTTTAGCGCCAAGACACGATTCAAAGAGCCAATACTCATGCCGTCCCAAAGGCCTGGTATGGGCAAAATTGCATCAAAGGCGGCGGAAATGTCAACATTATCCGGTGACATCAGCTGCCGTAACCTTTTAGCTTTATTTTCCGATAGACGCGCCCACCACCGCTTCTGAAATGGTGCATTGTGCTCATTTTGGTATTGGCGAATTTTGCGGTAAATGTCGCCATCACTTGGCATTTTCTCATTCGAATATTCATCAACTAGAGTGTTTCGTAGATCATAACTGATATCTATGAGACTACGATTAACGTCACGAATAAGGCGCCATCATTATAGCGGAGTCCTACCATCTAGATAAAGATCCACAGTCCACCACTGTTCGCTCGGTGCGAGAACATCTTCCGCTGCCTTGAGGCGATGTTGGCCATGAAGGCAAAGCACTTGACCGGTCGAGAAAGAAAGCCTTGGGCATTTCTCAGGGGGATTAGTAAGTAGCTCGTTAGCCGTGATTTGCGCCCCCTGCCGTGCTCGTTTCAAATGTCTACTAGTGACAACGCCTGATATGTGGTTTTGGACATCTAATCTATGGCAACCATCTTTACGAAAGACCTCACACAGTCTGTCAACATTCCTTTGATCCAGCTGCCGAGAGGCAGATGGATGAAATGACAGTTGACTTAGATCTATCTTGGCAGTTCCCTGGTACTTCAAGCGCCGCTCAATAGCCAACTGGAGCTCTGCATCTGTGAAAATGGATCGTTCCATAGAGGTCGCGTGTCCGGAATTCGTGATCTGGGTAATGTAGAAAAATGGATAGTCAGACCCTATTTGAAGCAAAGCGGCCAAATTCGTTCATCGGGGTCGATAAAGTTTGTTCTAAATTGTCTATTGGGTGTAACAGCATGCTGGGTGGAATAGGTACTATAAAAGCAAACAGGCTTTTCTTTTCCGGGAATTACACTCTACATATGAAAGGATCCAAGAAAACAAACATATGTTATCTTTCGTCTTGTGCCACATTCTTGCTTAATGACTAAATTATAATACACAGTCCCTGAATATGTTTCAATAGCTGAAATGATGGTCAAATTTAAGTCCAGGTAATTGATGGAAGATTGGCTCATAAATAGCGTAACTCTATTCTATCTGAATCCCGGTGGTGTGTTGAATACATAACCTATAGCTACTAACTTAAGCTCTGCTTGATTCTTGCGCCTAATATGAAGGGGAAACTTTTGAGCATTACCTTTCGATAATAATAAGGTTACTTCTCGATCGCTTCTCGAGGCTCTCCTACCTCACTCCGTATTAATCTAGTAACCGCGGTGTTTATTACATGGATTTCATAAATCTTAGTCTATACAGTTTCTTCCTATAGGTCTAACGTAAACAGGCTAATCGTCTCTGGTGTTTCTATCTCGGTATATTCCAGCGTTCTCTGCTACATGATATAACAGGGTGGTTATATCTTCTGGATTTACTAACATCGCGCTATATTTCTGCGGAGACGAGTAATTCGTAGTAGAGTATGAATATCTATCCACGTTTTCACGGCCCGTCACTAGAATCTTTCAGCAATATAGGCTATCGCTTACGCTCATACCCCTTAGACGTGGTTGATGGACGTAATCGCGTTATCCTGAAAAGCTTATATCTAGATATTAGATGCGTAGTGCTCCACGAGGGCCACCGTCAAAGGTCCATCGCTATCTTGAGGCCTTTAGATGCGGCTCTTACGATATGTTTCTTCTACTTAAGTGTTTTTCTATCGAGGTCAGATGGTTCAGGGGTACGTATCACGGTCCATGCCGATAATATGGCTTAATCGACTTCATTCCTTAACTACGTCTCTCCTAACTACGTCTCTCCGGGAAAGGAGAATACAGGATGGATCGAAATCAGTTTCACCACTTGCACACGGAGATTATTTCTCAAACCCTCTTTGAAAACACGCTATGCCTATTACAGTTACTCTACACCCGAATCCGTTTCTCGGAAGTATTTCAGTACAATCGTAAAAAACAGTACGAAAATAGATTTGGTATTACGCTTGTATGGCTTTCGAGGTTTCTAGATTGTCGAACCTGCAAACAAGGCAAACAAAAGGGGATCTCCCTAATCTGGCTACCAGATGGTTGATTGGCGGTGTTCGTTCGTTCAAGATCCTACTAATTCCAAGCTTATGCTGGCGGGAAGAGGACAAACAACCCAAGATTTTTCCTTCACCTTTGGGCTTGCAGCGAGATGTCCTATGTAGGGGGTGCTCCCGCTTAATATTACGTGCTCATTTTGTATCGAATCACATGCAATTGCTCACCATCGGATTAATATTCAGCCGAACATTGCCTAATCTCTCGCGAAGAGAGGGGCATCTTCAAAACGTATGTTTGTCGACAGCAAACCATACTCTTCTTTTGATTAGCAGACAGATTCCATCTCTCACTGTTACAGATACCCGATAGCTGCTAGCGGTTATTTTACATTCATTGCAGTTGGGCTCAATGGAGAATTTTCCTGAGGTTGGAACTAGCAATGTCACACAGAATGTAAACCGTCACTGACGAATGCAGGAAATCGTCTCACAAATATTTCTGGTAGCTAACTTCAAGACTCTGAAGAGTTGTCACCTTGTCTGTCGGAAATGGTGTCGGATAGCTACCGAGTTCTTGTTTAGTCGGGTTGTCCGTCACAGAGAAAATTCGAAATTCTTCAACGAAATACTTGCGCGAGACGACTTGTCACGGTTCATCAAAGTCGTATCATTCGAGCGGACAGCACCAAGTGATACAATCTCCGATTTGGTTTTATCGATTATGAGCCATGAAGCGCTGTGGCCGTTGGTAAACCGACCAACGGTTGGTGTCATTCGTCAACGTCATGAAGGAGAGTTCATAGCTACACTCACGGGTATGGGCACTCAAGATACTCCGACAATTCTCCCAGCACTTGAAGAAATTCAATTTGTCGGCAAGGAAGCGCCCTACCTGCCAATAGCGCTCTTTAGTGAACTTGCAAAACTCCATATCGACATGGAGTTCATTCGGTTGCCGGATAAAATTGTATGGCCTCCTTAGTAGATGTCCACTTAAGAGGGACTATCGACTTTGATTGTCTGGAGGCTTTTTGGAAGAAACATGACCATATCAGGCAACTACATTTAGCGATTGTGGTCACCCTCAGACCGCTTGGTACTTCAAGCACTGTGCGGGATTTTATAAGGATTATTTTGAATAACGGGTTGGATACTGAACTTGTTGATTCGATCGTGCGGAATGCTGAACAGAATGCCGACGGCCACGAACGATCACTATTGCGGCATATTCATGCTCAACTAGACCAGATGGCGGGTGGGTCTGCCAGAAAGATGCACCAAGCAGTTATCACTGGTTTCGAGACATTATTGCAATATGAGCTTCAAAACTACTCTACCGATATAGGGAACATGCGGATGCCGCTACAAACTTCAGGTCAGCTCGAGGTAAGCTGTTCCATAGCATGGTTTTGGGAAGATGAGCTAGCTATCAAAGGTATGGAGTTGCCAGAAAACTATGCATCTAGAAGTGGGCTGTGGACAAATGATGCGGTCTCGGAAAGTCTCGGAAAGTCTTATGTATTTAAACGGACTGGTTGAACTATGACAGTGCTAGCCTGGCTTGCAATAAGACTATATCGTCAGACTTTGAATGTCAGCCATCTAAATATTTCATGTCAATGCCTGCGTGCCGAAAATAGAGGCCAAGCAGCCCAACGTGCATGTGATAGAGAATTTCAAGACGAAGCTCGGCGAGAATTATCCTGACACACTGACGAGTATGGTTAATCTCGCCTTCACTTTGAAATCCTTATGTCACGATGCCGAAGCTAAAGGCATGTTGCTAAGAAGCGAGCTATAAGAGCCTTCGAGATGCCGGTATTTTAAGCGGGAGCATTGCAGGTAATTTACCAAGCAACTTTATCACGTGGCAATATATTTCAATACGATTCAATACTTGAAACCCTGTTAGTCCAGAAACGGAATAGCGTGTTTCGGGCTAGGGTTCGAGAGGAATCCCATAAGTGCAAAGTGCTGAAACTGATTTCGATCCATCGTGTAAGACAAATTGAAGTCAGTTTCCGGGTCAGCAGCTAGTTTCGTAATTTGATCGGACATTTGTAAAATCTGGTAACCCGTGCTACTACAGTCGATAGCGAAATCAGCTTCCTCCCCACAAGCAGCTTTTATTTGCTCGAGCCCCACTGCCAAGGCACTAGTGTGAATATTTATTTAATGGGCATCAATAAAAAGTCGACTGCTTAAGGTATTGACCGGTATTTAAAACCATAGTTACGGTTCCAGATTTACAGTACTATCCATTTGAATGTGTTTTGCTTTAGGTCCACTCGGGTTACTGGGTCATACACGTGACTGGGTTCCTTTCTATGGAATTGGCCCTTAAGACCCACCGGTAGTTGCGGCCCTCAATTTACTGACTGCAGGAATAATTTGGGAGCAAACGCTTGAAAGCGCTGTGAAATTCAGCAATGTACATTATAATGGCACCGACACATACATATCGTCCGAGTATATATATCTCATTCTTGTTAATTATATTAGAAGACGTAAGTTTGTGAGGCCCCTCAATATTAGATGCTGACGTTTACCCCTAATTAGGTATAGCGGTCGATCATATCCATAGAATACTGTGGAAATCTCAAAGACCCACGTGCAAACAACATAAACGTCAAGGAGTAAAACCGATCTAGCTTAGTTAGAGCGACCGCGCTTTTCTGGTCTTCCAACTACATTACACATCACTACTCGACGAAGCTAATAGAACACCGTACCACCCAATAGGTCAATTTTCAGTCCTATCTATCTCCTAGCACGTGCTGTTTACCTCTTCTCTATCCAGGTAAGGTTTAACGGAAATTGATCGAAATGAATAATCAGCGGGAGGGTCTCTTTTATTCGTGCTAGTTAATGTTAATGAATTTTGATTTAAGAGCTCCTGCATATAAGCTATAGCCTATTTGATGATTACGATGACCCCCTATTTGACTCCTATGGTCCACCTAATTAATCTCCGCTCTTTGCACCGACTCTAGGATATAGCGTGTTTTAAACCCCCTCTGTGACGAGTTTCACGAGTCCCGAACGTCGCCTGGATAACGATTTTCCCTCGTAGTATTAAACCCTTTGATTATGTGGAAGGTCACCTTAAATAACAAACCCGTGAGAAAGAACACTATACAAGACCTGGTTTTAGCTCCCCGGTATTTTTGGCGTCTAATTTTGGAGCCCAAGTTAAACGAACATATAGGCAAGATATCTCACCAAAAAAGTGTTGAACTAGACGACACAATAATCATTATATCGGTGAATCATCGTAATTAACTAGATCTCACCCTTTCCTATAATAAACTAATGTTAATTGGCATGCCGTGGAGAAGCAACTCCTTGCTTAGGATGATTATTTCCGAGAGGGGAAGAAACTAACGCTAGATATATTATTCAATTATAGTAGTTTTCGAAATCAGTTAAACCACCACTCTCGTGCGACTTCATTCCCGGAAAATAAATCCGAATCACGCTAACCTGTTTCAGTTCACCGCTCTACAATTTCAGCAGAAATATGATGGAAATGCCATTACGTCCAGAGATGAGTTATCGTAATAATACCGTAACTAGAGGATGGGACTATCAGCTGACGAGCTGAATCATACCCCGCCTCATGTCAACATTTCTTGCATTTCTCACTCAACTCTTGAAAGCGTCACATTCGCGCTTGACTAGGAACTAAGAAGCATCTTTAACACTTGCTTCATTTATCTCAATAATGCCTGGTTATGTTGGCTTCCAAATTGCTCTCGAATTGTCACAACTATTGCCCATTAAGGCACTAGCCCAGAGAGCAGGGGATCATGTGCTCACCCTTGCCCGTGATCTTCGTAAATCTGGCTCTGACATCGTCGTCGAGCAAGACCTTGTGGAAGTTTTCGGGCGAGGTAAAATCTCGTCTAGCTTGGAAATCGCATTCAAAAATGATGTCAAGATTGGCAACTTCATACCTTTGACAAGAAATGGAGAAGTTGAGCTCCACTCCGGACCAGGACCCACAGTTGCCTTCGCTTTCAAGAATGCTCAGTATCTCAGTACTGTCATACAGTTGTCCCTACTCAGCTGGACACACAAACGAGAAGAACTCGGCTCTATGATTGCTGTTATCATGCGTAAACGGTTCGAAGTTGGGATCAAGGATGCGGCTCCAAATCCTGGCGTCGATGGCATAATTGGTTGTCTCCAGGCGTGTTGCGCTCAAACATCAGCTTTTAACTGGAGCATCTATTCCAAACTGGTTCAGGAAAAGCTCCGAGAGGCCATACCGACTTTCCAATATCACAATGACTACATTCGCATAACACCAGCCTTAATGCTTGGTGCAGTTGACATGCTGTACTTGACACAGAGTTTGCCAGATGACAGAAGAGTAGTCGTGTCCAATGAAATGGGCTCGATTACGCTCATTGTATGGGCTCATTTTGTCCTTGGTCTGACTGTCTGCGTCACCGGTAGGGTTCGAGAACCCATTTTTTTTGGTCACCACGAGGTACCAGAAGTGACCATAGAATGGACGAGCTGCAATAAAGATGAAGCGGGAAGCTTGATCTACCCCCATGAGACCGAAGATGATGAACCGGAAATACGGTTGCTCGACTCTCAGCTCAATGTGCTCCTAAGCTGCGTACCTGAAAAGGATAATCTCGAACCCATAATGGCCGAGGATAGGCACATACTCCTTGGATATGGCACCGAGTATCTCTACCGAGTTCTAAACACCAGAATTTTGGTAGATGAGATTGATCCCATATACGAGGAGATGGTGAAACTTGTAACAGGCCTCGCCATTGTGGTTACAAAGAGATCTGGCCGTCCATTACATGAAGATGTTATCAAGGCACACGGCTTGGACGCGGGGTTTGGGCTTGAAGCTTGGAGAGCGCTCAAGGCGTCCCAGGTCATCTTCCATGGGATCAAATGTGATACCAAAGGAGTCAGTTCCTACGCTGAATATTGGTCAGAAAATATATTACACCCGATGAATCTTCCAACCACTTTCAAGCCATTCCTCGCAAAAGTTCGGAAAGGCGCGCTACAGTCAACCCCAGGAGAGAGGCTAGTCGACACGGTTTCCCATCTGACCCAAATTGTTACAATCTTTGCGCATGTGGCGGACATTGGATCGTGCCATGACTTGCCACTCCGCATGGCGTATTGGCCATTCTGGATGAAAGACGCCACCGTCAATATTCAGAACAACAATAAGTCTTTATACTTCTTGGACGATGACGAAGCTTACCACGCGGTAGCTACGCTTCTTTCTGATGAGGTGGCGGACGCGCATGAGGACAGACCACGCACAAAAAATAATGCTGGAGGCTATTTCTCGTTCCTGTGGAGCGATTTTGGATGGAGCGTCATGTTGAGTACCATAGGGGATCAGGACCCAGCCGAAATTCGTCCAGAACTAGTTCAGGTCAAAAAAGGAACACCTACGAATATAAAAACGCAGGAAAGAAAGCCCCTTATTAAAGATGGACGCGGATATGCGTTGAGATCGTTATATCCCGATAGCTTTCCGCTTATTTGTTGTCCGAAACTTATCCCACGCTGTGCTGCAAAAATTTCGTCTCGCATAGAATTCTGGAGCAGCCGAAGACAAGAGTTTGAATTAATAATACTCCTTTGTGTCTAACCTTCCTTGGAATGGGCCGAATGTGAGATACAGCACTTGGGTAATAATTCGCTTATATTAGAGGAAAACGAGCCTTCGGCGACTGAGAAAGTTTCGGAGTTTGAATGTTTGGGATATTATAGGCGAATGTAGGAAGCTCTCTGGGCTGTGAATAAAACGCCGTACTGGATCTGTTATTATATAAATTTAGACATAACGCCAACTTAAGTATATTGTGGCCCTGATGTCGTTTCGCTTCTTGGTTGGGCCAACTGGCGTGAGGTACCTAATATGAATATACTGTAGAGAATTGTGATCTTGTTGACTAGGGGAGATGCCCGTATTTGATGGCTGGCTATATAATCGCACTGGAAAAGACCGGGCTATTACTCGGAAGAGAGTGGCCAGCGGTTTGTTATGTTGCGATAATTAAGATGCTGTGATATATGTGCTCTAGAGTACACAGCGTCGCTAGCTGGAAAGTGGATACTTATCCTATGATATTGTTGAAAGAAACTATGGTAGTGAGCGAGACCCATAGGAAAATATAAACAGTAACCATATCCACCCTATTAGCGTTTATTATTGTAATGCGAGAGACGACAAGCGATATAGTAATGTACCTGAGAGATATAGTATGATGGTTAGCTTGCTACATTCGGCCTGTTTAGTTATTTGAGAGGCGGTGAAGGACCTCCTCTTTACCATATTATGTATGAAATGAAGCTTCGAAAGTGGAAGTCGTGGAATTATATCGCCTGAGCTGATTGTTGCAGAATTGGGAAGACTCGGTAGGAGGTTTTGCGGGGGAGGAATAGGAAGGAGCGGTAGGAAGGTACCGTGTGGATGGCCCTTTTAATTTGGATTACAGTATGTATGTATCAGCATCACGCTGTAAATTACGATTACTATTATAGAAAGCGGTCTGATTTGAACCCTTGTGCGGCCTTATCTAATTAAACGTCGTAGATTTCGGTTATATTTTCCGGGAAAGGAGTCGTAAGCACCTATAGTGGAAAATATAGAAATGCGCTCTAGGTAGCTTCCTTTAAAGGACACGATAAAATCGTGTAGATACTATTAGAGCGAGGTACCGATATCACCGCCCACGGTGGATAACATAGAAATACGCTCTAGGCAGCTTCTTTCAGAGGACACGTCAAAATTATATAGATACTATTAGAGTAAGGAGCCGATGTCAACGCCTAGGGTGGACCCTATAGAACTGCGCTCTAGGCAACTTCCTCCGAAGGACACAATAAAATCGTGCAGATACTATTAGAGTAAGGAGCTAATGTCAATACCTAGGACGGATTCTACTAAAATGCGCTCCAGGCAGCTTCCTCTAAAGGACACGATAAAATCGTGTAGATGCTATTAGAGCGAGGAGCCGATGCCACCGCCTAGGGTAGAGAATACCGAAATCCCCTCTACGCAGCTTAAGATTGTGCCTAGGCTTCTCGAACATGTACCTAACTTTTTATACGCTCTCACTCCCATTTTAAATAATTTAAAGATCATAAGGCTTAGAGAGTATATAATCTAATCGAAGGTACAGAGGCGCCCAATTTCGCCTTCCATGTTTGCGAACATAGATATACTGTTTCAAACCCTAATCACATGATAAGCTAACCCGATCTGAACTTGACGTAAATTACCAGTCTCGTATATACTGTGTAATAATACCTAGCATTGTACCCATCTGTATGAGTACAACAACCAACGGCCAAAGGGCTGTACGACTAGAAGTTTCCCAACAAGCGGAGCAAACTAGGCGACCGCTGGGAATCTGTCAACTTCCCTCTTCAATCCCTCAGTTGCTTCATTACAGAGGGTCTGGCGCTATCCCGGGGTCTACCTTAAGTTAAATTGATAGGCAAAGCTTGACAGTGAGATTTGTTCCGTGATTACTATCGCTTATCACCATGGCGTAGCGTCGGGTCTTTATTGGGCATCAGGCACTCCTGGCTAACCACTTACGAGTCTAAAATATCGAATAGTATATGAAACTATATAAAAATACACACACACACATACTATCGAACATTACTTTAACTAAAGATTATTTAAGCAGCAAAGGTCTTGCGAGGTGGACGAGGTGTCAATTTCCTCGATTCTTTATATGACTAGGTTATAGCCCACGGCTCATTGATTGACTGCTTATAATAACAGAACCTGCTGGTAAATATAGATATACTTCACTTCACTCCCAAGGGAATCTCCCGTTTCGGACCCGCAACTCCCCACATTCGCCAGATGTCCCCGGGTAACCTGATAGGAGAAGTAGCCGCCAAGGTCCAGCGCCCGACAGTCACCTGACCGTGGGGCTGAACTTCCCCTCTTCAAGTTGGGGCCTTCTTTGCCTGTGAGAGTATCATCGGACACAAGTTTTGAGCATGAATTCCACATCGTTTGGTAACGAGAACTCAGGGACTCAGGTGGGAACCAACCATGGTCCGATAACTCAGAACTATTTCTCATCTGGTGAGAGACCTGAAGCCGTTTTCAAGCTAGGCAAAGTTGACTGAAAGCTGCCTTTGCGGCCCAGACCGACAGGGGACCCAAGAGCAGAATACAGACAATGGTCCGCATCGTCCCCGACGAGTCAGACAGACTTTCCACTCACAACTATAACAGAGATACTCGAGTCGCTGGCATTCCCGCAAATGCTTGACAGGAGGGATAATATCGAGCCATGCCACACGAATACCTGCAAATGGATTTTAGACCTGGAAGAATACCAGTCCTGGAGGAGCCAGTCCAACGGTCTTCTCTGGATTAAGGGCAAGCCAGGTGCTGGAAAGTCGACCTTGATGGTATTCCTGCACGATAAACTAATATCAGAGGATAATGGTTCTGGTATTCGCCTCGACTTTTTTTTCACCGCTCGGGGTACAGAGATGCAACGTACACCACTAGGAATGCTGAGATCATTACTGAACCAGATTTTCGACCGCGATCCGATTATACGTTCTCAGATACGTGATACATACGACCGGCGATGTAAGCAGTTTGGGTATGGCAAACGCCAATGGGAATGGCCACAGGTGATACTAGAAGAGTTACTAGCAAGTGCCATTCTGGCATCAGCTAGCCGGCAGCACGTGATAGTTTTTGTGGATGCTCTTGACGAGGCTGGGGCTAAACCTGCTCAGCAGCTGGCAGAATATTTCCATCGGCTCGTTGATCGCGCCGATAAAAAGAAGCTATGCATCCGAGTTTGTATCTCATGTCGACACTATCCTATCATGGAGAGTGGTCAGGCTATAGAGATAAAGGTTGAAGATCACAATCAGCGAGACATCGCCACATATATCCAGGATAAACTTATCAAGACAGAGACCAATGACAACACCAGCCAGAAGATGAGGGAAATGCTAGTCGAGCAATTGATCCAGCAAGCGAATGGAGTTTTCCAATGGATTCATATTATAATCCCCCTTATCGAGCAGAAGGTTCGTGAAGGAGAATCGTTTAACGACATATGTTGCTGGTTACACGAGGTGCCAGCTGGCCTGGAAGATGTTTACACGTATATTCTGAACGACGTGATAGAGAAGAGAAACCGCGAGCAGTCATTTGTCTTCTTTCAATGGGTATGTCTGGCTGAGCGACCCCTCACGGTGGCCGAGATGCGGTATGCTCTAGTGGTTAAGAATGTGCGGGAACCGCTATCTCCAAAGAAATGGGAGAGGATCTCCGGTTTTATCGAAAGCAACAAACGAATGCTGCAAAGGATCAAGGCTCTTTCTGGTGGACTAGCCGAAGTAGTCCAAAGCGAGGATAACAATGTTACTGTACAGGTCGTCCACCAATCGGTCAATGATTACCTGCGCACAAAAGGGCTCAAGGTTTTGTGCCATAATATCGGTATGAGCATTTCGTCCATGAACGAGGATAAGATTTTTTCTCAATGCCACGCAACTCTCTACCGGTCATGTTTAGTTTATCTTGCAACAGCCCATATACTAGCAGGAACCACTGAGATCAAAGAAACTGAAGAGGCTTTCATCCAAGATCGTCCGTTACTTGAATACGCCACTATCAATCTCTTTGTTCATGCAGAAAAGGCTGCCGACTCTCGATGCGACATGATCCAGAATGAGAAAGATATCCTGGAACGTGTGCTCTGTTTTTGGGTCCAGATTTACCGGAACTTACATAAGTATAGCAGAGCATGCCCCCCAGAAGGCACAAAACTGTTACATATGGCTGCTGCTGCCAATCTAGTGGATCTCATAGAGCCTGTGGTGTCAGATACTAGGGATACTTCGATAAGGAACGGAGATGGAGATACAGCGTTACACTTGGCAGCCCGATGGGGTCATGTCACAGCCGGGAAAATACTCCGTAGGAAGGGAGCAGACCAAGGGGCAAAGAACCACAGCAGAAAGACACCATTATCCGAGGCAGCCAGTGGTGGCCATTTAGAATTTGTCGAATGGCTCTTAGATGAGGGCGTGGATCTGGGTCTAACGGGAGATGGAGGTGCGCTACAGGCAGCTTCTTTGGGAGGCTACGAGAGTATTGTGGAGATACTTCTCGGAGCTGGCGCCATTGCTAATGCCCAGGGTGGTATATACGGCAATGCTCTACAGGCCGCTGCATACAATGGAAACTCTGAGACAGTGCAGATACTGCTCGGAGCTGGCGCCGATGTCAGTGCCCAGGGTGGTCTCTACGGCAATGCTCTACAGGCCGCTGCATGGGATGGACACTCTGAGACAGTGCAGATACTACTCGGCGCTGGCGCCGATGTCAGTGCCCAGGGTGGTCTCTACGGCAATGCTCTACAGGCCGCTGCATATAATGGACACCCTGAGACAGTGCAGATACTGCTCGGAGCTGGCGCCGATGTCAATGCCCAGGGTGGTGAATACGGCAATGCTCTACAGGCCGCTGCATACAATGGAAACTCTGAGACAGTGCAGATACTGCTCGGAGCTGGCGCCAATGTTAACGCCCAGGGTGGTGAATACGCCAATGCTCTACAGGCCGCTGCACGGAATGGAAGTCCTGAGACAGTGCAGATACTGCTCGGAGCTGGCGCCGATGTCAATGCCCAGGGTGGTAAATACGGCAATGCTCTACAGGCCGCTGCATACAATGGAAACTCTGAGACAGTGCAGATACTGCTCGGAGCTGGCGCCGATATCAGTGCCCAGGGTGGTAAATACGGCAATGCTCTACAGGCCGCTGCACTAAATGGAAACTCTGAGACAGTGCAGATACTGCTCGGAGCTGGCGCCGATGTCAGTGCCCAGGGTGGTGAATACGGCAATGCTCTACAGGCCGCTGCACTAAATGGAAACTCTGAGACAGTGCAGATACTGCTCGGAGCTGGCGCCGATGTCAGTGCCCAGGGTGGTCTCTACGGCAATGCTCTACAGGCCGCTGCAAACAATGGAAACTCTGAGACAGTGCAGATACTGCTCGGAGCTAGCGCCGATGTCAGTGCCCAGGGTGGTCTCTACGGCAATGTTCTACAGGCCGCTGCATACAATGGACACCCTGAGACAGTGCAGATACTACTCGGAGCTGGCGCCGATGTCAGTGCCCAGGGTGGTCTCTACGGCAATGCCCTACAGGCCGCTGCCGCTGCATGGAGAAATAGCCCTGAGATAGTGCAGATACTGCTCGGGGCGGGCGCCGATGTCAATGCCCAGGGTGGTATATACAGCAATGCTCTACAGGCCGCTACACTAAAAGGAAACTCTGAGACAGTGCAGATACTGCTCGGAGCTGGCGCCGATGTCAGTGCCCAGGGTGGTGAATACGGTAATGCTCTACAGGCCGCTGCATACAATGGAAACTCTAAGACAGTGCAGATACTGCTCGGAGCTGGCGCCAATGCTAACGCCCAGGGTGGTGAATACGGCAATGCTCTACAGGCCGCTGCATACAATAGAAACTCTAAGACAGTGCAGATACTGCTCGGAGCTGGCGCCGATGTCAGTGCCCAGGGTGGTCTCTACGGCAATGCCCTACAGGCCGCTGCCGCTGCATGGAGAAATAGCCCTGAGATAGTGCAGATACTGCTCGGGGCGGGCGCCGATGTCAATGCCCAGGGTGGTATATACGGCAATGCTCTACAGGCCGCTGCACTAAAAGGAAACTCTGAGATAGTGCAGATACTGCTCGGAGCTGGCGCCGATGTCAGTGCCCAGGGTGGTAAATATGGCAATGCTCTACAGGCCGCTGCATACAATGGACACCCTGAGACAGTGCAGATACTGCTCGGAGCTGGCGCCAATGTTAACGCCCAAGGTGGTGAATATGGATCACCTCTCTTGGCGGCTGTTCGTGGGGGTTATGATGACATAGTTCAACTTCTTCTTCGCGATGGAGCAGATGCGCTACTTACAGATGAACTGAGCCAGACCCCTCTTCACATCGCGGCTTCAAAAAACAGGCTCGACATACTCCGCCGGTTTCCAAAAATAGCGTTAGCCCTCAACAACCGTAGTGACTTCTTACAAACTCCCCTCCACCTGGCAGTTTGTCATGGTCACATTAGTTTTGCTATTGCCCTTCTCAATTCCGGCGCTGATCCTTCCATCCCAGATGGGTATGGTCGACATATTATGGACTGGGCATCTAATCACGAAACTCTAATGCAGGAATTACACAATCACTGCCCTCATCTGGTGTTGACGACCTCTGATACTCAAGAGCTAACTGTTCGTCGATCACTCTTTGAACTTACCGAATCGCTTCCATGTTTCAATTCTGAGTCTTTCTGGCCCATTCTGCAGCAACTAGGCCGCTACTATTTGTTTCTTGGCCATTTCGACAATGCGCACTGTCTGTTCCAGCTCCATTTGCCTCGGGATGCTTGCTCCATAAAAGATATCTGGCAGATCTCCTGCAATATGTGCGACCGGATTATCACCGGCACTCGCTTTGTATGCAGGATGTGCGCCTCCCTCGATCTCTGTTCCTCCTGTGTACAGAGGTACCGCTGTCATAGCCGATTACACCCAAGCCAAGAGCACGAACTCTTTGAGGTGTCCAATATGCCTGACAAAAACTCCCAATATACCGGGCTAGGATCAGAGCGATTCAAAATTTTCTTGGACAATCTTGCTCACAAACATCCCGAGGACAAAGCTGATCAATGTGACCAGGAGCTATTCATTGATTCTATATTCGCTCTCGCACCTAGGAAGGTAGCTATAGTTCCAAAGACTGCTTTCGGCTTGGTAACAATCACCTCTGGGATCATATTCGGGGTTTCAGCTATTTTGTTGGGAGCTCGGTATTTTCACACACGTTAAATTTATCTCATACTCTCCCTATATCTCAAATCTTGTAGTACACTCGAATTCGAAATTGGCTTCCATATTTTAGACAGAGAAACTATTTCAAACCCTAAGATTGGGCCAATAAGAGAGGCGGCTATACCTCTTTGAGCGTTACTGTGGGGTCTGACCTTTGGTTTTCTTTGCTGTGATTGGATCATCTGTCTTGGCAGAGGGTTCCAGAACACAAGTATGTGTATTTCTCATGGAAGCCAATTTCGAATCCGTGTGTATGTATTGTTCATTAACAAGTATAGTCGCAGATTGTTGTGCTATATTGAGAAATTTTGTTTCGTACTCATAGCCAAGTACTTTTTGGAGTGCCTCGCGTCAAGGAGATGCGATAATATTTTCAGCGGTGTATTTGCTCTTCTTATCTTCCCCTTTTATAAGCCATGCAGTTGATGTTATTTAGATATCCCCGATGCTGATCCATTTTACAAGAGTTGTGGGACCAGGAATTTTTCCCTTTCTAATACGCGAGGTAGCATACATAATTTGGTACTACTGAATATCCGCAAGATTTTGCGGATGTTGGTGATAGAGCGCTCACTGCACTGCGCTACCTTTGCTATTTGCGATGTAGTAAGTCTGTTCTTACTGCATATAATATGAATAATCATCCTATGTTCCCAGAACTCGATTTTTCTTGCTGTTTTGTTAGTGGTTCGGTGAGCTGCAGTTGCTGGGTTGGGAGGAGTGAACAGACGACGCCACGGTGGTTGAGAGAAGAAAAAAAAGGAGCGGGTGGGGAATGGATTATTTTTGGACATGTAGCAGTACATCAGTGTACAACTTTATACTTTTATCCTTGTTACCACGTAAATCTGTAACAACCTTTTAAATACCGGAGTAACCGTATTCGGTCAGCACATCATGTGATTAGGGTTTGAAATAGTGTATCTATATCTCCCGAAATGGAAGGCAATAACGGTCGGCACTGTAATTATTTTCTTCATCCTTCCTTCCTGACCAGGGTGGTAAGGGTGCGATGATTCTAGCCGTTGGTATCTCTTAATGGAAGAAGAACATGGACTCATAAGCTTAAGATGATGTCCTATGGGCCATAAGCCTTTGTTTTTCTGAGTAAAGATCTGTTAAATGTACTAAATACCTGACTGCTCTTTTCAGTCTTTAATGTTCGGCGGGCAATAAGCGGCTTTTTATGTTATCGATCAGACCGGATATGTTTCCACCTATCTTGTATTTTGCATAGGTAGGCAATGGTACTGTATTGCAATGTAAGCTGAGTGTATTCTGCCGGCCTAGTATTGTTATTTTGATGTAGCTATAGACGGCCCTTGAGTCAAATCTACCCGCTAATGTCTTGGCAGTGGGGCTCTTATACTAATATTGGGTCTTCAGGGCGGAAGCTGTTTTCGCTAATGACTGTATAGTGACTAGCGAAAGCTACCTTTTCCCAAATATAGCCTTTCTTTTGGCGGGATCCACTATGAAAGTCTGAGCGCAGCCTTTGGATTGATCGGACCACTCCTAGTTAAGGGCTGTTGTACAATTCACTACGTATAGTACTATATCACCAGCAGAAATAGTATAATCAGTGCTCTGATTATTGGGGGGTGAAAGTTTATGACTACTAGGTAAGCAGCAATTTATGGCAGCCCTTAATTTGACGCGGCCTAGTGAATGAGATATGCACGCCAAGGTCTCGGCAGTGAGGCCCTAGAGAAGGAAAGCAGTGGTTGGGGAAGAAGGAAATACCGCTCATGACTATACTAGGGTTATAAGTCATAACTTATTAGCCGAGCTTTCGTATTAGTCCGCTGGAAATAAGTACCGTCGTTTATTCTACTGCAAAATTAAGTCATCAGTAAAACTACCTCAATCGATATCTGGCTTAGTCTAGCTTGAATTTTCGGAGGCAAACCATGTTCGGTGTGCTGTCCCGCAAAACATAAGTTTAGACTCAATTGCCTAAAAAAAGCCGAAGAAGTTGACTTTAAACCATCATATACTGGGTACCATGAAGTTGGCTTTTGTATTCAGCGCCTTTCATTAATGCGGTTTTGAAAAGACCTTACAGTCGAGTATCAGTCTTTACACACAGATCACTTCAATTGGGAGTGTGCATTTTGTTACACAAGAAAACTTTACCTTACATCCTTCATAATGTTTACCATCCTAATTCAGCTTGACAGACCCAACTCCCCTCCCAAATATTTTACCTCAGAAATACAGACCGCAGACCGTGGGCTCAATGACCCCTTTGATAATAAAGCTCTCTAATGTTCCGTAGTAACCGGAAGCTATACTCCCTGATCTTAGACACAAGTATAAGAATGACGCTTCCCACCTACTACATAGACAAACTACGAAAAAACCTGAATATCAAGCTTCAAAGTCTACATTGCAACTATGGCCAAAGCGAAGAGAACAAATACTTCGAAAGCTACTGAAAACCGGACTAGAGGCCAAAAAAGACAAGCGACCCTAGATAAAAAGCGTCAGATAGCTAAAAAGAAAGCAGAAAAAACCAATCAGGAGAAAAACCTTCAGAGGTTTCAGAAGCAATGTGACAAAGTCAAAGCCCAGTTAGAAGAGGAAAATGATCCAGCAACCCGAGAGGAGCTGGAAACCAAACTCAAAGGGCTACTGTCATCTTACAATCAGACAGAAAGCGGATTGAAACAGGTTGAAGAGGATCTCATGGAGCTTGATGCAGATATGGCTCAACTTGAAAATGATGAGCTAGGTGGAAGGGAAGAAAGTGTGAATGCAGGAAGGGAGGAAGGCAATGCAAATGCAACACATAATGATCTTCACACAGACCAGAAAAGTGAAGGCGCAGACACTTCAGCTGCAGACAAACCAAATGCAACACATGATGATCCTCATATAGACCAGCAAAGGGAAGGCGCAGACACTTCAGCTGCAGACAAACCAAATGCAACACATGATGATCTTCACACAGACCAGCAAAGGGAAGGCGCAGACACTTCAGCTGCAGACAAACCAAATGCAACACACGATGATCTTCACACAGACCAGCAAAGGGAAGGCACAGACACTACAGCTACAGACGAACCTCTCAATAAACCTCCCAATGAGCCAAATTTGCCTAGCACGCAGGATGAAACGCAGGATGAAGACGGCGATGACAAGAATGAAATGTTTGTTAGCCAATCGGAGTCATCAAACAGAGGTCATCAGTCACATGTGAATCGGGAGCCTGACGATGATCCTCGTAGTGCAGAGCAGCCCTCTATCCACAGAACGAAAGAAAGTTTCGACGAGAATTCCCTTTCTAACAAGGAGCTGGCCCATCGACCTACGACTTTCGATGATTTTGACCTCCAAAATTTTGTTGATTTGACTGGAGTTGATGACACCCCAACCTTCTCCTTGGAAGACGGTACTGTCTCAATTAGCGCGCGAGGTGGGAAGCTCTTCATGAACTCATATGGGCCTAGAAATAGCCCGATGTTTATCTGGAGTACCACAGCGGCCTCATATAGAGTTGATAGAGTCACGCCACTTCTTGGATCACCCCATAAGCAAGCAATGCTGAGGGATGATGATGTTGATGCGTACTTATATAAAGGAAAGATAGGCCCTATCAAAGCAATTGCTTGGTTACCTAGGCATGGTGGAGATTCAATGAGTAGCATACTGGACTCTGTGGAGGAATTGAATCCATCGAAGAAACTAGAGAACCCAAAGTACAGATATCCATTCAGCACTGTCATGGTTGACCTAGAGGAAATTAAGGGACACAAGAAACAAACTGTTTGGATCGATCGTACTAAATACAAAACACTCAGCAGCGCAGGAAAAGACTCGAATGCGCGAACTGACAGAAAGTTCTACGCGAAAGCATGTGATCAAGTGAGATACTTCAGAGATTGGGCGGGCAAAGATCTAGATGATTCGTGGAAAGGGGTACGAAGAGAAAGAAAAGATGAGAGCCCAACTCCTCTACAGGAAACACCAACACCAGAGCCCGAAGAGGATTCCCGAAATCAAACCCGATATACTCGGAGTCAGACAGCCCAGACCCCAAATGCCCAGATCCCACGTGAAAAGGGTTCCCAAGGCGAAGTTCCCCTGGTTCCACAGTCAGTTGATAAACCTTCAATGGGAGATTCACAACCAAAGATATCAAACGGGCAAAATATATCCTCAGAGTCTGGCGAAACGGTCTCGAGTGAAGAGGATGAAGAGCCAGAATTGATAAGCGAGTTCTACGAGTCGTTTTTGATGAAAAAGGATGTAGAACCGGAGACACCTTGGAGGGATCTTGACGATAAAATCTTCGCACAATTCAAAGCCGCCTCCAAGATCTATATCAAAGAATTGAAGAAACAGAATCCGAATCTGAAAATTGTGGATAATATGGGCTTTGGAAAGGCTTTCAAGATGTGATAGAACTATCGGATCACTTATCTTGTCTAAGTGAGAGAAACGCCTGGGCTTAGATGAAGTTGATCTGAATCTCTGGATGAACTCTGTTTTTCGTCTCGCAGAGGCTCATTCTTTCAGTAAAAATCATGGAAGTTGAATACTGATGCCGATATATCATCACCGGGACTTCTAAGCTTGCCTTCATTTTCATCTTGGACATTTTTCCTTTGCATTGCTTTTGTCTTAAGCAAAACGTGAATTGTATTTTTGCTTTTTATAACGATGATATTAAATTAGATAGCACGATCGTTGTTTGCTACCAAATGAAAGCCTAGTCTTATTATTACAAAGCCTTGTTAAGAGTATAGATATTCTAGAAATTGCCCTAACCAATAAAAAGCATTCTCTTCTTTATAGACCCACTTCTAAACCCTCAACTTGTTTTATCTATTCTATATTTAGTGAAGTGTATCTTAGCATTAAGGAAAGAGGGTGTAGGTGGCGACACTGATTAATATCTCAGTCTATAAAAAACTGAACAATGTTCTGGATTCAACGATAAGGCACTACCATTAAGTCTAGCGTGAAGAAGCTGCCTCTAAACTTGAAAGTCATAAAAAGGCAATCATTTAAACCGTTCTCGAAAATAGTCCAGCTTATCCTCATAAGTCCATAAGTTGTTAGATCAAGTTCAATTGGGCATCTTTTATCATGCATTCCCTATTAAAACAATTCCCGCACTCAGAAGATTTAGTGCCTAACAAGCCAACTTGCCTACCCTACGCCGGAACCTGTAATTACGGCAACTTTAGCGATCTACAAGAGATACATGAAGGAAAATATTGTGGGACTTAATCTAACCTAGCTAGCCTTAGTTTGAGATAAGGAGGGCGCTGGGAAAGAATGCGCCAGTCTCTGAAGGGTAAGCTGTTTTCGAATTCTGCTGTACCTAAGATGTCTCTTACTATGCCATCAATAAGCAATGGCTGGATGTTTTACTATGGATGCTTGAAAGTCAAAATTTAGATACTGTCGGTAGCGAAATCAGCTTCCTCCTTACACACTGCTTTTCTTTTATCGGGACCCACTGCCAAGGTCTTAGCGTAGATCTTTCATTGATCAGGCCGTGCCAAGTTGAGGGCCGTTGTAAACTGCGCCGTGTATGGTACTATATATCCTTACGTAATATTACATCCAGTGCTCTGAATGTGGGCGGTAAACGTTGTTTGTTACGGTACTTGACATGGCGCATTTTACGGTAGGCCTCAATTTAGCGCGGTCCAGTCAATACCCGATCTGCGCTAAGGTTTTGGCAGTGGATCCCGAGAAAATAAATGCTGTGTCTAGGGAGGAAGCTGATTTCGCTATCGACTGTAGCTGGAACAATCTCCACTTTGCTGTGGTGTACGATAACTTGGAGCTGGTGAAGAAACATGAAAATCAGATTCTTGAACTTGATTGCGTTATTTATCAAAGTGGACGGACTCCCGTTTATTTCGCATTCATTAAATACAACTCATAGGTCGCTTGCTTTCTATTATAATCAAACTGCTGGAACAATTATAATAGTGTCGATCGAAACTAGCTTGGTTATACAACGGTAGTAGCCCTTGCGTTCGATTATAGAAAGTCAGGAATTTGTGAATAGGCCATTTCAATTAGATGGCTTTATAAAGATGAATGGATGGTGACTGATACCGGAAATTCGAACGGTAAGACCGCCTTTGAGCTCGGCATGGAATGAGATATTTTCGATAATAGAGTGAGATACCCGTTAATGGGGAGGAAAACACTTGCCATCATTATATCTTCATTTTACCCTATTGTTTCAAAGGTTGCTTAGTTTTACTTACAATGTTCAAAATCAGTGCCTTCATATATTTACTCCTAATCCCTAGGGCGATACCTGCAACTTTTGAGCACGGTTGGTAGTTCAACTTCTAAAAGTGAGGATCTGCTCAAAAGTCGGGAATGATGTTTAGTAGTATTTCAGGTTATAAAAGTAGCCACTTGACCTTCATGGCTCTTGAGTATTCTTCATCAAGCATCCGAAATCCACCTCAATATTTATTCCTTTATCTCAGATTATCAAGCCCGCAGTCATGTCCGACCAAAACAATCGGCATATCACAACCTTACATTTTGAAAAGAGCATAGATAGCACTAATCATCCAGATCGAACGCGTGAAACAACACGATTGCATGAGTCTCGTAACATAAGGGAAAAAAAGGCATTAACAGACAACCAGGAGGTCAGAAAAGTCATACGGGGACCCCCGAGAACATTAGCTTTACCCCAGATATCAACGTCGACTGACGAAGGCTATCCTTTGATTGTAAGATATGAGTCTCCCTGGGACACATACCGGAAAGCCCTGTCCTGTAATATTGCAGGCCATGTGATTCTTGCAGCTCACCGCTCCCGACCTTCTCGTATAATAGCTATTCGAGAATACTGCAAAAGAGATGCCAAAAGAATGCTGGGGCTTTACCGCAGCTTAAAACATTCAAATGTTCTGTCCGCTGCAGAATGCTTTGTAGATGATGAATCTATGTTTGCTCTGGTTAATGATCTTCCAGTTAATCTCGCCCATCTCGTTGGATGTCGCACTCTTTACCCAACGGAGATTGAATTAGCATCCATTGCATGGCAGGTAGGTAAGGATTTGATTATCTCAAAGGATTTTTCTGATAGTCAAAGGTTCTTGATGGCGCTTGCTATCTGAATACACTAGGTTTAGAGCACCAGTCATTAATTTGCCGCAATGTTCTCCTTGGTCTGGACGGAATCGTCAAAATTGGTGCGCACGCTTCCCTTCATACAAGTTCCTTGGCTTACGATTTCTGTAGCTTGCATAGAGTCCTGTGTGGAGAGAAACCCCAACGAGGCGCAAAGTGGCTACATCAAAGCACTCGCTTCTATTATAATGGAGGTGATGCAAAAGGATATCAAAGATTGTGGAGTGATCGGTATTGAAGATTTAGAGCGCTGGCCGGTCGATTCTAATGCATTCAAATTTCTTTCGGCTATCTCGACAACGGAAAACATAGAGGCCCTTAAAGAGGTTCGTATTGGCTCTCACATTATTATACTTGACCTAAACTCTCTGACTACCACAAAGCAACCACTTGTCAGTAAAAAGTACCGTTTAAAAGGCGAACTTATTCTCCTAGCTCGGTCTGTTTTCCTTTCCGCACACATTTTCTATTCGTTAGAAGAAAATTATTCGGAAGATTAAATTTGCAAATGAAGATCGTCGCATTCCCAACCAAACCATTACTCATCAAAATCATGAAAAAATCCAAACATTCTAGGTTTTTGGAGCACGGCGGGTTTTCTGGAGTCGATATTTACCATGGTATCACACCAACTCGCATGATGGGTACGTCAACCTGGCACGACCCTCGCATAATATAGTCATACTATTTGGAACAAAACGGAAGGTGCCGAAAAAAAAGGTTATCATCCGAATCACACTGAGAGACATAGTAGGTGAAAAAGTACCTGTGAAATTTCTGTCGCCCAACTTGATAGGTGATCTCAAAAATATTTCAATAGTCAGAGCAGAGCACTTTCGGTGGCCTGTAATGTTGCGAGGGTAGCAGCGATATGAATTGGACAATGAGACAAGCGCCAATTTATTCATCCTGGCTTTATCCGAAATCACAAGAATCTCTATCCAGTTACTTCACGGAGACCCCATCTTAATCTATTAATCTACCATGAGTTATGTTTTATCGGATAGTGGTATCCTATCAATGATTTTACAAAACTGTAACAGGTTTGTCTTTTCAGCTATGGCAAAGTTGAGGTAAAGTTTTAGCGCTTCGGGCCGGTCTATTGGTTCTTTTTTGATAACTTCCTTATGGTCGATTATTTGTTAAGCTACCTCTTTATTCCGACCGATAACGATTATGGGCCCGTTTGAGCCTCAGGGGAGAAGTCCAAAAATGGCTTTGTTGAGCTTCTAATTAGCTTCGCCGATCTATAAGCCCTCCTAGCCTGTAGTTCATAGCTAGCGAAGAAACCAATAAAAATTAATACTATTAAGGGTTAGTAATTTCTTTATTATCTTCCTATCCTAGAAATAACTTTCGATGATTCAGAATAGGTTGGCTATAGGATCCTACCGCTCGCGAATTTTGGCCTAGTCGGCAATATCCCGGAAATTTTGCTTAGACCGGCATATAGACCCAGAAAGCCCACGTCTTAGGCGATTTATTCCGTTTATGACTGTATTCGATAGAAAGTTTAGATTTCCTGCCATATATCTGCACTAAACTACCCACCAACGACTTTATACCAACTGGGACACTACCGACGCCTATAAGAGCTATCCTAGACCCTAATACTGAGATATTCTCATACATCCGATCGAGCAGTATATCGTGGCTAATTGAGTCGCGACCGCAACATCTGAGAAAGGTCAATAAAGCGGTTAGCAGAGTTTCCGATCGCTCTACGTCAATAACAGTCATTTTGAGCTTAGCAGGGATCTCATGAATCCCGCCAGAGGGCAGATAGACCGATGTATAATTCATCCGCACCTGGTTACCCCAACTTCCTTCACCAAACGATATAGATGATAATATCGTAGCTAATATGCCATATATCCCCTACGATGGTATCTGGAGTAGATGAAAGACGTTACAGCCTAGTCAGGATATCAAGGCATTATATCGGAGTAGGATAATATGGCCTCTCATGCACCCCGATTCTTTCCCGGAAGGTACCTATATGACTCGCTCAAAGTCAGGGCTTTACCTTGCCTTGTATTAAATCAGTGCACCAGAGGGAAAAGTCTATTCCTTGAGGATTTGTCTTTGTCTATTCTGAGCACACTCTTTTAAGACCCCTTTGACCTCGCCTAGTAAATATCTTGATCTTAACAGAAGATTCCTACTGACGCAAAGATTCCACCCCCAGTCTCCTTATTAGGTGATATTTTGGGCGCTAAAATGTATCAGCTACTCAATTATTCTTTCCGAAGAGATCTAATTAGGCAGCTTTTCTCTCTTCAAAACGAAACGGTGGCCCTGGGCGTATCGTCTTTTCTTATTATTTACAACTCTATTCCAGCGCGCTGGGGTGGTCTATGGTCTAGCTAAATCTACCCTAGGCGGCTTACTATTGTCTTGGTGGTAGGGCGTGAGATAAATTTTTTGTTTAAAACATAGAAGCCAATTTAGAATATTACTATAAGCTAAGCTAGACTAGATGGGAGATATCCTTCCTATCTATATATAACGTATGTTATTTGGTAGGAGACTTCAGATAGGCTAATAAAATTCTTATATCATAGTTCCTCACATTATCAATGTGGAAGGAATATTATATAAATTAAGGGCTTGTCGTTAAATAATTATACTAACGATGCACAGGATCTAGTGAATGATTGATACCGCTTCTACCAACAGCTCGGATAGCCTTGCATTAGGCTATGCTTGCTTCCAAGCATCATTTACGAGACTATGTCCACTCAAGCGCTCACGCTCAGAATTAGCGTTCCGTTTCCAAGTACTTCGCTAGTTGATAGAAGTAGCCTCCTTAGTAATATCTCTAGGTCAATCTACCCTTCACGGTCTATACTTCTAAAGATTGCCAAGCCTATTATTTCTAGATCGTATACTTCAGAATCGACCTCCATGTCTCTGATCTATTTCTCGTTAATCAGAGGTAAAGAATTACAGAACTACGGAAAGTTACATTTGAACTTCTAGACATAGGAGTGCGACTATTTCATACGTTAGAGAGAGGTTTAAGTGAGTTTAGGGAAATTGTGAAACTGATTTCAATCCACCCTGTAGCCTAGAGCGCATTTGCGTAATAAAGCCTACGCTAGGTATTAATCGTGTTCGCAGAAACTCTCATGCTCAATACGCGCAAAAGTTTGTTCGCAATCCGACATTTATCGAAGGGCAGAAACGTACTGGGGTATTGAAATCTGTGGGCAGCAGTTTTTGATTCATTCCCTGCAGTAAATGAACAAGCATGATCTCCAAACGATTAAGCTTCGAATGATATAAGACACTGCAGCTCTGCATTAGCAAATACATTACGGATTATGATCGATCACTCATTTGCCCAAAGTTGCCACGACGTCATTCGACGTTCATTAACGTGCTGAGTTCTACAAAGTCCGGCCGACCCCAGGAATTAGTTCCCTTTGGAACTGAAGTCTAGCGTCGGCAAGCATTCAAGTGACGAGATCGACCTACCGCGGTGCACTCCTCAATTTACAATATCAGCTTACTGCATCAAATAATTTCGGTATGGAGATTCTCACTATTTACGCCTCTGTCGCAGGAGGTATACTCCTGAGTATTGTGGTAATAAGAGCTGTGATGTATCTCGGACCATGGAGCATCGCAGTCAAAATCCTCATCGCTAAGCATATTACATATCCGTATTTTATCGGCCGGCATGCACTTCTGGGCCCTTGGACACGAGCCGGTTCTCTTATGCATATTAGCTATGCGGCGCTCAATCTTGTTCTTATCTTGTTTAAAAGCGCATCTATCAGCGTAGCTGGTAATCGAGCAGGGACGCTATCATTGATCAATGCTGTATTCTTGGTAGCATCCTGCTGTCTGAGCAACATAGCTGATCTTTTTGGGATTTCCCTTCGGAGTTGTCGACGTATTCACCGGGCGGTGGGTTGGATGGTACTGAGCTTGGTATCATTGCATATCTTCACGAAGCTGTTGAGTCAGCAAACCGAGAGTATAGACGGAAGTGCTCGAAAGCTCTTTGCTATTATTGTTAGTCAAGAATTATTCTTAGCCAATTCACAAGAGATGCAATGCTAACTGTTCGTTAGGGTGCAGGGATTCTGGCAGCGTTGGGATTCTTTTCATTGCCCATTTTCCGAAGGATATCTTACGAATGCTTCCTTCGAGCTCATCAAGCACTTGCAGTGGGTAGTTTGTATTCTATCTGGAGACATGTCTCCGGCAAAAACCTTTTTCCCCGTCTCTATATATATGTTGCAATTGGTGTTTCGGCCTGCACCTTGTGTTTTAACCTAGCTCTTTTTCTCTTTAGAAATGGGCTGTTTTCCGGTAATGGATGTCCACGAGCAAGGATCACCTGCCAGGTTGACAATATTGGCAATGAGAAATGCGAAGAAACGACTAAATTGGCACCAATCAAGATTTGTATTTATCTACCGAGGCCGATTACTGTTATGGCGGGGCAATATATAAATTTGTGGCTCCCGTCAGTGAGCATATGGTCATGGGCGCAAACACATCCTTTCATGGTAACATCATGGTTCCGAGGAAGACATGGCATGCTTGAAGTTTTAGTAGAGCCTCATCAAGGCCTAACGAAAACTTTGGCACGCCGGGCTAATCTAATGGGGCCAGACGGTTTCTCTTGCATGGCGCTTTTTGGTGGCCCACATGGGATAACTGAGTCTGTAGAAAACTACGAAAGTGTGCTATTGGTGGCGAGCGGGATGGGGCTTGCGGCTGTAATTCCTTACGTGAAGTTGTTGATACATGGCTACAACACTTGCACTTCCTTTGTTCGGCGGATACACCTAATTTGGCAGGTCGAGGCATTATGTTGGTTCCGCTTTACCCCTTAGGCTGGCTTAGGACTGACAAAACAGGTATTGCTATTTCATTGGAGAATATATTGAACGACCTTCTGTCGGATGATGTCCTTGATGGTGGCTATGTTCGTTTGTCACACTTTCATTTCCATAACAAGCATTTGGTCTGATTTAAGTGTAGATCCTCGAGATATCGGTGTTTCTGGAAAATGAATCCTTGGTGAAAGAGAAACTACCATTTGGGAAACATGGGCGTGCCTTTCTTTTTGAAGGAACCCCAGACTACCCCAAAATCATTGCGGACGAAGTTTCTGGGGAAAGGATAGAGAGATTACCAAACATTCAAGATGATCGAGGAAAGGCATTATTACTCGGTAACGTATTCCGAATGCAAGGTCTTGCAATCGCTAATTCCTCAAATTTTACCAGCATCTACCAGAGCTGATCTGCGCGACGAACTAAGAGACATTGTCAGACCTTATCTCTGCCAAGGGTTAATGATGAGTGAACTCGAGTATCAACCATAAGAGTTGGGCTCTCTAAGGGAATTATTGGGACGAGGAGACTTAAGGGAGGATCAATGCCGACCGTAAGGAATCTGCAGCTAAGAAGTCAATACCTGCATTTTGACTGACTTCGGCATAAGCTGGCCCCTTTTCTACGGTAAAATTGGTCATCGTCTGCCCCACTGACGAGCGGACTTGAAAAGGTAGTGCGCCCGAAAATTATTTCATCACTTGTGCTTCGAATTAGTTTGTTGAACCCTGATGCCGCTATTATCTTGTGGCATATCTAATCAAAAGGAAGAAAAATAACCCATTAACATAAAGAGACCAAGCTAGAGAGAGGGGGGAAAAAATAAGAATGCAGATCAGAGATATCTATATCTCAGAATCGTAAGCGTGCCTCTTCCGAGGCAAATTCTTGTACGTACAGTAAAAACAATCAGTGATGTAATATATTTTTTGGCGACACGACTTAAAGTGTGCAATTTGCAAAAGTGAACAACTCCCAACGCGTCCTCCGAATCTGTCGGAACACGTAATCAGGGCGTTAGATCAAGGACCAATTGGGTGTCCGTTCGAGTACAGTCAACTCTCGCTTATAGCACACCCTCCCATCCAAGGCAAAATCATGTGAAATAAGCGGGAGGTGCAATAACATAAGAGAGACAATGACATAATATTATTTAGGCTTCCATCCCATATCCTCTAAGGTCACCTAACGCTTCTCCTGGACCTGGATGCTGCCAAACTCGCTAATTAAGCTCTCAACCTAACGTATATAATCTGATGTGCTCTTTCCTCTACTTCTAACCTATAGTAATATATCCTGTAGATGACCTATTACCTTAGAATTAGTTAGGTAGTGGCCCGTTTTCGTTAGTATCTCACGCTTTTGAGCTCTTTATGTTGGTACATATCTTACCCATCGGTCTTGTCTTCAACTATAATGTATATACTGTATTCCTCTATTAGATCCAAGTATTAATTGAATAGTACAGTATAATATCATCATAACTAAGCTTCTTATTACTTGATTAAATAGAGCTTAAATCTCACCCTCACCACTTAATTCAGGCTTAGAAACTAGGTAGCCGGTCTTAGTAAAGGTAGGTTTGAGTATAGTTTTCAGCACTCTGATTGGTTGATGAGACTGACTAAGCAGGTTACTCAGCAAAAAAGAGGTGTGCAAACGTGAGTGTGCTAAAAGCGGGAGTTTTGTATGTAAAATCAAGAAAAAGTGGGTCTATCCAAGCGAATCGCGTGCTATAAGCGGGAGTGTGCTATAACTAGGTACGCTATAAGCGAGAATTGACTGTATGTCTGTCTCCTCATTCTTCTATCTCTGTGCTCGCACTGTGTGCATGCTTACTAATATCATGTGATCTAGCTAGCTTACATCATCTAATATGTGCCGACATATGTTGCACCTCTAGCCATATAAAATTTTCAGTCTTAGTAGTCAGCTGGCGAGTTCCTGTTGCAGTTGGTCGTAATTACCACTCTCGAGTAGCCATAGACTTAGAGTCTAATATTCCTATATTCCTACGATCTGTGCTTTACTGTAGATATGTCTGGTAACGTGTTACGGCATCCAAAATTTAGGGGATGGTGACAGGGTAGGCCGATATGGTGCGTAATGTTGTGTCTCTTAACTACATTGCTCCAAATTGGAAAATATATTATGTGTGCTGGAGACATTTTATACTGTAGGAGAAAAGAGAAGACTTTTATTTCTGAGATTTCCGCTGAAGCTGCGTGCAACAAGCCAACAATCATTAACATCCGCAGAAATTGCGGTAATTGGGGAGTCTCTTATATCCCTCAAATATAGGTAGGCCAAAGACTAACCGTGACGCCACCTATAACGTCTGGTATTGGAGTACCCCCGCTTTCGGCAGATTAAATTGAAAACAAGCACAGGCCTCCCATGTGAGGCTCAAAAACTGCCTTTCAGGCAACTCTAGGCCAGTCTCAGTGGATCATGTCATGGTTTAAACGTAGAAAAAGTAGGCTGCATACCCCCAAAGCGAGGTTTCGGCCTCAACGAAATCCATCCATCGTCCAAATTGCAAGAACTTTCATGGTAGTATGTTACAGCCACAAAATTTTCGCGATGCCTAGACATCTCGTGAACTAGTCGGCCCATCATCATATAAATCATCCCAATAACCTGATTCAATAGAGAACTGCCCTCGTCGAAAGATAAAATCACCCAAAGCTGAGCGTTTCAGTCTACAGGTAGCCGGTAGGTATGCTTGAACAAGCTCTCTGGTATCCTTCCTACCGTCATCGTCGACTATAACGTCCAATGCTTCTGGTATGTGATGACCGAAGGTTTCCAAATACGGGGATACCCAAGCCAGCCACTTATCAATATCTTGCCTCAGTGTGGGAGCATTATAGTACCCCTCAGCTCTGATTGGTTGCTCTGGAATTATGAGGAGAGCTTTCAGGCTTGGTAGGATTGAAGCCCACAAAGAATCATCTGGCGTGCTTATCTCGTAGGACACACCAGCAGGGTTGGCAGTAACAATCAAGTATCTCATTCGCCGCCTGTTCTTCTCCGTGAAATTTTTCGTCATGCCCCACTCTCCTCCTCCATTCAGGCACAGACGAAAAGTGTTTTCCCCATAGAGAATATCCAGGCATTCTTGACTAATCTGCTTTGAAAGTCGTAAAGCGTTGACCCTACTGTAATTTCGGTTGAAAAAGTTGTTCTCCAAAAAGCAATAATCGTCCATAGGAAAAGACGGCGATCGAACATTGACTTGCTTTCGTCGAGGAATGCAATGGCAGTATATCTGGCGTCTAATCTCGTACGGTAAATCGAGGAATCCTGCGCGTATCAGGTTCCCGGGCCTCGTAGCGGTCACCAGTGACATAAGAGTTAGACTCAGGTAAAACAAAGTGCGAGAGTAATCAAGGTAAGTATAGAGAGGATTAAAATTAATTTGCAGTGCCTCAGCTGGATAAGGTTGTCTGTGGGGCATCGAATGGTCGCTTGGGGCCTTTTATATGTCGTCCTCTGGACAGCCCGCTTTAGAAAGGTGAGATTCCTCAATCATCTCCGGTTGCCCTGCGCCCCCTGTGCCGCGACAAGGGCGGCATGTTTACAGCAGACTCTCTTGTCGATACATTCTTATCCAGCATTCCAGGGACTTCCAACTCCGTTCTACACCGGGCGAGGTCCAAATAAAGGGATGGATAACATGAGACACCATGCAACGTTCGTCACGCTAGCTATGTCCTAGAACTTTGTACAGAGTAGGGAAACAGAGGTAGAGAGAGACCAAAACCTGATCCAGATTCGAGATTGGAAGATCAAGACGTAAGGGAGTAGAATTTGGGGGATCTTGCCGAATAGTTAGGATTCCCCACCTTGTTTGGTCTCTCTGCAGGAAAGATTCGAAAGATTCTAATCGATTCCAACGCATTTTACGTTATTATTACAGTGACTCATCCATTGTTACCAGAGAATACATTACTGTTTGAGAAAAATTACTGGGGACTGGCTAATATTAGACCAGCGTGTTTCAAGATAGTGTTCGGTAATGAATGTCTAAGGGTGCAGAGGTAAATCTGATTTCGAATATTACTGTACCAAGGCCAAAGAGACCCTTCAGGCGTGGTGGCGGACAAGATCGCATAGGAAGTAGTAGGCTCTAGATGGTACTCTCCGCACGATTCGCAGAGAACCACGACAGGTTTTTATGGAATTTTTTGTACGTGCGGTGTGCTATCACGTAGCTTGGTACTATACTTACCAAGTCAATCTTACTGCTCTCCGTCAATTTAAAGCAGCCTGCGCAGATGATTGATTTACGCTAAGGCCTTGGCGGTGGGGTCCAAAAGAGTTATGGAGAGTTTATTAGTCAAGGCGATTTCGTCTCTTTCAAAGGGGAACACAATGAAAAGGCTGAATTCCAAAGACCATTCTCCAAGTCAGCCCTTAAAAACTAGAGGGTCATAAAACAGCAGCAACAAATTCTTCTTCTGAATCCAACGATTCTGAATACACGTCCGGCATACAGTCATTCTCGAAATCGGCTTGACCGGCACACTCAATCACTCTGGTATGGCCCCACTACCAAGGCATTAGCGCAGATGATTTATTGGGCTGGCCGCTGAAAGTTGAGGGCCACTGTAAAATGCTGCTTGTATGGTATCGTATAGTGCTAGTAAACTTGCACAATGTATAAATGTATAAGTGAATTTGGTAGAACCGTATGGAAGTCGACACCGGGGTCTCCGCAAAGTAGTCCCTAGGGGGTTTGAGTTTTCCCAGAATCCCTGCTTCCCCTGGCCATATTCTCGTTGCCAGCTTCGCCTCCTTAAGGGGTATTTCCTCGGCTTGGAGAATATCTTCGGGTAATAATATCAGTGAATTCCTGCTTGGGCAGGGTTCTGTTGTTTGCGGGCAAACAGCAGCCTTTTGGCAGCCGATAATGTAGGCCTCAACGAATTACTAACAATAAGTCTGTCGTTACAGTAAGCCCAGAAATATGAGGCTCGATTTTTCTGTTGGCCATAATAAATATGGCTTTCAATAAAATCAAGCTATTGATCTGTGGCACGATGTATCTATTTTGAGGGAGAATAGATCGAAGGGCGAGGATAGTCGCTGTTGCTCCTAATTACGCTGAATTTGCCTCCCTAATATCACACTCTTTTTAACTTACACCTTTTCTATTCCACTCATCTCACGGGCCCAGTTTTCTATTTGCTTCCGCCACTCCTTCACCCTTCCCACCGTTACCGTCAATTCAATTTCATTCTTATGCCTACAGATCTGTTCAAACAAATCCATCTGCTTCAACAGAACTGTCATCCCATTTGTAATCCCATCGTGAGCCAACACCACCTCCCTCTGGGCTGCTTCTCTCCGTTCTGTGACCCGCCGCTCCTTCCACTGCCCAAACGGTCCCAACACCTTCGTGAGCAGCGTCTTCAGTACCCCTTCCATCTTTGTGTTGTACTGCACCACATTCTGCGGATGAACCCCTTGAACCACAAGCATTCGATGCCCGTATATATCCACTGTCTTGACCAGTTCTTGTCGCGCCCCGGCTTCCGAAGAACACAACTCGGTTGCTCGGACATCTCCGAATGATCCCCATCTCTTGTTAATCGCTTTGCTGCAGCACTGACAGGAGATCAGAATTTGCGGCCGGATGTATCGCAGGCACGTCAACGTGAGCTCGAAAGAGTCTGCCACCAGTTCAGACCAATCCTCCGGGAACTTCTTTGACTCCAATAATCCGTCCGTAACTATTGGGAACGTGTCCAACACAATCACATCGCGTAATTCGAGATTCAATATCTCGAGGTTTTCCTTTAACCACAGCAGCGTTGGGGACTGTTGAACCATTTCCTCATACTCTAAAACGTCAAATCCGCTGGGGTTGAGTAATAGAATCACCGGGAAGTCCAGGTATCCACAAAGCAATTTTATCCAGTTCTGGAAACTTGCCTCTGAGATCCCATATTTTATCTGGAATTTCCGTCCCGCGACGTAGATCGGGCAAGTTTCATTGATCTCGAGCCAACGGGTTTGTTGCAAACCGCTGAGGCGTTTCGGAATGACCGTTCGGGCCAAATCGTTCACAAAACGGAATGAGCCATTCTCTAGGTAAGGCGCAAAAGGGTTGATCCGGTTGATGCGACCTGGATTCTCCTCTCTCTCATCCAGCTTAACCGATGCGATGCGTCCGTTAAGGGTATCGACATCGTCGTCTTCTGCGACTGAGACTAGGTGAGGCATCCTGTTTCAGAGGATTTCAACTTCTTGCGCTTCTTTCTAACCCACTTCGAGCCCTCTTCGGGCCTTTTTATATCCTTAGAGAACGGAATGTATCCTTCTGAACGCGGCTGAGGTTACATCTTCTACTACCGCCATCAATCATCCTCCGTCATTTCCTTTGACCTTTGCCGTTTGTAGATGCTTTGATTTCCACCTATTTCATAGTATGTAACTCATCCGGTAGGGGAGGGGAAATCATCCCGTAATTCTTCTAACGGCGATACGATTGAGGACGGTTAGGAACGACTAAGGACGATCCCGGCGACGGTTAGTTCCGCCGAGAAATTTACCGTTATGGAACTAGGCACTATCATCCAGGTGAAGTATTTTCCGACACCCTTTTAGACCAGATTAGGCCACCTGTTGGCTGATACCTAGTCAAGCTAGCCAATGATCCAGGGATAGTGAGACTGTAAGCTTTGGCTATGAGACAGTGAACATAATTAAAGGACTAGTGTCCGGATAAGCCGTAGGCAGGCGGTGCTTGTCTAATGTCGAGGAGCTAGGGTGGAATAATAGTTATAGGTTTAGAGCATTCAGAATGCTGAATGCCCCGACCAGATGCCTGTTATGCAAAAGCGACCCATCAAGAGCCTTTACACCCTGCCGCGATCCACACTAGAAGAGGATATGGATCGATAGACCGCAGCGGTCGATGCAGACCTACCATTTACCACGGAAGAAGCGGCCATATAACACTGTCGTTAATCACCGACCTGGAGCAGCGGAAGGGTATCCTTGGAAGACGTTTCTTGTGGAGGGGCGGAATCAATGGAGGGTCCGGGATCAACGTTCGAATAGCATACGTCGGGGAATGAGGCTGGTGAACGACGGAAATAACCGGGCGTTGGTGCATATTGGGTTACATCGTCCCACAGATCAATCGCTTGGTTTTGTTGAAAGCCATGTCTCTCATGGCCAATAGAGTGATCGAGTCTCATGTTTTTGGGTGTACTGTAACAGCAGACTTATTGTTGGTGGTTCGTTGAGGCCTATGTTATCGGCTGCCAAAAGGCTGCAGTGTGTCCGCAAATAACAGAACCCTTCCCAAGCAGGAATTCACCGATATTATTACCCGGAGATATTCTCCAAGCCGAGGAAATACCCCTTAAGGAGGCGAAGCTGGCAACGAGAATATGGCCAGGGGAAGCAGGGATTCTGGGAAAACTCAAACCCCCTAGGGACTACTTTGCGGAGACCCCGGTGTCGACTTCCACGGGGTTCTACCAAATTTATTTACACATTGCGTAAGTTTACTAGCACTGTACGATATTATACAAGCAGTATTTTACGGCGGCTCTCAATTTACTGCGACTAGCCCAATATATGGTCTGCGCTAAGGACTTGGCAGTGGGACTAGAACAGAGTGATTGAGTGTGCCGGTCAAGCCGATTTCGAGAACGACTGTAGTTTTCTCGCCTTCTTCTTCCTTTAGATTCTTTGATTTGACTCGCCGAACGATGATTTCCAGACCTTCGCCAATGTCCCTCGAACATTCCAAGTCCTCTCTAATCATTGCTGCCTTTGCATTTCTTTCCCTAACATCCATTCACTCCGCTTCTTTTGTATCTCCTTGAGTTGTGCAAGCAATCTCATTTCCAGCAGATCTTTGTTGCGCTTCATTTCTTCAATTGCGGATCGCAGCTCCCTCCGAAGAGTTTCAACCTTTTCTGATCGAGTTGAATCTTCCAAGGCAATCAAAAAAAGCTGTGCATTTTCAGCAAGTCGCTCGACACCAGCTGCGGCCTTTCGAAGCCGGTGCACAGCAGAATGTCGAAGTTCTTGAAGGAGGCCAATGAATTCGCCAAGGGGAGGTTTTAGGTTATTTATGAGCGGGTGAGACTGGCGAGCGAGTATCTTGGTCCATTCGGTAAGTTCGACCGCCTCGGGACAGTCCCAACCATTTGTTGCCAAGAGCTGAGGGAAATTTTGCTGGGCAAACTCGAAGCAGCTCTCTTCAAGTAATGTTGTATAGTCGTCAAGACTAGATGATGACAACGATAGTGCATGTAAACTGGATATAACGATCGGACAGCTACAGCTGTGCCTGTGTCCTGCTCTAGACATTTTGCGAAAATGAACTGATCATCATTGAATGTTCGTTCGTCTTTGATCTCAGTATGAGAAACGATTGCCATTCCTATTGAAGCCTCCCTGTCAGATATTTCCTTCACAGTGTTGGCCTCGTCTCTCGCTACCTCGGCTTCAGAAGCCTCTCTCTCAGCGCTCTGGGTAGGCGATACATCGAACAACTCCGGGAATCGAATTCTAGCTTTCAATGTCGAATCAAAAACTTCGCTCTCCAGGAGCTTTTTGGCCACGGTGCTAGTGCGATTGATATCATACTCTCGTAGAATATCGGTGAGAGCAAGTTCGTTTTGTCTAATTAATCCTTTGACCGTTTTTAATTTTCTCACCTGAGAATAAGCGCCACGGAAGATATTTTGACAGGCCAAATATATTAGCCTCTCATCTGGATCGCTTTGCACCATTTTCTAACCCTATAATTGCCTTCAAATGACTGAGACTTGCCTCTGTTATATATATCGGCGCGTTGAGAGTCAATACTGCATGTAGGAATATAATTTCCAACACCTTAGGCGAAGGGCGAAAGGCACATTCCATCGATGTAACCCTCTGGCATTCTGCATTCATAGATAATGACACCATAGCCGCCTTCATTTGTCGCGAGATTACAATAATCATAATATGCCAGAATCGGCTAGCCATCTCCAATGCAGTTTGCATCACCGATAGCATCTAGCCTAGACCCTTCTCCTTACTCTGCTGAGTTAGTTCTAAGGTTCATCATCATGTGACTGACGTGGTCAGTTTGGGACGGGTTGACCTAGAACAATCCGGTCAAGCAGGGCCAGCGATAATCAGTCAAAAATTTCCAGTAAAAGCGCTTTAGCCTTATCATCCGAAGACGCTACCGCCTCCCAGCGATTTTAGATGTATATTCTGAGAATCACTAGATTCTAATTTGTGATTTCTTGTTCGATGGTTTTGAGATGGTTTTTAAGTTGGGACTTGGATCTCCTAGGTTCTAGTGTACCCCGCTATTAGGTGATCGATCTAGATGTAGAATAACCGAATGTCTTGATTACGTGACCTATGTCCCCTTAGTGAGGTAGGGTTTCTTTTCGTTTACCTTGATGGCAAGTAGACGGGTGAAGGAGCTTTATACTACATTTACTTGGCTCCCGTGGAAAGACTGCTTAGAGTGATGAACCGTGGAGGCTCACTATTACAATAATGGTAGGTGACCATTATATCTATGTTTCTGGAAATTACAGCCCCACAGCTGGTGCTATTTATCGTTACAATACATTTCGAGTTGTCATTAAAGACTGGCTAGTATGGACTAGCGTGTTTCGGATTAAAGTTCAGAGAAGAAAAGAAAAGAATAACAAGGTGAAGCTGATTTCGAGCGGCACTGTAAAAATCCATCATAGACTCTTTAAGTATGTCTCGAAATGCACAAATTTGGATTTCATTCTTTATACGAGTAAAAGGTGCACGCAGAAATTATTGCAAGCCTCACTAGACCAGTCAAACTACAAGTGGATGAAGACTTTCCAATGAGCGGATGCTGGAAGTTGTGAGTACTGGACACCCCACTAAGAATTGAAATCTCCGCTTACCTGACTCAGCTCACTAACAGTCCTCGCTGAAGTTGTTGACGATAGAAAGTCGAATGCTTTTGATTCGATCGGCCATCTTATAGTGTCGTCTATGCCCACATTTTCCTTCGAGTACTTTTGCATCAATTCCATTGCTAAGAGTCCCAACCGCTGTACGGACGGGGACTGACTATTTCCTAACGTGTATGGTACAGTCATCTCTAAACAAGCTATTATCAAAGTCAGTCTTATTACAGAAGAACATCAAAAATCAAAGGTCATACCAATCTTCACAACTCCGTCGAGACTGATTAGACTTGTGGAGCATTTTAGACCCGGATGTTGATAGCCATGGTCAATCAGATGGGACAAACCGTCTATGATCTTAACCTATATAAGAATCATGCAATATTGAGAAGGTAGATTCGAGATCTTACCTGCTTGAGGATTGAAGCTAGTTGAGCCTCGGTGGGATAGGCATCGCTAGCAACTAGATGCTCTAGAGTGACTGGTAGATCTTCAACAACAAAGTGAAGCGACGTATCCTCCTTGAAGTATTCCATGGCCGAAAGTATGTTGATATGATTAAGGCGAACATATTTTTTGAGTAGTTCTACCCCCTCTAGCCTTGTTGTGGTCCTCAAAGCTACCAATTGGGAATTTTGGCGATGGTTCTCACAGATAGATACTTTGCCAGCGAGCTCACATGTGAAAATGACTTTGTAGATATCCCATGGTGAGCCATTCTGCAGAACCGGACCCAATGCTCCCGATTCTGTGATCATTTCAGAGCGTGTTTTTACAATCTTACGAGGTCGACTTTGCTGCGCTTCAGGGAGTTCTAGTCGTTTAAATGAACTTTGAGCACCATCATCTGTATCCTCGGGAAATTTAGTCTGTACAAGAGAAGGCGCTTGGGCTTTCAAAATGTTAAATCGAGTAGCCCGTTTGTTAGGTTCCATGGCGAAATTGGGGGTAACAAGTGATCCGAAAAAGAGAAATGCGAAGAAGGGATCATGAATGATAAAATAGAGATGTGTTACTCTACTTATCTACCTAGCCTATCTTGGCTAGAATTTGGGGTCATTTCATACCTTAGCTACCTACGAGAATACGATACCATTACCCATGCCTTTCTGTTTTATCATCGAAATAGGAAAGACGGAGACCCCATCGGTTGATTCATGGCAATCTCATTTCAACCTACCATCGTAGGTTAGACTGAATAACCATTTGCTCCGCAAGAGCTCCGAAATTCATTCTTAGAATGCAAGGAAAACAGTCGAATCACGCTTGCGTGCTTTTTTGACCAAAAATGTCCATCGTAATACTTACAAGATACACTGCTCCATATCTATCAGTCAATTCTTTATTTTTGTTGACACGAATGTTTCTTTGGTTTTATCTCTTTCTCTTGCCTTTCATGAGATAGCTTCAACTCCTTGCCAATACCAATTTGACGAGTTTTCCCGGAACCGCATTTTCTACTATATACTCACTATTCCATTTTCAGCAGACATGACGTGTAGCCAATGTACTATCATCCTCGGGTTGGGCGTACAAAAAGCGGTTGAATATCTGTTTGCTTTGATCATTTTAATTCAGCTACGTACTTCATCATGGACTTTCCACACGCGCGAGATAAGATAAACTGAAAAATACTCTGCCAAATAGAAAATCCGATTTTACGCAGTCTTGATGGTCCCTGACACTCTTTCCTATTTATAGACTTTTTACTTTGAAATCTATATTTTTAGGAAATGCTTTATCTTCCTGGACTGCAATATTGATCACTTTCACTGGTCTCTTTATTCGATCGTATACTGACCAGGGCCCGAGGCCCTAGAGAAAATTGAATGAACCAGGAATTTTATCAAGTAAGCGCAATTAAATTAAAATTCCTAGGAAATTCATATCATCAACCATGAACAATGGAGTAACCCCCGTTTGTTAGCTGATCAGGCAGACTGCCAATTCCATACTGTATTGGCTTTTCCCTAGATCGCCTCTTTCGTATGTGGAGAGTTGACCATAAATATGGGTAGATAATATTTATCCAGGTCAAATTTGATGTGTTTCCATGAGAACGAGCACAGAAATATCTACATGGTTCGCAAGCAGGAGCTTGAACGCTAGCCTGATTTGATGTCTCTTTATATGTTACCAGCAGAGATTATCTCTCTCGTTGCGGACAGATTGGTATCGATCAATGATCTTTACAACTTTCTACAAGCCCGTCGTGAGTTCTACAATCTCCTCATCTGGAAACTTTACCAAAGAAATGTCAAAGACGACGGTGGGTCTGCCCTTGTATGGTATTCGCGTCATGGGCAAGAATCTGGCGTTCGAAATATGCTGGCCGCGGGTGCAAATGTCAACCTTCGAGAACCAGGTCCGGCACAGACAACAGCTCTCCTGGAGTCGGTACATCATAACCATATCCGTGTTGTGCAATTTCTTCTGGAAAATGGAGCGCTACCTAATACAGCGGATATTCGCTCCCGAAGGCCTTTGATTCTGGCGATGAATGGACGAAGCGACGTGGCCATCACCAAGCTGCTTCTTGACTACGGTTCTACGGCCAATCCCATTCCACTTGATAAACGTCCTCCATTATTGGAGGCCATTCGATCAAATCAGGAATCAAAAGTAGCGTTGCTTTTGAAACATGGGGCTGATCCACACATTACCGAAGGCCGAGGGGCAATGAACCTTTTGCATGTCGCCTCTGCGAAGAATGCAGTTCCTGCAATTTTGAAGATGCTCATAGGCGTCGGTATTGCGGTCGACTCTCATGATGGTTTTGGAAGAACCCCGCTCCAAGTAGCAGCTGATCATTCATGTGTACGTGCGGTACGCGTATTACTGCAACATGGCGCCAATCCGAATTACAAAAACATTAATCGGCACTCTGAAGGGCGTACAGCTCTCTTCTACGCTGTGAGTGGTAAGAGTGCAAGGCATGAGAACAAAACCATCATTCGAATGCTCGTCATGCATGGCGCGGAGGTGAATTCTAAAAACTGCGTGCAGCAGACACCTCTGCTGTATGCAGTCTCGCGAGGTGCGATAAAACAAGCGCAGGCACTTCTTGAAAATGGTGCAGATATTATGGCAAAAAACTCCAATAATGAAACCGTGGTTCATCTGGCCATTTCCTTATGGGGCTACCGTCCAGACATGTTAAGTTGGCTCATCGAGACTGGAGCCGACATGAATTGGATCGGCGGCAAGTATCACGAAACGCCGATCTTTTACGCCATCAGACACTTTGATGAACGAAAAGGGATAGAGAGCGCCCGGAAGATTTTATCTCTTGGCGTTGATATTCACTTTCGAAACTCCGACGGACTGACGCCTCTCTCCCTTGCCGTCAGCATGTGCTCCATTGAATGGGCAGAGCTACTTCTCGGGTACGGGGCTCTTGTAAATTCAAAGGACATGCAAGGAAGGTCTCCGCTACACCATATTGCCGAAACAAAGTTGGGCTCTGCGTCTAAAGTCCAAGCAATCGTCTCGCTACTCATCCGACACGGGGCCGATGTAAACTCCCGGGACTGTTCAGGTTATACGCCATTACATAGAGTGGTAGCCAAGGAATGGATCTGGGGGACAGTTGGAGAGTTGTTAAAGGCCGGGGCTGATCGTTGCGCCATGTCTCACGACGGCAAATTCCCATATGATATGGTTCCTGCTGGTCCTTGGGCAGAGACTCAATGTCTTTTTCTGCGCCATTACCCTGTCTGACTAGTATCTTTCCTTTAAACTTCAATGGTATTTTCAAAAAGTATTTTTTCCATCTTACTTGCTGCAGATCGACGGCGAAGAAAAATGCATAACGTTATAGATCTGCTGGAAACCAAATTCGCCATTATGCTCTCTTTGGTTTTCCCAGGCCATTCATAGACTGAAGTCTGGCGAAAATTTCAGAAAACCAGCACCTAGAGCTCCTTCCGATTACATATCATTTACTCGTTATCGAATCCATCTCTCCTGGTCGTTGCTTTGTGAATAATGTTCTAAAGGAAGAAGATGATGCGCTCACCAGGACGATTTAAGCAGATAGCCGACATGTCAATGATCATTCACTCGAGTGTTCAACTTATTATATCGAACGCGAATCTATGTTGAAAGCGATCAATAAATTTTATGTATTCAGTAGTAACTCAAAAGAATATTTTCGAGGTGTAACTTTCTGACCAATATTACACTTCCTGCCAAATGCATTTCGAATTACGTAAATAAAGTGAAGCTTAGGAACACGTAACTACAGGACAGCATTACTCTGAGAGTGCCGAGGCCCCACTTAGAATCTGTGTTTTGACCGATTGGAAAAAAAAAAAAAAAAAACCACTATAGGCAAAATTTACGCAAAGCTACTTCTCCAATAAACGAACATGCTTGATAGCTAGAGGGACTAAATCATACAACGTATTGATTCTATGAAAAAATGGGAAACAATAAATATATCGGTATCTTTCAAAACCAAGGATAAACAGGACGATGGAACACCTGTTCAAACGCAGGATGGTGAATCATGTTGCAAGCCTGACAGTAATCCTGAGTAAACAAAATTATCAACAAAAGTGCAGAGCCTCAAATTTCTGGTTTCTACTCTTCTTGATTTCTGCTGCTCCGTTCTCGTTTGCGATCTTTACAAGATGTTCAAATAGTATCTCGATCGGTATCTTGTCCTTTCCAAGTCCTTCAACACCTCCGATAACACTCCTTGGCGGCTTCCAAATTTCGAAATGCAGTTACTGAGGACTGCAGTAATTACAATCGCTTGGTTATCCATGGCGATTGCTTCTCTTCACTATATGTACGACAAAGATGTTGGCCGCGCGGCGGTGCAAAATATGAAAGCAAAAGAAAATCTCACATCAATCCACCAGAACTGGCGCTCTCTCCTCCCGCGAAAGATATGGCAGATATACCTCATGCCGCCAAATGTGGATAAAACCACTTTTGAGATTGACTCTGAGAATCTTGCTGACACAATCTCTTGGCTCGCTCACAACCCCGGATACGCATATGTTTTAGTTGGAGACGATGGCGCGGAAGTCTTCGCACGCCAAGACCTCAAAGAGGGTTCAAGATTATCAAGCATATTCAGACAGCTTAAGCATACCGGAATGAAATCCGACTTGTTGAGGTACCTTGTACTTGCAAGGGAAGGTGGTGTTTATTCGGATATCGATACGGTAAATCTTAAGCCCATTGACCTTTGGGTACCTGAAAGGTATCAGAGAGACGCTCGCGTCGTTATTGGGGTGGAATTTGACCGTCTTGATGGGGCAAATTGGGGCGAGGTTCATCCCGACCTACAATTCTGCCAGTGGACCATCGCTGTGACACCTGGGCACACTCTATTCGGCGAGGTGATAGAATGGGTGATTTCTGCGCTAGAAGACTTCACAGTATCCCATCAGACGACGTTCTCAGAACTCACAGTCAGTCCAGCCGAGGTTATGAGATTGACCGGCCCAGGTGCATGGACGGATGCTGTATTTCGGCAGCTACAGAAGTATGAGCCAGACTTGACGTCATTGAGAAATTTCAGTGGACTGTTGGAGCCGAGACTCGTAGGAGATATTTTGATATTTCCGATTGATGGGTTTGGAATGGGCCAGCTGCATTCTAATAGTACAAGGGACGGGTCAATTCCCGAGGGCGCGTTGGTCCAACATAATTTCCGAGGCTCGTGGAGACACAACGATAGGTCGTAATGCTTTTTGATCTGACAGAGTCACTCTACGTTCTTGGTAGGATCTACTGCAGTCAAGCTCGTGGCATAAATGGGGGCGATCGATTGTATGGCCCTTTGATTGCCTTCTTTTTGTCTCTCATTTCTTGCTTTATTTCTTCTTCTCGAGCTTGTATTGTTTCTTAAAATGGACTCATTTTCTCCAAACTGATGGCTTGGTAACAAATTATCACAAAAAGCTCTTTTAGAACAATACATAAAGGACAGCAAGCGTCTCAGGTGGGTTTCCCAAACCCTAAATCAACTGCTACCGTCGCCTGGCCCAAACTTTATCTGCCTCTTCTTCTTTTTCATGCGGGAACCACTTAAATAAACACCCAAGGTTTTCCACGCTAGTGATTTTGAACACTTCAACTTATCGCCCGATGAATGCATGACATGCGCTGAGGCCTTGGTAGTGGAGTCCAAGACAAGAAAATTAATCGCCCAAGGAGAAGTATATCTTACTATTGTCGGTCACTATGGGACCGAAGTCTTTGAGGCTTACTACTGATACTCAACATATTTATTTAGACCGCATGGCAGCCAAAGGTAGCTTTTGCAGATAGATATGATAGATTCAGGGTCAGGGATGGGGTTCTGATAGCACGAACAGAAGTAGAAACGAAACTAGAGGCATATACAGAGGCAGAAGAAGAGGCAGCAGAAGAAGCACAAGAGGCAGAAGAAGAAGCAGTAGAAGAAGCAGAAGAAGAGGCAGCAGAAGAAGCACAAGAGGCAGAAGAAGAAGCAGTAGAAGAAGCAGAAGAAGAAGCAGCAGCAGAAGAAGAAGAGGCAGCAGAAGAAGCAGTAGAAGAAGCAGAAGAAGAAGCAGTAGAAGAGGCAGTAGAAGAGGCAGTAGAAGAGGCAGTAGAAGAGGCAGTAGAAGAGGCAGTAGGAGAAGCAGAAGCAGAAGCAGTAGAAGAGGCAGTAGAAGAGGCAGTAGAAGAGGCAGTAGAAGAGGCAGTAGAAGAGGCAGTAGAAGAGGCAGTAGAAGAGGCAGTAGAAGAAGCAGAAGCAGAAGCAGTAGAAGAAGCAGAAGAAGAAGCAGTAGAAGAGGCAGTAGAAGAGGCAGTAGAAGAGGCAGTAGAAGAGGCAGTAGAAGAGGCAGTAGAAGAAGCAGAAGCAGAAGCAGTAGAAGAAGCAGTAGAAGAGGCAGTAGAAGAAGAGGCATAATCAGTGGATTCAGAGTCAGATACACTGCACCAACTTCCAACCTTGAATTTATCATTCAAGGTGCATGCCGAAATGTCTCCGTTCTGATTGAAAAAGGTAACGAGACCAGTTTCATTTACTTCAATCCAAGCAACTGATTTGCCATTTACTTTACCACACGCATCCACATCAAGGACGGATTTATCCTCGCGGGTGCCCTTCACGACTTCACTCAATTCTAGAAATTGGTGAGCTCTGTTTTGGTAGTGCCATATATTGGGTTCTTACCGGAACAGTCATCTACGTTGAGTAGGGCAAATGTTGCCGAATATCCGGTACATCCATGGTTATGCTCTGACCATATGACGCATTCGCCATCATAATCTATGACTTGGAGAGCGCCACCGAGTGAAGCGCGGATATACATGCTAGTAAGCAATAACTGGATTGTGGCGAAGATTTTCATTGTTTAGATATGGGTTGAGGAAAACTATTCTGAATAAAGATTTCTCCTCGCAACATATCTTATCTTAAGTACCTAAGGTCTCTAGGCCTACGGTGTGCTCTTCGTCACATGAATAAGCTCGGGACACTAATTGTATCACCCAAATAAGAACAGAAATATGTGGAATGCAGTTGACCAAAACATTTCAGCATCATTTTCTTTCTGAGCGGCAATAATATCAATCTTCACCTCACATCAGAAAGCTATTCAACGTACGTAGACCCTACTACATATCGCTATTCTTGGGTTGATTAATGTGGGCAAGGTCACGACAATAACCCATTGATCCTTTTTTCTTACGCGACTTTTCCCTGATGGGCATACTCATCCAGTATGCGCCGCAACGCATCAATTTTTCCACCAAACACCATTTTTATGTGCTCGATGGATGGACCACTCAAAGAAATGTACAGGCATATTATACACAAACGATAGCCGCAGGCAAATTTGAGGTCGCCTGATTGAGAAATGAGCCGAGCGTGTTAAAACCAATAAAGTATTGGCCCTAATAGTGATATTATTATCTGATGAGGCTCTGTTAGAAGACTAATCTTAACTTATTCGGAGCTTTCGCAGTCTCATGATGGCTAAGGGCACCATAACAGGAGGTCCTCTCCTTTTCATTCGTCAACCATCGCTAGGGAGAGACCAACAGAAAAGGGATCAAGATTCAAGGGTCTATCTGTTAACATTTGATTTATTCATGTGATTCAAATCTGTCACAGTATATATACTGAGATCTGTCATGCTTACTAGCGCAGATCCTGATTCTTAGCAATCTGTGGAGACATTCTGCAATCATGCGAATTCTCCCAGCGAACAAGCTTGATCATGTTGTCTCCATCGGAGCACTGTCTTTCTCTACTGCCGTATTGATTTGCCTAGCTGTTGTCTTTGTTGGATGCACCTCTCCATCATCCTCAACTGACCTATACTTTATGAAGGTAAAAAGGGTCAATCAATATGTCCTTGGTTTTACATAAAGCTCAATTCAGCGATTAGGTAAATTTAAGCAATTTTCCAGAGATAGACGGCCTCTCTATTCGTCGCTCACTTGATATTGACGGAGTAGATGCTTCGAGCATCACGGAAGGCGTGGCAAGCGTCGTTAGCACTGCAGCAGAAAGTGCCCAAAGCGACCTGGTGGAGGTATCCGCGGCCGCAGAGACGGCGGTTAGCCAAATTAGTAGTCGCCTAGAGACCTTGTCGAAAGACCTCAAATCACAGCTGCCCGAGTACTATGTTATCGGTCTTTTGGGTTATTGCAAAGGTGATGACAACGAGCCCACTATTTGCTCAAATCCAAGTACTTCATTTTCATTTAATCTATCGGGAATCTTTAACTCCGTATCTACAGAGGTCAATGATGTTTTCTCGGGTATCGACGAGACAGCCCTTACTGGATATCACGATGCTGTTCGAGCTCTTATTTGGTTGTACATTTTTTCTTTCATTGCAGCATTTTCGACGATTGTCTTTGGCATCAGAAAGGTTTTTGCATCAGGGGGAAACAAGTTGTTAGTCCTGTCCTGCACGGTATGTTTCCTGACTTCTCGAAAGACTTTGGGCGGGCCACGTTAACAGATGCAGCTTTCGACTACATTAATAACTACGGCAACAGTAGGGGCAACGGTCGTCTACAGCTTGTTCACCCAGGCGATTAAAACTATTCTTGGCTCTTTCGGTGTTCAGGCCAGCCTTGGGACACATATATTTGCCTCCGCATGGCTGGCCGTCACATTTTCTTTAATTGTCTTCTTGATATGGCTAATTCGGGCATTCTGCTGCCGTAACTAAGTGTTCCTGTTGTGGTCGTATAGATTCGAGCTACTGTAGGAAGCTTTCGAAGCGTTCATCACAAAATTTAATTGTTCATATTTGATGTTTCAGAGGGGATACCGAATGATGCCAGGTAGTCATGATGATGGTGAGTGTATATAAATTGGTATCTTGTGACTACAAAAAAGGTATTTGAAGATTGATAGTCACGATTTGTTCCTTAGTTACTACTAGTACACACTAAAGTATATTATTTAGTACTTCCTCCATGTAAATATGGAAGGATGACTGTCGCGCATAAGCGGCCGCTACCGCCACTGCACTATCAATTCACTGGTCGCTTTTATTCGAGTCGCAAGAACCATAGAAAGAAGATCGATAAGAGTTCTTACGGTGTTAATTTCAGAGTCTGGCACCCTACTCTCATCTCAACATGGTTTATCAACGACTCTTTAAATGCCAGTATCCCTCGGTGTACCACGATAAACGAGTCCCTTCCTTATCCGTCAGTCGCTGAATTTGCTGCATCCGGCCAGATCGGCTATCTTCAAATAGTACATATTTCTTACATTTTTATTTGAATAGACGATTGGTTTTCCAATTCTCACTATTCCTCTATTATAACTCTTCACGAAAAATTCCGAAAAGTCTTTATATGACTTCAGGTCTTTACCATTTCCAGCAAGGAAATTCTGTTTTTTATATGAATCAAAGCCCCTTGAGGAACATCGGATATTGTTTTGACTTAGAGATTGGAAAAATTATATCTCTCACCGTTTGAAAGATCAAATTTGAAATGAACTGCGCTGGCTGGCAAAACGGAGCTGATTATTTGAGCAACACTTTCAGGCAGATTAAAGTCAAAAGCACGATGAAATTGGCGCTACACCTCTCTTGAGCTTAAGTATAGCCGGCTCAGAGTAATTTAAGCTCTGAATTCATCAAATGCGTGAATACGGTATCTTGTAGTGTGAATAATTAATTAGTGCTTGGTGGTTTATTTCAGGAGATCTCTGGCATGACCACTTTCTCCCAACTACTTCAGTCACGCTTTGCTTGTACAGCTAAACATATATAGCCCGTCTGTTCTATAGTAGTAAATCTTTCATGTTATTTTACTCTATGCCAACGGTTCTACCACAGACATGTATCGGCGTTCTTCAATCAAAGCTTTCTCGCGAGGATATCGTCCACTAGCGCAATCCCACCAAAAAGCACCCCTTAATTTACGCAGTGGATTACCTGATCAAACTACTGTGAGTCCCAACGAGACACGGCTGTATATGCAGCGGGATAATGATTATCGTACCTTTAGCATCCTATTGTGGAATCCTCTAATCAGATGATGCGCTCTCTACTTCAGGGCTATTGTCCTATTTTTAAGGCTCATAGATTGGGATGGGAGGCCGAATCACTTCTGCACCTCAATCCTTCCCAGCAGATGTGCTACTACGATGGGAAATTGTTTGGCGGGTATATTACCCTCTTAATGGACCGTATTCTCGCCGATTGTTGCAAACCAGCCTTCACTGCCTATTTGAACACCTCGTTCATCCATCCAGTTCCACCATCAGCACCGATACTTCTCCGTGCATGGCCGGAGAAAGTCGAAGGCCGGAAGATTTTTCTCAAAGGGTCTCTCCAGATACCTGGAAAAGCTCCTCAAGATTGGGTCGATGCTATTCGGACAGACGCGCTCTTCATCAGGCCGAAGCCGTGAATATGGAGTGGACCACACAAGTCTTTCTTGTAAGACGAGGACCTGGAGGGATAGTTTCTCACGTCATCAGAATACTTTGTCATCAGAGTACTTTCATGTCATCAGACTCCTTTTGGGAAAATGTATAAACGTAGTGTGAGTTTTTGTGACTAGCTAGGGCCGCATACAGTTGGTCACTAGCTTAAGCTGCTTCGGCCTTGACCACATTCAAGCGGCCTGATCATGGGAGCGGCAAATTGGTCGCGATAAGCTTTGACGAGGCTCTAAGTTCGTTTTCAGGAAGTGAATACATCCATTTGTACATTGAACATAATAAACCATATGTATAGTTTAGGTGCCATGCATATGCGAGAAGTCAGAGTAAATGACAACAATTGACCAACCAATCTAGTAGCAAAACAGAATAGGAGCGCTCGAAAACAGGCCTGATTCTTACCTTCTTATCTTGTGTCAATCTGTAATCTGAAAGGCACTAGCGGAGGCTTAATCAATGACTTACATCGCTGGATTTTGATAACGACGTGTTCGAAAAACAATAATGGAAGTAGAGAAATCGGCTCTTCTAGATTAGAGGTAGCTCTACGAAAAGTAAGACGATGCTGTTATATGGTACATGAACTGGAAGTGCTGTGAAAATTTAATTCTCTTTTTTTCTAGCAAGCGAAATTAATTTCATGACCTTGGTCTTACAAAGTGGGCCACGTGGATGCGTACATATGGTAAAAAGGCTTTACTGGCTTAAAGCCCTTAGTACTTTAGGCATGAAGTTAAATAGTATCGAAGCAATATAAAAGCCTGAAACATTAAACTCTGGACACCGAATATAGCCTTGAAGTTCGTTTACAAAGATGGACAATCGACATACTGGTGCCTCCGACGTGGAAGAGGAGAGGCATACGCTCGACTACGCCAATGCCTCCGGCATGGGAGATGAGGGAGAAGCGATCGAACAATGGCTGCGTTTATGTAAAGCTGTTGGATATTGTATCAAACACTTGACAAATCGAGCGTCGTCTCTACTGCGGGACGCCGCACAAGACCTGGAAGACGACAGAAATATGGTCAAACAATGCCTTCGTATATGTGAAGCTGCATACGAATACTCGACAAGTCAAGAGCCACCTCAACTGCAGCGATTTCCGGAGGGAAGCCAGGGTAGTGCAGACACCAATAGCCTCTTTCAACAAGCCTTAAATCCCCATATACGGAGTATGGATTCTAGGGGCAACGCTTTCTATCGCAAAACATTCAAGGAGGAGCTGATTGCCGAAGGCAGTCAAGTAGTAGTTGATACGCCGAATCATGAGGTCCGTTTCCATGGGCAGCATGGGCGTGCAAGGCAGCTAGTTGGCTTAGGGGCGACAAAGGAAGAACTTCGAGATCTAGTCGATCGTCAATATAGATAATGACGAACAGTCTTAGGGGCTGAACGCCACATGATGACAGTGGTCTTGAGGCATCGTAGATCACCGTACGAATTTTAGCGTCGATCAGCCGTTGCTCTCGTAAGTTCTACAGCAGGTCCAATTAGGTTGCATTTCAGAATTTCCAGTCATAGAAATCATCTTTATCTTTCAATATCCTGGTGTCGAAATATTTGAGGGCGAATCATTGTATGGATATATAATTCAAAGTCGACTTGTTTTCTGATACCTTGATCAAAGCCCCTCTGCGACGCAACTTAAGCAGTAGTGTGAATTTGGGAAGGTACATTGTCACATAAAGAAAAGTCGAAATTTACGGAATAGATTGACCAAGCACATCATGGGTTGTATTCAGCATTTTGCTGGGCTAGATGGCAAGTCGCCAACATTTGACTTTGAACGATTCGCTCCAATCTCAGGGCTAAACAAGGTAAAGGTATGTAGCCTCTGCCTCCGCACATGCACCGCGGAAACTGTAAATAGACTTGAGAGCTCCTTTCACCAGTCAGAAGATATGGGCCAACGGCTCCAGGATATGGCTCAAGAGCCCCAGGAGCAACCTGGCTCCCAGGATCAGTGATTGTATTCGCACGTGAGCAGCTAGTTCTCTTATGATAATTTTTTCTCACGCCACACCATGGTTTCCTCTCATTCCAGCTGCCATGAGCAGCCCTAGCGCGAGTTCGCTTGTTTTGCCACTGATATAAGCAATACCGTGGCCTGTCGCAGGAAATCATATATTGCTGAAATATCTATTGATTTGGGGACGTCCATAGTTCATGAAAAGGTAAAGCGGCCTATCTCAACCAATGTATGCCTTGAGAATTTGTGATGCGGACTGATTTTCCAAACGAGCCTGTAATAACGCTCACGGGGCATTATAAGTAGTATGACATGATTGGTTCTAGGCTATTCGTTGCTCCACGTTGGAGAAGCGTAATCCCATGGCCTATCATACAAACTATTCTATCCGGTGAACCAGGACTACACGCGACAGCCTATAAATAATTATAGAGATAGGAGGCCGGTCGGAGGTCACGGAGACTTGCATGGCATTGTGAGGGAGCCCAGGACCATGATGATTGGGAAATAACTAGATGACAAAGATGCGGAGACCTCGACAGATTACGGCGATTTGCAGGCGTCTGTATCTGAGCCTTTATATTTTTTGCGATAAGCAAATGCTCTAAAAGTCAACATGCACCTCTTAACTCCGTTGATTCAACGAAATGAATTTGTCAGCGGTTTATGTCGTGACTTACTGGCTTCTTCCACCTGGAGCCCTATGCTAAACCCCTAACACAGGCTTCTATTAGTGCACTTACAGCTTGTTTGCTGGTCATTTCTTGGTCAAGCTGGTCACATGCATGCTCTTGCTACGCACTTTCATATTCTTTTTTTATCATTGGCTTGCCATTCGTTTGCACTGTGTATTTGCTTTTGAATTGGAAGCGGGGTTGGGCCGCAATGCATAGGCTTTAAATACCCTCAAACCTGATGGATCCTGCGGTACAAAAATTATATTGAGATTGCCGTCGGCTTGAGGCGGTGCTACTTTTCAGAGTGATCAAGGCGCCAGTTTTAAGGACTTTTCCTCATTCTACAATTCGTGCCATACCGCAAAGTATACTTGCTCGGTAAGCGCTCTTTAGTGTAACTAATCGGTATGAAGGACGCTTCTCATCAATTGGTATATATTAATAAATACATTCTGCCTCTCCCCAGTCGATGTCCCTGGTAGTCTCTACAGAGTCCAATATAGGGATTCTATGACGACGTATGATATATATAAGGGGTTCAAGGCAGTTGATACGGTTACGTTGTATGATGATGATGGAGGGGACGAACAGGAAAAAGGCGATACTCTCCAAGAGTTCGGTGACGCAGTAGAGCAGCATTTGAGCTGGGACACTGACTATGAAAGCAATTCCATCTCGCTCTTTTCTCAGAGAAGACATGCTGGACAGGCATACCCGTTTTGGCAGCAGAAACTGCACGCTACTTCAGATTGATACGACGGCTCTAAACGGTTTTTTTATCTTCCGTGCCGGGGAGGTTGTTGATGCACTTTCGTTGTCGATCCCCGAAGCAGCCCAAGCGAGTGTTGCTAGGGAGTATCTTATTGGCCATTATATACCCCTACGTGCTATCATAAGAAGTCGAACCGTTCGTGAAATCCTAGCAGGTAAGCTCACACCTTCCTTGCTAGATCCTGATTTGGCCTAGGAGCCAACGGTGCCATGTCTCAGAATCTTGTACCCTAAAGCAAATAAATAAGAAAGAAGATACAGCTCGAGGTTCGCGTCGTCCTTCCATTCCACGCCCTTTGCGGCCATCGCCTGAGGATGTGGCAAGGCCCCAGCTAATTGCACAGCTTGAGGCAATGGGATATAATACGGGAACGTAAACATATAAACCTTCTATCTGTTTTTCTTCAACGGAAAGGGCACTTTGTGTACCAAAGCCTATAGTTATTTAGTATGTACATGGTAAAGGCTCCGGCAATTCCATAACGCGTTTAATCAGGATTGGAAAAGTGTCCTAATACCGTGAGAATGTATTCGTATCTAAGCCCAGGTGATCTCGTGGAAAGTGCAAGCTCATTCTGAACTGTCAGAGGGTCGGGAGGTTAGCTCCTAAATTTTCGCGTTATTACAGAGACCATGTACTCCATCATCTCTACTGCAAGGCCTTCATGACCACACGATTCATACGAGCGCGCAATTCTGGGTATCGAGGCTAGTAAGTTGACATTCGCCTAGCCCAATGTTTGTCCTCTTGCTACGACCACTCGATCAAGTATCTTCACCGCACGATCCAGCAGATCATCTCCCTTACTTGGCCAATCTGCATGCACAGCATCACCTGAAAGATGCTCATTAGTTCAAGACCATTTTTGGAGAAAGATAGATAGAGGTGGACAAGCACTAGGAAAGTGTTGCATGAACTTCTGTCTGTTCTCACAACCCACGTATTAGGCTCATATTGTACTTGCTTTCCCGCAAAATTAAGGGTGATAGAATCTAAAAAGACCTCCGTCAATGTCAGTACTAGCCAGTAGCCATAAACACGCGCTAGCAATGCCGAAAAGGGGTCACGGCAACAAAACTGGGATCACACTAGTAGCACGATGTGATTGGTCCTACGCTACTCCCTGCTCCACTTTGGCGAAGCACAGAAGCACAACCCTGCCCTGTACCTTAAGCATTGTGCTATGCTGTACGCACTGGTTAGATCAATGCGATGTAGGCTTCATGTCAAATTCCAACTATTCTCGCAGTCAGATACAGACTTACTGATTACGGACTGGTGTGAGGGAATCGAGGAGTCTCACCACCCTTCACCGACCGCCGATATCTGCCATGATTCTGCCACGTTCAGAAGGTCCATGTGCAACAGGGTGTTTAAACCTATTACAGAAAGGCGGCGAGAGAAGCGGTGAATGAGAGTCAAGTTGGATTTCTATGGGCTGGTTTTGGTGTGGTCTTGGTCCCAACTTCCCCATCAGGTTTGTGGCATGACGACCCTTTGACTCAAGTATACGTCGGTATGATCGTATGAAGCCTCATGACGTCCCGACTTGGGATAAAATCGAAATATTTGTAAAATGCGAAATTCGGCGCAGGTAAAGGGTCTCATGCAGTTGCAATGCACGAATTCTTGGACCCCGCATTCACATTGGCGCCTCGGCAAAGACTAAGGAATGCACCGCCTGAGAACTCTCCATCCTCTTTTCCTTTTTGCGCGCTGTATAGCTCACCAAAAGAAAAGATAACAATAACATGGGGGCCAACACAATATCTACAACGGTTCAAGATGAAGCTGCTCGTCAATCCTGCGAAGGGACAAGCGGAGGGGAAGAGCTTCTATCTAGAACACGTGCATTCTGGAATCGAGAGACGTTAGTATGTCAGGAGTGAAGTTTAGAAGGATGCTGACTGCAGTTTCCTTAGTTTTATTGGATCCGCGATCTTTAACCTCCTTGCCTTTGCCCCTCCCGCCGTTTACAGCACCCTGAGTAAGCTATGGGTCGCCAAGTTGAGCTCCAGCGAGGTAGTCACAACTGATGTATACACTTACATCGGCATCATTGTTGAGGTTTTGAATGATGGTATTCCCCGCTCTGCATGGCTGATTATTGGGGACAAATCATCGCGAAACCTGCACTCACGGCTGAACCTTGCCTGGACCATGATAATTGTCGGCGCAGCACAAGGGCTTCTGATGACAGTTATATTTCTTGCAACTTCGACCAAGCTTGCAGCCGCCTTTGTCCCGGCTGAAGTGCGACATGCTTCGCTTGCCTACGTACGCTGGTCCTCCATCCAAGGCCTGACATCTGCCACCGAAGCGGCGATCTCTTCATCGACCAGAGCGCTGGATCAACCGGACGTCCCTTTGATGATCAGTACGAGCAAATTTTTGATCAATATCGTGCTAGATTTCCTACTGATATCAACATTCCGTGTTGGGAAATTTACGCCAACCATTGTCACACAGGCTATTATTCGATTAATTTGCGACACATTATCGGTGATAGTAGGACTTCTATACTTTGTTTGTGTAGTTGCAAGGCACAAGAAACGAGAGGCTGATGGCCACGAACAAATTCAAAATAAGCCTCTCTGCACTGACAACGTTAGTTCGGCCAAGTTTATACACATTTACCGAGTCGGTGATCAGGAATTCCATCTATCTATGGCTTGTCAACAGAATAGTTCAGCTTGGAGATCTCTATGCTACGGCTTGGGGAATTTTCACCACAATCCGCTGGGGGCTCGTTATGATCCCTGTTCAGGCTCTTGAAGCGTCAACTTTGGCTTTTGTCGGGCATAATTGGGGTCATTTTCAAGCAACACGGCAAATAGAATACCCTCAAGCTAATAGAGCAGAAGTTTTTGGTAGGTCTGAAGCTCACGAAACCTGGATACTATTAACTTCCTGAAAGCTATCATTCGACCAGCCCTTTTATCCTGCGGAGCTGTCCTGGTCTTCGAAACTGCCGTGTGCATTGCGTTATCTATACGTGGAATACAGTCCTTCGCTTTTTACTTATCTGGTTCGAACGACGTGGCGGCTGTCACCCAAAAAATGTGGAAGGTAACTTTTTGCAGAGACAATGAAGTCTTCTTTCTCGTTGGCTTACGTGTTGTAGGCCATTGACTGGACCTACATCTTTTATGGACTCAATTACCAACTCGGAGCTGTTTTACTTGCAGCTTCACCTCGGTGGTACCTATACCAAGCACTCGGCTCAAACCTGTGCTGGATGCTTCCTTGGGCGATCATTGTTACTGTTCTCTCTTTACCCAATTCACTAGCCTGGACGTACTATGCAATCATTTTTGGAGGCGCACTCGTGTTTGATTTTCTTGATGTTGGAGTGACGCTACTTATTTGGATTCACAGGCTTTCCAGAGGGAAAGTAAGGGCTGGCTCGCATGTTGGATATTTTTGATCTAGGACTGATCCGTGCCTTCTCATAAATTGTATGTGACTTAGCTCCACCTAGAGTGTAGTTTCCAAGTTCAAAAATAAGCCAGCTTGACCCTTTTTGGTACTTCCTTTATTCAATGAGCGATCTTGTGCGAGAGAATTGCCGAGCTCAGTACAGCCTAAAACATACAAAACAACTGCGAAAACCGAGCCCCTTACGACTGACGTCAAGAGAATTGGCATTTTGGCTGTGAAGGTTTCTCAAAGCCTTTAAATCATATTCAACAATGTGATAAAAACAAAACAAGGAAATCAGACGCAATTGATAATTGGGGGAGAGGCAAACCAAGAGCTGGAAGAGACAAACAAGAAACAGTCCCATGCTTTCTCTGTGCATGGTTCAAAAGTCCTGTTTTAGGCATAAGCTTTTCTTTACAGATGTTGCACACACATTGCATGTCATTTGGGAAGGGCTTAATGTGCCGGTTGACAAATTGTCGACTGAGCGAGCCTGGATTCTTGTAAATCTTCAGGCGCTCAATCTCGGGCAGTCCAGTATTACCAAGGCAAATAAAGCAGATCGTTGGTCTCTCACTTTCCGATTCGACGCAAACAGAAGCGATGGCCTGAGAAAAAATATTGTCTGCTTTTTGTCTCTTAGGCAAGGGAGTAGCAGTACAGTAACTGGGCATAGTTCTGTCCATTTTGCTCAAAGCAGATCGACAACTAGGTCCAGTGCGTAGATCAGCAGACACCTGAAACAGCACCGTGGTGGTGGCCACGAAAAGAGCGGGGTTGGTTGTTTCCTGCGGGCATTTACATTCCTTCCATCCGGCAGATGTGCACGATTGAGAGAGTTCCTCAGCCCTTGGAGAATTTTCTGTGCCGCCATTATTCTCAGGCTTCTCGTTGTAAAAAAGCTTCTTGAGTATTAAGTACGTCTAAGACGAATGTTCACGAGGTCTCACTCTTACCTAGAAGAGCTTGCAAGAGGGCATTAACTTGCGCGCGATCCTTGGGCTAGTTTGGCCTAAGGTAGTGGAGATTTCTGGGCGCATAACTACAATTCTGTGGATGAATCCTTATAGGCTAGACTGTCCTTAATCTTTCTTCTCCGATGAACAAAGCACAAATCGAGACATACGTAGTCAAGGATCCGTTTTCGTATTTGCAAGGATCCGTTTTAGTGGTCGCAGTGACCTGTTTTGATAGTGATAGAATATCGTCGCAATCTCACGGCAAGTTGACGTCATCAGATCCTGATCTAAGCTCTGGACAGTTGTCGATTTGCTCTGATCAGAAAAAGTCAGAGCTAGAACGAGTCAATAGTCACTTCACATGATGTGACGCTCTTCACCAGATAACCTTTTGCCTAGGTAATGCTGACATGAATACCATACGAGCGGGCTCTCAGAGTCAAGCATCATGTGGGGCCAACAAAGAGGTAACTTACTCCCTATAATGTGATAAAGCTCATTCATGATCCCACAACACAGCTCCAGCTTAGTGACAGACATGTGAATGGCCCTCAAATTGATGTTCCTATCAGCACTTTCCCATCCTATCAGTCAGACTCCGCGTATACGACAAAAGCAATGGCATCGATATTGTTTGAATGTCTGACGGTCAATTCGGCGATAGCTCGATATGGTCATCAAACCAATTTATCCCCAACGAGGACCGACCCTTCCAAGGTCCAGAAATACGTTGATGAGATTGCAGAATACGATTATGAGAAGGCAGTCAAAATCATTTAAAAGGATACTGCTCTGGCTATGGGCAGAGGTGTTCAAAGTCGGTACAACGAAACAGTGTTCTGGAAAGTCATTCTCAAGGGTGCGGCGCTGATTGATCAAACAACACTGCCACCCGCGAACGGGCCTGCAGATGGATTCACCATGGCAGAAAATGGTGCAACAAAGAAATTCATGGAGGCTGCTGGATACGGGTTGGGAGCTGAGAACCAACGACAGTACCGCATTTTCTGGAAAACCCTATTCCAAATGCGTGAATCGGGTGTGCTAAAGTACTTTACTACCGCACAAAGGAATTTGACAGCTGTTGTAGGGGATAACCGAAAACAGCAGAAGTCTCGCTCATGGATGCAATCATGTCGTGGGAGACCCAATATAGACCTTTTATCGAGCAACTGGAAACACGGGTTCTCAGTTTTGCAGAAGGTGACCTAGCGCGACTTTGCGATCTTGACAATCTCTAAAATATAGAGAGATTGGAAGTTCCCAAGTCCTTTTGGAACAATGCTAGAAATGAATGGGCATTCACTGCGGAAAAAGAAAGCTTTAAAGAGAAAGATTTGTAAGATTTGCCTGCGGAGGTCATACTCGAATCTCAAAACAACCAATTGGTATCTGAGTTTGGGGGAGACAAGTCTCCATTCGTCTTTCTCGGACCTCAAGACGACATTTCTTTGTCCGTCTGTTCTATCGTCCCTGTGTGTGAGGGAGACTTTCTAGGAATATTTGCTGGTAGCATTGCTTCTCGGAGGACTCAAGTGCAAAACACGGTATCTGCAGCCCTATCGATGATCTTTGGCTAGATTACTCCCAATTTACTGGTACACTGAACCGAATGATGGTCTCAGAGCCCGGCGGACCGGCAAACGTGCGTCTTCAATGGGAAGTTATTCGTGATGAAATCGGAACAGAGCCTTGCCTCTTGTGGAGAGTTTGCGTGAGAGCAACTAAACCGATAATGCCATTTGACGCTCTCATTCGCTCAGCTACCCAACAAGAGCAATATACTTTGCATTCTTCTCCCGAAACTGCAAAAAGACGCTTTCTCGAGCGCTGCAAAGATGATCGACAACAAACTGTGATGTCCCTGAGAAAAGAATAGCATGAATTTCAAAAAGCCAGGCCGCCGGGTGGCCAAGATAAGAAAGACGAGTCGAAGAGTAAAGCTTTCTGGAGTTTTGTGAGCTGTTGCTGCTAACCACTGTCATTTTGTGCTTTGTTTAAGATCCGCAGAAGCAACCAGAGAAACATATTGATTTATTCTAGCTTTTTCCTGTTTGTCAAAAATGCGTAAACACGTAGGCATCTTCGAGGATACACCATCATTTGCCTCGTTGGACATAGACGAGATCTTGGTCGTCTAGGCCCATTATACATCATATCATACTGCTTGTTGAAATAATCTTAAAATTGATATCTGGCTCTCGGATCCATTTTGCTTGCTAAATCAATAAACTTTAATTTGGGTTGTCCGCATGGATCTTTTGGATGTGGCAGAATCTTGGCAGAAACTAGCGGTGAAGAAGGGTGGTAAGACTTCGATTCCCTCAAACCCGTCCGTAATCAAGTAGAGTAGTTATGCGTTGTAACGGCTAATCAGAGCTGTTTCTGGCTCCTGGGCGGTGAGCAATCGTGGTTCCCTGTCGAGTGGAACTCTTTCGGTGCTTCGGGAGTGGGTCCGTAACATTTGAGTCTGGGCGCATATACCTGAGGGGTCTATAAGAGAACGCGAAGAGTCATGATAAGAATGTCAATGCAATGAAAGGAACTCCCATTATAGCCTTTGCTTAGTCGAGATGTCAATCGAGTATCCTGAACATCGTGATGAAAAATTACCTCCATACAAGCCCCATTTTTAAGGATTCGTATGCTAATTGCTTTTTGGGCACGGAACGACTGGACTGGAATCCTATACATACGTGCAATAATTGAGGGACAATCCCTGGCCTACACACGTGAAAACGGAGTAAACACCTAGATTGATGGACAAAAAGCATAATTAATTATAAGAACTTGGTCACGCAAGATAAGCACGACAAAACCAATGGTACATGTACGTAGGCTCCCGCATTCGCGAAGGGGCAAGGGAAAACTTCGTGAGAAAAAACCTAGCCCGAAGCCCACAACTATCCAATCAAACACTCAAATCCTCAAGACTTTTCTCCAGCACTTCCTGGAAATGACGTGCTTCGTCCCGGCGGATACTGACTTGCGCAGATTCTGCTGCCATTCGAAGCAATTCCTCAGTCTCATATCCACTCACAAGGACAGGCTCAAAAACACCTGGAAGCTTCGCGATGATATGCCGTTCGATAACCTGCCTACAAATGTTGTCGACGAAAGTTTTCATGGCAACCTGAAAAATACAATATTAGTACAAAGTATTGCCAAGGGAAAAGGCACACTGTCAGTACCTTGTAGTATGCATTAAGGTCATTCTGTGCTTCGGAGCAGGCCTGCTTCGTCATGTCGACAACCACCCGCTGCTGGAGCGAAGTAACGAGCTTTTCTATTTCATCGGATGAATTGCTCACATGGAATTTCCCGTTCCAATCGTTTTGGATAGCGTTGTGCATTGAATGTTGAATCTGTTGCTTTGATTGGTCATTTCGAGCCTTCTATTTGGTAATCTAGGATGCTGGAATTTCCCACAATAAATATGCCGGGTAGCGCATTCTTTAATCAGATCTTTCGCTTTTTCTAGTATTCTTGAGGATTTCACGTCAAGCTCGGGCGGGCGACCCAAAATAAATGAGGCAGCTGGTTTGCTTACTCTTCGTCAGTCTTGGTACGTTTTTCTTTCAGCCAAGGAGGGTATATGGGAAACATCAAAGAGTATTGGAGGATAGCAGTCCAAGCTGTTACATACTATCTTCTGCAAATATATCCAAGGTGTAATAATTGTCCTTGATTGCTCCATGTAATTGATAGGAATGGAGACTTATCAACAACACGTGTATAGGTGCTTCGCCTGCTGCTCCTTAATTAAGACCTTGGCAGGTTGGATGGAGCTGAACATGAAGAACGACATGCACATGCAAATAACCACTTTTGGAATCTAAAAGCTGAAGAAATCCGGCTCCGGAAAAAACATCCGTGCAACGATTGCAGCAATCGCCTTTCGTATCGAAATCGGAGCATCTCCGGAGAAAATCCACTGAATCTATATCCATCGACACGTTCTTTAGGGGATACGAGAAAGATTCCGTAAACCAGAAATGGCGGCTTCATGCAGCTAGATTCGAAATTGGCTTCCATGATTTGCATGATAAATTTTAAATCGGATTATGTAGATAGGTATACTGGAAAGGTTTCGGAAAAGTCGCACGATGTTCCGAATGCGATCGATAGATACACATCTTTGTTTGATTACTCAACCAACCGGCGAATAACGGTTGACGAGTCGCCTATAGCGAGATGGGCCATATCGTTGCCTCGGTGAAACTTTGGGAGACAAGGTAGCAGAGGCGTTACGGCTATGTGAGCGTCTTGTCGAATGCTCACACATACGCAAGGAACCTTGTTTATTACTTCTCTTGAGACGTGTACAATACCGGACTTGAAGAGAGCCCTGAGACCTTCCAGGAAAGCGCTTTGCAATCTCCTTCCATGATAAGCCTTGCTGTTCCTTTAACTCAATGAGAAGCCTGTTAGCTTCTGAAATAGATCTCGTGGAACGAGAAGCTTGCCGACGGGGCCTTTCATGTGAGTGCACGTCTTTATTCTCACGACGTGACTGAGCACTGTCCGGAACTTCATTGACGCAGGCGTGCTCTACTTGTTCCTCGAAGGTAACTGAATAGACAACTTTTGACAAGATTATCTGTCTCGTCAAGAAACCTCTGACCGGGATGGTTTTTATGTTAGGCAAATTGGAAGAATATACTTTGTCGCTGCCGACCGTAGTTTGGACCGGTTTATTGACTGAGACGTGTTGAGGTTTGCGCCGACTACGCCTGGAGCCAACCTGTATTGTGGGCCGAACTCTCTTCACATGGCGTGGGGTAAATTGAATGCTATTCATATAGTCCGCATTATTCGGGTCATTATAGGCATCGGTGGAGTTACCGTCGTAAAATACAGGCTGGTGTCGCACTCGCTTCTTGCTCGAAGAGGTCGACGAGTTAGACAAGACCGAGTCCTCTATTTGTCGAGCTTGGGGTTTTGAATTGGTGATAATCACCGATGGATATACCGAGAATGAGCGGGGTGCTGTAGTTATCTCGGGCCTGACATAAGGCTGTTGGACCATGCCGCCTTTGTAAATGGGAGAGGGTTGATGCATGGCTGATGCTCTTCGAGCTGGTTTAGTAGCTGCCTCTGGGTCCCCTTTATTGCTCTATTAGTCGTATCCGTTTTTAACTCCGGCATCGGCCGTGTTTTCTTCTGTTCCCCGATCAAAGCCTGAGCTGTTTTCTGTAGCTAGATCCTTGTATCCCCTACCGACTACGCTCTCTTCCACTATATAGGCTGGTAGCTCTGTAACGATGTCTTCACTTTCTCCATATATAGTCGCTAAAGGCGATTTGTGGCAGCGCACTAGACAATCAGGGCTAGGTTGCTTGTTAAAAAAGCCATGGCTTGCTTTACTAGCCAGTGGGGGCCTATTCGTATTATAAGTCGACTACTATAAAAGTCCTTTGAATGTAGAGCTGTCTACGCTCTATAGAGTAAGCAAATAGTGTAGCAATCGGTAATATAAGATAACTGACCTATGAGCTTGAAGCCCGATGATTGGTTATCCTCTAAAGAGATAAGGTAGTTAGGGCCATCGGCGTCAAAGGCTACTGCTGGGGTTGACGCAGTGGATTCTTGGTCACTTGTCTAGATTGACTAAATCCTCAGAAACGGTTGTTCGAATATTTTGGCTCTGGTCGGACTGCTGAACAGATAATGTAAGCCGCTATCTGCAAAGTTTGCTGCCAAGTAAGCCCCCCCCCAGACTGTCACTTAGACCTGGGAGTGGCCGAGGAAAGTGACTGATCGCCAGATTCTCGAGGCATTCTCCCGCCCTGGTGTTCGACTCGTTTGCATTGCCATGGAAAATTTCAGTTTTTTTAGATCACCTATACAATTTCGAGACAAGCGCTGTAATATAATGAAAGTAAACGATGGTATTGAAGCTCATACAGGAATATCGATATTCCGGGCTAATATTCAAAACGGACTAGTGTATATCTAGGGTGGGGTTAGAGAATCCCTCTAGAAGTGGAGCAGGATGCACCGGTTTCGGGACGTACTGTAGCTGTAATTCAAACTCAACAACGATGTTTTCAAAAGTCAAGACACCGCTGGGTCTATTCGATACTTGAAGATAGTAATTGAAAGTAGCCCTCTATTATATAGTATATTGTTCGCGACTTACCTTTGGAGTAATAAAAAGCCTCATGAGAACTGGTTTCTGGAAGGAGAGATCGGAGTGGGTTTTACAGGATCCACCAATAGAGGTTGAAGTCTGGTCACCAACACATGGAATGGTGCGTTTCTGATGAGACTTATGTCTTTCTTTGGGAATCTCGTATGGAACCAGGGCCATAATAATTACAAAGCTTGATCAATTGCCGCTAACAATTGATTCAGAAAGGGAACTTTATTCCTGACATGTATAATAACCATTTTTACTGGATTTCGTTGTGTGGTGAGACATTTTCATGCCCATATGCGAATAGGACTGATATAGTGTTTATTTACCATGATATTAATGGCTACTCTGAAGGTTTTGTTTCAATTGACATCATCAATACCGAGTTTCAGCGGGGTAATTGGGCGACGAAGTCTCCTTGTTTAAGATAATCATTAGGTATTCGAGGTGGTGTTGGAATGTGCTTAGAAATCGACTAGATAAATGATGGAAACATCCGCGACGTGTCGTTCGTTTCTAATAAATCTGAACGTACGCTAATTTCACATCCACCGAATCCAAAATTTGATGATGACTGTGAAGAAAAGAACTGTTCTCTCGATAATTGTGGGATGTGTATCATGTTTAAATATCATGGATTAAATCAAAATCAATTTTTATTTAGAACAATCATTCGCAAGTTCCTTGAGAAAGATAACAAAAGTACAAAAAGGCTGATCACGCCACTCTACACCTCGGATTTTGCGACCCTTAAGACCCTTAAATCCTCCAACTTGGTAAGATACGGTGCCTTGTTTTTTCCCATGAACAAGATGTTAAACCTTATGCTAAATTTAGCTGAAATCATAAACCCATACTTTCGGGATGGGAGAAAAACATTATATGTCGCCTGATCCGATGAGCTCTACTTTCCACTTTCCGTGGTCAATGGAAGAAGGCAATTGTCAAGATGACCGAACTATGAACATCAAAGACATCGGACTCGCTTTGAAACCAGCCGCTCTTTCTGAGGCCCAGTATGCATACTGTGATGATGGTAAAGCAACGGCCTGGAAAGTATTCTCAAGAGATGATAATGCAGGTAATGTGACGATGGGACTTCTTCACAACAGCTGGTGTTTATTCAAAGCTCTCCACTTCGAGCATTGGGTCGAACACGTTATGGGGATGTCCTCGGTAGCAATTAGGCTTTTTGAATATTATCACCATAGGCTTGGCTTCTCCCTGTTCTCCTTTCTGCGTCTCAACCCAGGGGAAATAGAGAAATATCAAGCCGTGGCAAAGGTCCGCTACATATTTGAAAGATTTCCGCGGGGTTGATCGTGGCGTGTTGACAAATTGACAGAACGTTGAATCGAATGACCGTTTTCTATTCTATACAATCACACATGCTCTCGAATCCTTGAAGAAAGATCAAACTTACGGGATATTCAACTTGGATGTATCTCTCATTACCTTCCCCCTGAAATCTATGCTTTCCGAGCCTGACAGAAATATATTGCGGCGATTGGCTGTTCTCAAAAGCCGATACAAGCGGTATCAAACAAGTTTCGATATAGCGCAAGGCCGCGAGTTCCAAACAAATACAGACTTTTTGATGGCTTTCAGTGAGAAAAGTGCCGCCAGCATGGCTTGGTGTTTAAGTCAGGATCTATTCGATGAATTTCGAAAAATTAGCCTCCAAAGTGTACACGAGAATGATCATCACCTGCGGCACTTGGCTTCACAATGGGACCAACTATATTATGATGCGGAAGACGTTGCAGCTTCCCGGGAGTTCGATAGCAAATTGTTGGAGCTGGCTAAGGTACTGTACATATTCTCTCACTGCAGTTTTGCTCTGCCTAATTCGGACAGCAACTTCATCACCTTCGGAATTTCTTTTGCCTCTCTGCTGTCCTTGCTGGAATGTCGACAGCAGGCGTTGAGATTGACACAGCTCTCGCTGAGATTGTTGACACCTCAGGGAATTACCGTCTATATAGGTTGAAGCTTCATACGGAGCCGTCTCTTCCATTTCTATACCCCTTTATGAAAGACCTGAAGAGGGGGAACCTCGGTGCTCTAAGGAAGATCTTTAGTTTTATTTACTATGCAGATCATCTTCACAAGCTCGCGAAATAGAACGGATGATAACGCTCAACAGAGCTTAGAACAAATGGTGCTGATGGACAGGCATAGCTGACAGACTAGATCCTGTCTCATACATAAATG